TAAATTATGTATCAAGGTTAAAGAATATCACTATAATATCAGTGATTAATGATCACTGATTTCGATTGTTTATAACAATCATTTCTACCCATATACAGAGTGTTTCGACTCGCATTGAAAGTGTTAAAGTAAAAGTAAAATCGAGTAACTCCTCATAAGATCCATTTTGCATTGTAATATATTGGAAAGGAAGGAAACAAATCCGCGTCTAGACGTTTCGACCTGAAGCGTACTATAAAATCTATTTTTAGCATTTTAGTTTTGTCATTATATGACCACAGGTTTTCAATCTGCGAAATACATAACTGTAATAAATTTCATTTTCACGGACGCGCGCTCGAATACGAACATTTCGAACAACCGTTTCAAGTTTAGTTTAGTCTGTGGAGAAGGCAGAAAAAGCTTTACAAAAGCTCCAAAAATCGCAGTTTTAATGACAAAAAATGTTTTAAATTTTACTTAAAGGACCTTATAATGGAAGAGGAAACTGGATCAACAACGTTAACTGATTATCTGATTCTTGTTTATACTGACTGTATCCCTACTTTGTAAAAGTCCTATGGATGAACAAAGACTGATTAACTGATTAAATGATTCTTAACTGAGTTTCACATAAATGTAGAAGCAATATGAAACGGTGGAACCCAATTGTGGTGTTGCCGTATTTCTAGTTTAATCAGTAGATTCAATGAATAAAAATGTTATGAAAATTGAGTTAGAATTCGACCGAATTGGTTTAATATTTAGACGTTTTTCGAAGCGGAACCTCGACCGACAGTCGAGTTGACCATTTCGGATGATGATCCCTGATCGCCGCAGGATATCGTGCATTTCGAAAACACTATTTAGCGATTTCGTATTTAACAAACTGAGACTATCCGCTTTGATAATACCGACGACCGAGGGAAGAGAAAATGAATATTTTAACCCGTCTGAATCTGAATCATAGTCGGTCCAAACACAAAAAAAAATACAAAACTCCGCCGTTTTTTTTTTCTTCATTTCATTTTTTTTTGTTAAACGTTGACCTCCAAAACGACGAGAGAATTATGTGGAGAAAAAAGAGCCCAGGTTAAGAACACCTTTATGGGAAGTGTTTGTGTAACGTGATATACGTATTTTGCACCGAAATGTCTTGTTAGACGGTTCGTTATTTACGATAATTATCGCGTATTGTGTGCGTTCCATAGAAAATGAACGTAATTCCACAAAAAAAATTACCAGATATTCAATTAATTAGATACCAATTGTACTGCAAATCGATAAAATTTCGCAAACGATAACCGATGCGATAATACATTTACACTGAAAATCAAGAAACCTAAACCTTTATTACATCATTACAATCTAATTATCAATAAGTTCCCTACACTGATGTTATTAAATAAATATGAAACTGTAGGAAGAGGAAGAACCAAAAAAAAATACGAAACTAAAGAAAGCAAAATGCACAAAACGAAATTGAAAAAGACATTGCGTGCGTCTAATTGCAGCGAAACGTACTGTCACCAGGGCGGCATAATTGAGACATGGATTATTTTAATAGTATCATTATCGTATTTATACATTTCCACACTAATGAGTTACCTATATGAAAATTAACGTTGTCGCAATTAGATGATAGAAATTGTCACGCATTTAAAAGCAGGAATTTTATTTAACGTACAGACAGCTATCGATAGGTCGATGGTTTTTAGTCCTTTTAAAGTAATATTTAACACAAAAATCAAACTATATTAACGTGTAGAAACAGTTCCACATATTGATGTATAAAGCGTTAAACTGTTTGGATATACAGTTTCAGGATCCGGTTGATTTATTATTTACATTCGACATATTGCGTGGATTTTATCAATGAACTTAGAAAGAAAGTGTCAGAGTCAGACGTGGTCACTGTAACTTCCTATACAGTCGGTCTGGTTGCTCAACGATTTTACTTTATTTACAATTCATTTTTCTTTATAATGGATCCGTTCGAATAGCGTGGGATTAACGTGAACGTATACAGATTGTTTTAATTTTAATGCCGAAATTTAAGTTTGTATTCGAATGCAATGTTTTATTGTTGCAATTGTTGCAGGTTTTATTTTTAGCGTTTTACGAATTGGAAAATTTTTATGTAAAAACCCGACTTGGAAAAACAAATTCCCTTTTTTCCATTGTTCAAATCGTTCTCTTATTCTCTTAAATTCTTATGACTCATTGAAGATTTTAATAAAGCGTAGGTAAAAAGATATGTAATTGCCGTTGCGTGATATTTCTGAGATGATGAATGCGAATAGAGACATTTTCCAAGACGATCTTTTAATTTGCCAATAGCTAAAACCAATTTGTATCAATTTACAACAATTTTTTTATGAAATAATAAAACGCACAAGTCTGTATTTTCTACCCATTTAACTGCTGCAACTAGTTTCAGAACATTATATCGAGACAAAAACTTGTTGGTTACTTACTTAACTTTTTTCTTACCTGTGGATTTGCAGTGAAAAAAAGTAGACTCCATAATTTCGGAAGGCCGTTTACAAATCAATGATCGCAACGTCGAGAATCCGGGATTTACCATTAACCGACGTGTACACGCTTCATTTGCTTCGCATTATTTCAGCGCGTAATTGTAATTTTCCCGGCTGGTAGATCCGGAATGGAAGGAAACTGCATAAAAAAAATCTAATTATATCGCCGGTATTTACCATTACTCTACATATAGGAATTATTTTTACCCAAAAGACCTTTAGTTAGCAAACTTTTTATAGTGAAACAATTAGTGGATAAATATTATACAAACAGTGATTAATTGTTGAGTGAAACATTTTATTTAACTGTACTAATCCGCCTACGTTTTCGTATTTCTCTCTCATTCGAAATAGTATAATTATATTAACGGAGCGAACATAAAAAAGTCGGTGAAATTGCTTGTAAAAAGTTGTAAGAACTGTTGCCTCTTTTTATAAATTACACGCAGAATTTAGCGTAGGCGTAAAGGATATTATATTTTAATAGGAAGAAACGATTTCGCTTGCTTTAAAACAGTTACAGTTAAACTTCCTACAAGAATTTAAACTCGCTAAATAGGTGTTATATTTCCTCTCTATCACCCTAACATCTAATCCCACCTCTAAATGTAACCAAATTAACGGGTACTGTCGCAGGAATGGCACCGTTTTCGAGCTATCCTCTCGTCCGTTTCAGACGGGGAGAAAGTCGTTAAAAAATCCGCAATAAAATCATTCGAGAAGTCAACTAACTTATAAAAATCCGTACGAGCCGCTCGACACAGGAACTACTTTTGTTGTTTCTCGTATAAGTAAATTATGATGGAATGACTAATCGACATTAACGACTCCTTTTGCAATGGGTTTATTAAATTTTAATCGCGGAATGAATGGAATTGGTGGAGCTATTGTAAATAACAAGAAAATTGGAGACATGCGGGTATTGAGAAGGATTATCGAAAAATTGAAATAGTAATTTTGAGCATTCCTGCATGATGGAACGATTTTCATTGTGGCTTTTTTATGATTTTTAAACGATTTTACAATTGCTGCAACGCAGTTATGATAAGAAGATATTTAATTTTTTCATTATCTGGACAATAATCAATTGCAAAAGAAACTACTCGAAGATGATTCGAGATTATTCTGGAATATTTAACCAAAAAAATTTGATTATGAAACTTGTTTATCATTTGTAAATTGATGTTCTAATCTCAAAAAGATTTTTGAAATCCTGTATTGCATATGGGGAAATCGATTTTTTTTGTACACGACAGGTACTTGTTGAATGGCGGTTTGGTAACTACACGAGATCATCTCATTAAAATGACCAGATAACAATGTATTCCTCACACTAATCTCACACACTGCATTTTTTGTAAAGTAGTGTACAAAGTGCGTTTGTCATTAAATTACATCAATCGATATTTGTATCAATAAATTTTGATGGATATCGCACGCAAGTGGGGTATCCTGGTTAATGCCTAGCAATTTGAACGTCATTCCTACCAAATATGACGTTAGGAAACACATTTTTTGTCTTTTTGTCGGTTTATCTGTTTACGAGTGTCCCGGGATTTGTTTATAATAAATTCGATACAAAGTTTGGGCGTCAGCGAGAGTGCCATATGAACGTTTTTTTACCAGATCTTCGCAATTACGCACTTACTTTGCACAAGTCTTAGGTCATGATTCGGAAAGATTTGCATTTACCCGTTCATTCAAAGTTTATTTACCGGATAAACTAATAATTGTATAATAGGTTATGAGTTTTTAAGAATTGAGTGCACTTGATTATACAATATTTTTATTACAAAATAAAAAGTACATATAGGTACTTTTCAAAATCGAATTATCTTGGATTGAAATCGATTAGGTGTAATTTATGATTAAGTAATTTTTTCGATGTGAATTAAGTAAATAGTTTTGTAATTCAAGTTTTAATAATAGTTGTTTTTTTTACAAGTTTAAATTAAAATTTAAATCACAGAAAATATCCAAAAATAAAGTAACGCTAAAATAATAATTAAAGCTAAATTAACCTAAACACAACAAAACCTAATTCTATTGGGCGTGGTTCAAATAGGAACTAATTTACCTCACATAGAAATAATGCATTATTATAAAAAATAATATACCATACATTATTTTTAATACACTACTAATTAAAAATACACTTCAATCACATATAGAAAGCAAGTACCTACATAAAACAACTCAAAAATAGACCTAATCAAAACAATAATATTTCCCTACTTTAGAGTGTATGCTATAATATACCTGTAATTGAACTGTAATACGAATGAAAATTTTCGATAACCTCTGCTTATCTAAGCTATTGTTTAGTTATCTGACTTGAATATGATGCAAAATTTTAGTATAGGTGAATTTCTTGCAATTCAGTGATTTACAGGCGATATTAGTTCGATTTTTCGGTGTTAGGTGATTCCTCGATTTTATAGTGGAAGGGGGTTTTAGCAGGTGCTCTAGAAACATATAAATAAGCAGCATCTCATTAATCGTAAATCAATGTAATTCGAGTAAACGAATAAGGCGACTAATTAATTTTATTTAATTACACATCGAAGAAAATGTATTGGACAGGTGAGGTTTATCTGATTATGTGATAAGAAAGAATTTTCTAGATTTTTATTTATAGATTTATAAATTTTTTATTTATTTATCCAGATTGTAATAAATTTATTATCGTTTTCTAGAAAAATGTTTGAGGATTGCTGCAATATGCCAAGCGATTATGGCCTGCACGGTTGATTGTATGGCGATAAATACAGCTGAGAAAATCGAAGAAAACATGACAGACGAAATATTTTACAATTTTTTGAGGTATCCATGCGATAGTCCTTTTAATTTCACAAACGCTTTGTCTCAATTGAACATCTTCAAGAAGGGTTTGGAGGAAAACATTCAATGTTTCAGAATCTCAAGAGATGTAAGTGCATTTTTAAATTAATTATTTTAACTACATTTATTTAGATTAAGTGCATGAAAACATTCTACTAACTATTACTAAATACTAACTTTTACTAACAAATTTCTCTTCACTCACATTTAGGTACATTATATTAAAACGTGCCCTGATGGTTCGCGAATTATAAAAAAGTTGGAAGAAAAGAAAATGGTATGAAAATTATTATTATTGCATCATTTCTATCATTTTCATTTATCTATTTCCATTAATTGCCTACTAACGATCCTAATCTAATAATTTCGCATAATCGCTTTCGTAAAGAAACAATAGCTGATTTGTTACTTGCTCTCTGAAATTTTAAATTGTTATTTCCAGATTAGCATTTTCAGCAATCAGTTTCAAAAATACGCGATATTCATTCACAACGTGATCAAATCCATTCCGGACTGGGACGACAGGAAGCGGTGTTATAAGAATCTCCTGGACAACATGAAGGCAGTAATTTGCGAATTTTTTTATCAAAAAAAGTTCGTTGGAAAATTGAAAGGCTACAATACCAAATGCATACCGAAAATTTGGGATATGACGATTTCGAACGCATTCAGTCAACAATTCGTGCAAAGTTTCGAGTACTTTATCTACAAATCTAGCGAAATTTTAGATCGCATCGATTATTACGACGAAGATAGTATCTAAATGAAATATGTTATTAAGGCGATAAAAAGTCGATTTGAAAAGACTGATGTTTAGATTTATTGTAAATATTTATTGCATCTATTTATTTTATTTATTTATTGTATTTATTAATTAAGTTTATGGTTATAATAAATTTTATACGTTATTCTATGATAGTTTTATTTTATTAGACAAGAGAGTTTGTGTAAGGTAAAGTAGGTTATAAACTAGTTATTGGGTTGATTGTTAGTACTTTTTAATTGAATCTATTGATTGATTTTAAATCAAAATATGAAATATTTGTATTCTAACCACCGACTTGGAAATCATTCAACTAGTTTTTCCATCAACAATCGTTTACCAAATTCTGCTATTTTACTTATTACTTGTATTTTTTTCTTAAATTAAATTTATTTGTATTAATTAATTGAATTATAATAGGTATAATGAAGCTGCAGGGGACATGATTCATTGACATACTTTATTACTGATATTTTTTTAAAGTACCTAGATCATCCTCGTGCGTGGTTCCTATCTTAGGAATAAATTTACTGGAATTTATTTTATATCAGAGCAGCGGTTAAATAACCTAATTTCTAGAAAATGCTTCCGATCAAAGATTAAGTGTTTTCTAAAAAATTGGCGAATTTTAACGAAATTTAAACGAAATCGCGATTTAAACGGGTGGCGGGCGCCGGAGGACTATTAATGAAATCCTTATCGTCAAGGAAGTCAAATTATCAGCAAGACGTGTGATGTCACTGCTTAGGTTACTGTACCGCTATGTGACTAATGTTTTTATTTGATTTCGTTGATTTCCTTATCTTGATTGTAAATAAAATAATTAAATTGTAAGTTCTACACTCAGACAATAAATATTGATGTATTACTATAGGTATATAGGCAAAACTGATATCTACGTTATATTATTAGAGAAAGTGCGATAACGATTTTCTCGGATTCCCCGAAAATATAGCTCTCGTTATTTCAACTTTTCATTAGGGATTTATTAGATAATTAAGTACTTAAAGTGACAATGCATTAATTGTATTCTAATAGAATAAATCAAATAAATAAATTTTAAATAGCGCAAAGTTCAACTTAGCAAATAACATAAATCTCGCTTGCTCCGCAAGCTTGTCATTACATAAGTAACTTTTGTACTTATGTAAATCCAAAGAAATCCCTTTTTTGCCATTTTTTAGTACAAGCATAATCGATGCAAGTGGTGCTATTAGTCATACCCTGATGATGCAAAAGTTTAGAAAACGCAGTTAAAAATAAAATGATTTCGAATTCTCAACAACTCCAAATTAATGGGTCGATTCTGAGAATTTACCTATAAGCTACAGAATCTGTAAGAAATAGCGCCTGTAACTTGAAACTTTACAGATTTGTAATATTTGCTATTCTGGAACCAAATCTGTAAAAGTCAAGTTACAGATCTTTACCTTATAGGTTTCAACTTCACTCATGTTTATAACGTCAAAATTATAACCTCATAACAATTAAAAGTTTAAAAGCTGAGTACCGACGCCGACCTTATCTTATGGAAAAAAAAGGAAAAATACGTCTCCATATCAACTAGAATTTTATTTAAATTTTATAAACAAAATATTTGTTTAAAATGCCTCTCTGTGAGGTCAAATGGATTTAGCCTTCTTTCAATTTATCATATATAATTTCTAAAAAATGTAATTATTTTTATTATTATAATTATTGGTATTTATTTAAGTAGATACCCATTTAAAACTACAAAAATCTCACTTGTTTTCATATTTCTCTAACAGAACACCCGCAAATAAATTCATTTGTAGGTTATGGGTAAAAAACAGTAAAAAACATAGTAAAAAAACACGCCTTTACTTTAAATAAACTGCTCCACAAAATTAAGGAAATTCGCAAATATCGCGATTATTTTAAAAATTACAAACTTTTTGATCACCGAATTTTCAAATATGCGAAATTAAAATGTTTTCTCTCATATCTGAGTGGATTTTTTGCCCCTACCTTTACAATTCATACTAAATTTGATGATCAAAAAACCTGCAACTTTTAAATTAATCCCAATATTTGTGAACTTCCTTAACTTTTGTGGAACAGTATAGTTTAAACACCCGTAAGGTTCACACAACAAAACACAAGGAATAATGCTTTTTAATGCTTTCTACCACACTCTGTACCGCTTACAGTGACTGATGTCTAGCCTGTAAATATTTACGAATCTGTAAGCGAATCTGTAAGTAACAGATGAGGATAGAATTGCATTTCCTGTAACTCTTACAGATTTTGGCTTATAGGTCTTACAGATCTTCTCAGAATCGACCCATAAATGTAGCTCAAACGAATGTGCGCGTATGATTGAACAATATTTACAATCGTAGGTATACAACGCCAATATTTGCTATAGAAATCTCGTGATTCATTCTTAAAAATTTTCACACACCATACCGTCATTAGAATTTATGAATGGGAATTCTAATGGAAAGGGAAAAAATGGAAAATCCGTTCGCCTAGAGATGCGCAATTTTTGTTTGTTTTAGATATTAATGATTTCACAGCAAGAGGATGCGTTTGATACGCTCAATAGGGCACCGAATAACCGTGCATACTATAATTGTAAATTCGGTTTCGAACGAAACAATCGGATAATTATAATTACTCATTTGCGTCAATGTTTATTTTTCCATAATCCAATTTTATTCACGTATGGGAAATTGCCCTATTATATACCAAATGTACATTTGTTCATTGATGGTTTGCGAATAAAACGCTGTTTGGTTTATTATAATACGAGCGCTATAAATACACATTATCAGTATTAAATAACGTTAAGTATACTTCAAATATTTTCAAAATGCTTTATTTAGAGAACAAATTAAATTTAATCGGCATATATTATTTAAACTAGGGAGAAACATTTCAATCGTACTTTACACTTTAATTCCTTACCCGAATTCCTCACCAAATAATTAACAATACATAATTGAGAACCCGAAAACTTTAATTTAGAGAGTAGAGTGTAGAGTGTAGAGTGTAGAGTGTAGAGTGTAGAGTGTAGAGTGTAGAGTGTAGAGTGTAGAGTGTAGAGTGTAGAGTGTAGAGTGTAGAGTGTAGAGTGTAGAGTGTAGAGTGTAGAGTGTAGAGTGTAGAGTGTAGAGTGTAGAGTGTAGAGTGTAGAGTGTAGAGTGTAGAGTGTAGAGTGTAGAGTGTAGAGTGTAGAGTGTAGAGTGTAGAGTGTAGAGTGTAGAGTGTAGAGTGTAGAGTGTAGAGTGTAGAGTGTAGAGTGTAGAGTGTAGAGTGTAGAGTGTAGAGTGTAGAGTGTAGAGTGTAGAGTGTAGAGTGTAGAGTGTAGAGTGTAGAGTGTAGAGTGTAGAGTGTAGAGTGTAGAGTGTAGAGTGTAGAGTGTAGAGTGTAGAGTGTAGAGTGTAGAGTGTAGAGTGTAGAGTGTAGAGTGTAGAGTGTAGAGTGTAGAGTGTAGAGTGTAGAGTGTAGAGAAGATTAATGTAGGGAATTCCTGCGTGGAATTAGTGTAGCATGCAGACAAAAAAAAATTCGGTATCGTTTTAAAATTTTGGTATATTCCGGTGCGCCCGATAACAAAATTGCTACTCTGTCACACCTAGGTACTAAAATTTCCCCTAATATTCCTACCAATTTAATTATATCCGATGATTAGCTTTCAAATTTACTTTCTAAAGATACTCCTGATGCACCTCTGATAATGATGGTGAAGCTAATACCGACAGAGATATCTAGCACATGGCAGAAGGATATACAAACACCCAAACATCCTGATGTAACATCAATCAAAAGTATTGTTTGATTTGAATGTAACCGAAAGCGTCATCGATGCCGTCACCAAGCTGGAGCCAGCATCCCTTTTGAAGGACGATCCGGCTCGCGGTGGGTACCGCAAAACGGACGAAGCGGCGGGCCCCCCAGGCTAAGTGGGGACGTATAAAACTAGACCTACACTCCTATGGAGGTTTGAGTAAGTTCGACTTAACACCTAAAGCGATTAGCGACGACGATGATTCATATCGAGATAAGTGAAAACGCGTATAAAGTGCGATCGCGCGGCGGCGTACCGTTCAAAATTCGATCAATGGCAGAACGGTTGAGGTCTCACCAAGGTAAATATTATTCTCAATTGAGAGTTGAGCGTGTGTGTGTTGTGTGTTGTTGAAACGTGTCGGATCAAGTGTGCCGGTAAATTAGCGCGGGAAATTTTAATTTTCTTTTTATGTATTTGTCGAACCATGCGGAGGCATTAAGTGAAAGTTGTGTCAATAGTTTAGCGGTGGTACTTTTTTTCGGTACTTAAAGGTAACGAAGTCGTTAGGACGATTATAGAGATTTTATTGCATTGGGTATTGTCGCGATATGTGCACGGGAAGATTCTTGTTTGGGTTCGGTAAATATTTATACGTGCATTTTTTACCGATGATAGCTTCACTCAAATTATAAATTGCATAAAAAAGATATAAAATGCAATTAAGGAAAAGGCGAGATAAAAATTCGCTTGAATAATAAAATTCTACTTAGCTGAATATTTGAATAAAGTTGCATTTTAAACTAGATTTCTTTAACCAGTTAAATAACTTTTTAAATGTACCGCATATGTATTCATTTTGTTCCCAGAAATTTAAGATATCCAAAAAAATCCTCTTATCTAATAATATCGTACATATTTTTACCTTATTTAGAATTTCGTAATAACTTGTGCAATTTTTTGCGATAATAATTCGAATTTCTAAAATTGTCATTCTAATTAAACCTCATTATTTTGTAAAACTTCTATTTGAAATCCCATTGTTTTCCTGTTCTGATTACTTATAAAACAGATGCAGAATATTATAAAAAGAAATCTTATATCAGGTTATTTAATTAATTATTGATTTTTAAATAAATAAGGATTGCTTTAAATCACTCTAAATATCAATTAATTTTGATTTAATTAAGTGTTGTTGATACAAATGTATTAATCAAAACTACCAAATTTTATTTTGCACGTGCTAATTAATAAAAATATTCTAACGGTGATAAATACGGAAATCGCGCGGGCCACTCAATTGCACCTCTCCTTTCATTCACCAACCAACGCACTTATGACTAAATAAGCAAATATTTAATAATCTTTCTTCGCCCAAATATGTGGTCATTACAAGCAAAACTATAAGTTAATAATTAATTAAAAAAATGTGAAATCGTCTCATTTTATAATCGAAATTCGCGCCTTCGACGGCACTATTTTTTTATGCATTTCCCATCGGTTCCGGCGCGAAGAGGAGCGAATAAACAAAAATTTAATCAAAACTCATCAGCACCGTAAATTAAACCCGCCGCCGACCCCGCAATTATCACGTCTAAATCATAGCGCAACTGACAACACGAAAAAAATAAAAAATAAAAAATCGGCGAGAGCAGAAGTAGATCCTCCTCTATACCTGCTCCTGCTCTCCCCCTACGTGCATTGTTACAATTAATCGCCGAAAACAGAGGGGCGAAAGGAACGCAATAAAATAAAAATAACAAATCAAAAAAAAAAAAGAGCGATCAGCAGGAGTGTTTAAGTTTAAGCACACGAGCACATGATGATGGTCGAATCATGTGTGAGGCTGGGCTTGATGTATTGTCCACTTCTACTACAGAGTACAGCTCGGTTAGTTTTAGTTCAGTTTAGTCCGTCTTAGGCTGTTAAGTAGATAACAAGTCTGCCAATATTTGGTTGTTGTGCGGTGGTCGAGCCAGTGGTCGAATCCGAAACCCATGTTACGAGAAAATGACTTTGCGTTGCGGTGGTACTCTGTGCGGTACGATGACGGGTTTTCTTTATAGCGGAAAATTTCGTAAGTGGATTTTTTTTGTTGATTAAAACGGGGGTAAATTGGGTTTGAAGTGAGCATTATTTAGCGTTGAAATTCAGGTAAATAGAACCGTGCGAAATTTGTGAGTGTTTTTTTTTGCAAAATTTATACAAGCTTTCCTGTTTTATAAAGCCACTCTTTATTAATCCTGTTGTAAATATTTTTAATTTTAATAAATTCGAATTAACCACCCTAAAGTAATTACTACGCGTACAATTTTATTTTTAACTTACACTTAACTTGTAAAGTAAAAATAATTTTCATAATAATAACTACTGGAATAATTCAATTTTATATATAGGTAAATTATTATGATTATCTATAATCATTCATTACGTATTTTTCCACATTTTAACTTTCCAACCGTATATATTACAGGTTTATTATAATTTCGAATCAACCACCAACAATAAATTATCTCAATAATCTCGTAATTGCTGCAATAAATTTATATTTTCATGAAAAGTCACTTTTTCGTTACTCATTCTTAATTGAACTTTCCAAATTGATACTTGAAATTTCTCTGGCAAATATCTAAATGTCTTTCCAGATATCTCCGGCGAATTCCACGCAAATTTCTTGTGAATCACCAATAACGCAGTAAAAATTACAATTCAAATAAAAAAAACTAAATCACGAAAAACTTGCAGTATATCAAAAAATTACCACCAGAAAAAATTGGATGTACTACGAAAAGGTTCGAGTGCAATTAAACTTTCGAAAAATCTATTTTCAAATATTTACGAGGGGTGGTTAACGGTGAGTTAAAAGTCAATTTTACAGGGGTTACTTTGGGCGATGTGAATGGGAATCTACCTGGGACGGTACATAAATACTTTCACCGTTACGGGAGAACATACAATACTCGAACTAGTCAAGCAAAAACTCAAAACTTACCTAACTACACGTATGCCGGATTTTACATAACAGTATTTTTCTTTGAACGCGAGATTTTTTCGCGAAAAACAACAAACGCGGTTTTTTATCGAATCTTTCTGTAGGCGGCAATTCGATTTCCATTTAAAATCGATTTATTTACATATAATATTAATATTCCTGTAATACGACACACTTCTGTACACAATAAGACACTTTTATTACATAAATGTTCCAAGAACACTCGGTTTTTCCAACAATCTACGAGGGTAACTAACATGCAAAATACCATCCACTCGAGTATAATAAAATCACTGATGCCTCCCTAAGGTCTTCGCAATACCAGCTAGACTTGGATTAACGAACTGTCTTGTTTTATTTACAGTCCACTCTATCATATTCCTGGTCATTATAATGTTCACCTCGAATTTCTCCAGTACGCTGGGCGCCCCTTTCAACGGCCAGCCGACGGAGCCTTGGTGGAAAAACCCCTGCCAGGGACTGGTGCAATTGCGACACGCCAGAAGCGACAAGAGCAGCCTCAGAACGCAGTTCGCATTGCTCGCCATCAGCCTCGAGGAAAACGTGTTGAAAAACTTGAAAATTTTATACCACAATGTAAGTCAATCGTAACACTCTCGCCAATAACATTTCCTTAACAAACGTTTATTTTCCTACAGAATGTGGACCTTAAAGTGAACAACAGTTGTCCCAGAACAAAGGCTGTACTTCGATTGTTGAACAACCATCATTACACTGTTAATCAAGTAAGTATTTCTACATACATTTCCTAGAGAACCATATTCCTAGAGTTCTAAATCTTAGAACTAGACTTCACACCAAAAAACTGGAATTTACAATTACAATTCCTTTTGCAGGCCAACTACATGTTCTACCAAGCCATCACGAAGCTGGGCGAGTTCGTGAACACGATGAAGAACGTGAAAATCGAGACGCCGGCGAAGTTCGACAGGGAGAAACGCTGGGACATCTTCTCGGACATCGAGATTAACCTGAGGAACGTGCTGTGCTCGTACGAATTGAACGCCGGGCACCGGAGGAAGCCTTCGAAGAAGATCCCCGCGAAGAAGATCGAGAAGATGCTGTCGGGGAAGTGTTTGCCGAAGAAGATGGATCTGACGATGTTGCAGGTGTACGATTTGGACGTGATCAAGAAGCTGTTGAATTTCATTAAACGGGGCAAGAAGATCCTGAGGCGTAAGAGGAGGGCGAGAGTGAAGGGAAAGGGTAGAGGAAAGGAGAACGGTAAAAAGAGACATTTACATGACAGTAAAAAGAAGCACCATAAAACGAACATTAATGGATTATAAAAAAATTGTCTGTGATTTTTTTTTTGTATACGGCTAGTGAGTATACAAGTATGTGTTTTTTTGCGATTTGTGTGTGGCAAATTGGATTCTAGCTGTGATATTAGTGACTTAGTTGTAATTTATTATATTTATTTTATTTTGTAAATATTGTATTTTTGGACTAATTTGTTCCTTTTTTTGTATATAAATATTGTGATATATTAATAACAAACATAAAAGTCGGTTCTCGCTTATTATAATTCGATTATTCATAATTGGAGAAGCGATTTTTGTGGTCGCAAATCGAGACTGATTTTTTTTTTTGATTTTATCTTATTTATTTTAGGCAATGCAATAACTTCGAATAAAATCGAAAATGTAAAAGATAGAATGAAAACAGTCTCAAAATCGATTTTTCGCCTCATTTATTTATTACTATTTATTTTCACTTTGACATTTTTTTATGAATAAAACTACGAAATTTGTGCTAGTGTAAATTCGCACAAAACGAAATTTCGCTTTTTTTCATCGACTAAAATTATTTATTGTAATTTATTTTTTTTGTTTATGTGATATATAATTTTGTAAATAAAACTGATATGCAAAGAAATTCTTCTATTAATTCCCTAACGAAAATTCTCCCTAATGTTAATCTTTTAATCGGCGGAGAAAATGGGAAACCCTACGATATTTTTCGGCAGGCTCCTAGGTGGATTTTTCAATGACTCACTGGTGAGTTTACAGGATATTCGACTCCTGCTAGACTGGAGTCTCGACGATGAATTGAAAATTCGTGGAAATCTATTACAACTTCCACTGCGGATTTTTAATCCTTAAAAGTTTTATTGATTTGATAAACTTAGACTATTAATGTAGTGATAATTGCATAACATTGCGTAACAAAATAGTTTTATTAAAAAAAGTTTTAACTAATGAAAGTTAATAACTATATTTGATTGAATTTTGAAGAAACTTTGTACATATTGATTAAATTTATTCAACTAAATGGGTTAAAAACCTGAAAATATAACAACTTTTCAGTAAAATGTTTAATTTCAGTTAATCTTTAGAATTCTGAAAATTCCCTATAGAAATTTGTAAATAAAAAAACCCCAAACATACCAATACCTGGTAACGAAAACTATATTAGTGTAAGGTCAAATTCGACGTATTTAATTAGTAGCAGATTTGACAGTCGATAATTTATATAAAATAATGAGATTGGTTTCGATACGAAAATAAAATCTGTGGATTCCCGTTGTATTAATTAGCCCGTTATGCGATGTTGAACTATATTATTTTTTATTATCAACGAAATTTGTGGATTTTTTAATTGTGTCAGAATATTTTCGCTTCTTTGAAGCGCGGAATTTCCTCGTTTCAATTTTGGAAACGTTTTTTTAATTTGCTCCGCTGCATATTAATTAGTTTATTTAAATAATATTTTCGATAAAATTTCGCTACCAAATAAAATCGTTTAACCAGATTGCTTATATTATAACCGATTGGTTACAAAAAAATTATGAATACGGGCAAAATAAAAGTCATCTTCACCTTCAATCACCCAAACACCTATACTGCAAGATCACGGTTGCTCGTGGGTAGCCCGGACAAATTCTTAATCAGATGAATATGAAATTCTAATTCGCGATCGATACGAATAATTTTTTTTCTTCGTTTGGTTTCATTTTCGCCGGTGCATTGTTTAAATTTTGAGAGGGCGTTTTCGAACACGAAAGTACAGCAACTTGGGCAGTCGCGACACCGACGGAAAGCGAAAGGTCAAAAAACGAAAGCTTTTACTGTTAGTTTACACGGGTTTTTTAATTGTTGCTGGACAATTGCGCAAAAATGCACCGATTTGTTCATATATCAATAGAGCTAGCGAAAGAAATTCGGTGTCTCTAAGTTCACTTCGATCAATTGTAACATAGGAAGATAAAAATTACAACAAAGGAATTACTGTAGTGAGTAAACTGAAACAATAAAAATGTGGAGATAATACTTTCCGTTTCTTTTAATGTGCTATATTATAGAGATCGGAAAAATTGTTCCTCATTCGATAATACCCGAAATTCCTAACCATTAGATGAATCACTTAATAGCAAAATAAGAAATATTTCGTAATAAATTATTACACAATATACATTCCTTGTATTGTGCATTGGACATCGTGGACATTGAACTTCAACAGTTCTAAAAAATTAGGGGAATTTTTTATAAAACCAAATCTATAACAATTCCAATCGAATAAACGATTCGAATAAACAATTCGAATAAACCAAGTAAAAATGACTATAAAAAATATAATTAAAATAATTAATTTCCAACCTACATACAGTACTCGCATTAAAGTAAAACCCCACTAAATTCATTAAATTATCACTAATAATTAGTTACGAATAATTAGCAATAACAAACCATCAGGTATTTCACTAGATTTTTTTTTCTCAAATATACCATAAAATATTCCAAGTTATGTTATTATTGTTAATAATTTTAGCGCGACATCATCACAACATTTTGCGATGCGACTCGAATTGAGAAAAAACGAGCACATCTCGAGAGATTTTTTTGCAACGAAAAGTAGAAAAAATTCCTGATTCCTGCGTTTGAACGTATTTCCAAATCAAAACAATTTATAAACACCAGGTTATTAACATTGTAATTGTGGCAATCATTATGCAATGCTATGAATAAGACACTTGCATTTTATCAGATGGGGAATTTCATTCAATTCACACTTTACACCTTTTAATATTTATTTAATTAAATAAGTATGGTTTTGTATTGTATGGTTATTCCAATAATCTGCAAAAAATTTGGCAACCATTGAATAATTGGTTTCAATTTATTAATAAATATTATAAAATTTATTCAATTAAAAACACATTAATTTAATTTATTAATTAATAATTGTATACACTGATGTATGTACATATAAGTTTTATGCGAGGTTTTCACAGATAAATGAACCAAGTGCTGCCCCCTGCACATTTAAACTGAAACCTGTAATTCACCATTGTAGATTTCTTGAATCAAGGATAATAATCTTTCCAAGGATTACTCAAAATTAAATTTCATCAAATTGAACTTGAATTTTATAAATTCATTCAATAAATAATAATTAAGGATTTTTGAATAAAAAACATTGAAATTTAATTTATTTTATTAGAATACCAACATACGAATTTTCAGCGCGTTGAATATGAACATTGTAGGTATCTATTTTTTAAAAAAATTAATATCTATTTTTACATAAGTATACAGCAGTAAAATACGCTATTTTTATTCTAAGTAATTATTAGATCGTAAATATTATTGCCGACAATTAAATTTTTTATGCACTCGAAATGACAATTTGGCAAATTGACAAATTGTGCATAAATAAATATTTCAGTTTTGCCTCGTTTTGTGTTCTTCTGCGGTCGTCAAAAAATATCTTAAAGTCAAATATACAGGGTGTTCTCGAACTATGGCATTAAATTCAAGTGTTGTTACTGTGCATCATTTGAGCGCGATTAGCAGATTTTATTTTTTGAAAAAATTTATAATAAACAAAATTTGAAATATTAAAAATATTTCAAAGAAATGCAGTCCGAAAATCGATTGAAACCCCTCGACCCCTCTAATTTTTTAGAATCGTAAATAAATTATAAAACTAAACCGGAATTTTTAAACAATAGAAAAAATAAACTTTAAACTCGAAAGGAATATTAGCTCACCTATTTTGTTCTTGAAAGCTGCTTAATTGTTCCAGAACATCACTATAACGAAGAAGAACTAACTAAATTAAAAAGGACACTAAGAACTAAAACAGTCAAATGATTCACTAAAGTCTAATCACCAAAAATGTATTTAACCCCGACGTTATAATCAAAACAATACAATTCGCACTAGAAAACGATCGTTATCGGTAAAGTTTTTCTAAAGCTGGAGGACGGAGGGGGAAATTTGCGCTTGATGATAAATACACCGCATCTGTTTTTAAGTTAAAATTCCAATCAGCTGATCATTCAGACCAGGGTTGTATTCGCTCTTTGCATTTATTTCTAATGGCTCTATTTTGTTTATTATAAATTTTTTATAAAAAATAAAATCTGCGAATCGGTCTCAAATTATGCAAACTACCGCCCCTAGAATTTAGTTGCATAAGTTTGAGAACACCTTGTATTTCAAGAAAAATTTAACAATAAAAAATGTATGGACGAAATTCGGTCATAAAATTTAATTAAATAATCGAAATAATCGGGGAAAAATCCTGTAATTTTGCCACAAATAATTGACTTTTGGTATTGAACAACTGCAGAAAAATTACTACAGTAATTTCACTATGCATAAAAACAACAATCTTTTTTTTTTGGCAATTTGTACTGCAACATTTTGTTTTTATTCGATGAACGCGTTTTATTGTTTTCGATATTTTGATTTTCAGATATGTTTTGTCTTTTGTTATTGTTTCCTACGAATTCTAAACGGTTAGAAAGAGATAGATCGTTTATACACAGAGTGATTTTTTTCATCTAATTAAAAGCTTTCCTAAAACGCCGGGTTAAAACTTTAAAATCTGGTATACTTACTGCATTAAAAAAGTTTAAAAGAGACGAAGAAATTTTTCAAGAAAATAACCGTCGAAATGTAGGTAAGTATACTGCAGTATTGACTCGTTTAATACGCTATCTAATTGACAATAACATGATAACAGTTTTGATATAATTAATATTCCAATTTCCTAAAAGTTTTCCTTAAAATTACGCTTTAAAAAAATACCTTCGGCTCTATTTTAAAACGGGTTAACGGATTTTTTTAATAGACTCATTCAAACAAAAAGAAAATCTAAAAAAAACGTAAAATAAAAACATACCATTTCCGTTCCCCTCATTTTCATCACAACTACAATAAATTTCTAACACCATTACAACTTCCCCTTCATCTCCATTCGCTTCTTCTCCACCAATTCGTTCTTCTGATTATCGAACCTTTCGTCTCGCTTCCTCCCGTCCCCGGCCCACCATCTCCCGTCTTTCTTGCTCGGCTTCACCGCGTCTATATCCGTCTCCTGCTCCCCATCCGCCTCCTCCTCATCCTCCTGCGGGAGCCTCTCGTACGAATTTTTGCGGCATTTCCTCATCAACGGCAACTCCAGCTGCGTCACGATTTTCTGAGCGCACCTAAACCACAGAATTACACCAGAAAGATGCAAAATATTGCGGCAAAACAGTACCTGATCCTGGTGGAAGCGGGCGGCGGGGCGCTGTGCAAGGGACTCTGCCCCGGCAATTCCCTAATCGGCGGCAATCTGGATCTATTCAACTGGATTTGGCTCCTGCCGGGCGGATCCCTCACGCGGCAATAATCCTGTATCTTCATCTTCATAGCGTGCTGTTGGGATCTCTTTATAGCCCCCGTGGTGGGTTGCCTGGGATACGCCCCGGAACATCTGCCGTTGCAGCAAGGTGGCGCTCCTGCGGGAATTCTAAAGGTAATTAGAAGATCGAAGGATATCTGGATATCAGTACCTTTGCTGCCGATGGAAGAACTCGATGTGGAAGAAACGGTGGAGCCTCCGCTGCTGACGCTGTAGAGGCTGTCCGATTGCGGAACGGACGAGGCGCCGGACGATCTGGACGCCATTGAATAGCCGCTGGCGGACGTCGGAAGAATGGGTCCAGTCTGGAACGTGAAGCGTTAGAAGAGGTCATCGGGAAAGCCGGGAATTTCGCGTATAGGCTCACCTTTAACCTGAGTATTTTCGCCCTGCAAATGACGCACCGCAAGGGCAGCAGCCTTTGGGACACGGCGATTTGTATCGTTTTCACGAAGCACTTTCGGCAGACGACTTGATGGCCGCAGGGGGACGTTTGCATGGTGGCCTTGGCGTTTATGCATATCACACACTGGAAACCAATGCAGTGAGAACCGAGCAATTAGTGAATGTATAACGCAGATTGTTCAAATTGTGTTTGTTACAAGATTTGAAGGTTACCTCTTCCTCCGGCGTGGTGGCCAATTCCGGTTCGGTTTCTTCCAGTTTGCTCAGGAGTTTTTCCTGGATTAGAAAAATTACAAAAAAATGTGTGTAGGTACATTAAATTTATAAATTACGTGGGTAGGATGAAAAGTTCTCGGTCTTAATCATTTATAACTGTCTAGAACCATTTAATTTGAACGCTTCAGATCCATTTAAAACGCTCCATAGTCATTTAGAACGCTTTAGAACCATTAAGAACGTCCCAGAATTATTTAGAACTGTATTGAACTAAATATTTCGACATAATGCGAAGAATAATCTAATTTTTCAATTGAAAATCACGGTCTTTCGTTGTCATCCGAGAACTTATCACCTTACCCTTGTAGAGTAGGTGTATATATCTAATAGGTAAACATATCAGAGAATTGATTAATCTAGTATTAAGAGAGTTTATTAGCATGGTGGAAAAACGGACAGGTGTGGATATAAACGGGTCGTTATTTGTTAATGAACGCTTTGTTTTCCTTTTGCTTTCCCTTTTTCCGAGCCTGTGTATAGTGATTCTCGTAATTACAGTTCGGTCTAAAAATAGGAAAATCGTTTAGGTTCCCTTTGAATTCGATTTTCCCGGCTGTCAATCAAAAGCGAAATTGCGAAATTTATATCGCTCGAGAAATAATTAATCGAGCTCGATGTACCTAAATTTGGATACGATTGAAAACAATGAAACTAATCCGTTGGAAATAACGTTGCGCTACTTTTAGAGGATTAAAATAATCCTGGAGCGAGTATCATCCTGGATAAATTCCAAAACACTCCGCCATAAAATCCACTTAACCCGACCGATTTACCCCTAATAGGCGGCTAATTAATTAGCTGCCAGGGAAACTCTCCAGGTGTGAAATGAAACGCATTATGGTACTCGCTAGAAATTCTAATTTTAATTTCGAAAACACGAAAGCCCCCTTAATTAGATTGCTAATTCAACGCGAGTAAATTGAATACATTCCGCGCCGGAGCGCCCTCAAAACGAACCTAATTGTTGAAAAATCGATCGGGAGTCATGCAAAATAAGCCAAAAATAATTACGAAAAAAATCCAATGAAACACGTACGATTTTGTTATTCAAATGAAGCAGCTCCCGTTCGGCCAATCGCCTGTTGGCGTTCTCCTTCCGTTTCCGCTTGTACTGATTGTACTTGTAGAACAAGTACATGCCAGGCAAGGCCAATACGATGAAGGGCTTCATCAAAGGGCTCGGTTTCGGACCTTGAGGCATCGCGCTTCGATCAGCTGCAGCTGCAAAAAAGCTGTGCTTTTGAGATATTCCCTTTGAAGTGTTCTGAAGATTGTGTGGATTAAGAAAAGCGTGTAATTGGAAGATTTTCTTTGCTTTGTCAAGATGAAAGGAAGTTTTAGAGTCGAGTGATTTTGGATTTGTGAAAGAAAAACTAATACTAATTACAATTTTTAGATAATTAGATGTGTATTAAGAACAAAGAAGAATTGATTCAAGTGACCTTTATTTATTTCTAATTCAAAATGCTTTACATTTATCAATGTGAAATATCAATATTTTTACGTAATCATTCAGAATAAAGAGATTGACAGGAAAACTAAGTAGCACAAATTTGAAGCTTAATATTTTCCCTATAGTTTGAACATACAGTGAGTTTTCTATAGTAAAAAATTTTGATAATAATAAGGAAAAATTGTGCAACTAATTTAAATTTTTTCACCTCCAAATAACTCGAAAACTAGTAGCTCTAAATAAATTTTTCTACCATCAAATCAAACCTCAAAGTTACCCCTACGAAAAAAAAACACAAAATCAGCTTACTGATGAGTCAATAATTCCCCAAAACCCCAACTAACGCGCAGAAAAAACTACCAATAAAATTACCTTCCGATTAATTCATCATCGAAACAACAAAAACAACCAACAGGAATAATCACAAACTCAAATTTAATTAACGAAAACACGGCAGAATTTTTGGCACGACCGCGATAAAAAAGGCACACACGCCTACTAGATGTATAGTATTATTTTTATGTTTATGGCGAAACGTGCGCGCGAGAAAAGGACAGCGAACGTGGTGTACGTTGAAAAAGCCGCCCCTGTTGTCGCGAATGGGGAGCGTCGCGACGCCGACGTCACGTCGCAACGCCAACTGCGGATCGGCCGTTCGATATCCAAACAGGGCCTACTCAGCGATCCTGGAGAGTAGGCATTGGTCCTGCGCGGAAAGGATAATATTATATCAATTTAATGAGAATTGAGGAAGGACTGGTTATGAGTGGGTCGTCTTTCTCTCGTAATTTTTTGTGTTGATAAAATGAGTAATAGAGTAAGTATAGGTGTAATTTTATTCACTCAATTTTGACAAAAGATACTTTATTTTCAGTGGTTTTCTGTAAGTAATCTTCAAGTGTCTAGAAAACTATTGTAATAAAAAAAACGAAATTTACAGCAATTTATAGCAAAAACACTCCTATACAAATTTCCAATTAGACAATATTGAAAAAACCTAAAATTATCGAGATATTTTTCACTTCTTTACGAAAAAATTCCCAATTTTTAGTGTTTTCTGTAAGTAATCTTCAAATATCTCGAAAACTACTCGAAATAAAAAAACCAAATTTACGCCAATTTATAGAAAAAACATTCCTCTACAAATTTCAAAATGGAAAATTTAGAAAAAATCTCAAATTTCCGAAATATTTTCATTTTTTCGCCAAAAAATACATAATTTCCAGTGCTTTTCTGGATTATCTCCAAAACTATTTGAAATAAAAAACCAAAATTTACACCAATTTATAGGAAAAACATTCCTCTACAAATTTAAAAATGGAAAATTTAGAAAGAATCTCAAATTTCCGAAATATTTTCATTTTTTCGCCAAAAAATACATAATTTCCAGTGCTTTTCTGTATTATCTCGAAAACTATTTGAAATAAAAAACCAAAATTTACACCAATTTATAGGAAAAACATTCCTCTACAAACCTCTACCTAAAATTCAATGATTTCCTTACTTTTTTCGGGTTCACGTGTAAAATAGAAAAAAAAAATCAACATTTACTTCATCATTTAAATATAATTAACCATTGTTCTCTCCAACTATATTTACAAAATCACAATAACAGTTTGTCATGAAACGTTCAAAAAACCTACAATAATAAATACTCATAAAAAAATATAAAAAAACAGTAATAATATAACCCCATCAAAACATCACCAAGTAAAAAAAGTTATCTATAATAATGGAATAGGAAATCACAAATTGTACGTATATGGTCATAAAAAACTTTTCTATGGTGCTTCAACAAACAATATTCATAACAAACCTGTAAATATACTACACCTCATCCCATGCAGCTTGACACTTGACAGTGGGTTATCGCATTAGATGTGTAAGAGAGATGAATAATTGATGTTAAACAAAGACAGCATCTTTTACTACACAAGAAATGTCGGACGGTACAAATTTCCAAATGGAAATTATGCAATTAACAGAGCCCTCTTTGCTTACATTACTCCCTAATTTGCATAAAATATTCCAACTGTCAAGCTACAGGGGATGTGATACAAACACACAAAACAAAGTTTCGGGTCGAAATTTGTCAAAAAGCACGTTAGAATTAAACTAATAGACGCTTCAAAACTGGTATAGTCTTCGTTTGCCCCAGAACTGTTTTCAACGATTCCGAAGTCTTCAATCCCCAAACATCTAACGGAGCTCTCGACATACAAGCGATCCTTAAACAAAATAACACCCAGTATATAATAGTAAGTATCTACAGATACGTGCAAAAATGTTTGCTATGGGTGCAACAAAGACTTACTAACTACCATTACCTCAATAAAGTGTTATGTTTTAAAAATGTCAAGTCAGTGGTTAACTGTCAGATGTCAAACAAACATTGTTTAACTCAAGTGTTTTTTTACGATTTTCATTTGATAACCGACATAAAGGAAGAAGAAAGAATGCACTCTAACCCAATATGTTATTGTAATAATCTTTCTTTGTTCGACTCATACAGAATTCGCAATATTGCGAACAAATTTGCATTTATCTGTATAATAGGAAATCGTCATAAGGTAATGTTTACCTGCCGCCTGAGATGGAATGCAAGAATTTCCAATAACTGGGCCGCAGATTGGTGGGTTCCAAAATAGCTGCGTGAAACAAAACTGCCGTGCTGAAGCAGTAGAGGAACTCCGTGAAACCCGGCACTTTCGGGACGATGCCTTTTCTATGCCTGAATTGTACGTTATCTAACACGAAGAAGTATTTATAATTTACGCCATTTTTTTTACCGGATTTACCATACCTGCGCTACTTTCCACAGTACATACAAGGATACAGTCGAATCGGGATAATGAACGAAGGCTGCTCCGGCCAATAGGCCGCTGATAAAGGCGTTCGCAGCGCCATCTTCGCCTCTGATCCACCTCGTAGCGCACGAAGAAGCCTATAAAACGAACAGAAATTAATGGAAAATATCATACAGATAAGTGCAAATTCGTGCGCAATGGGTACAACAAAGACAACATCCATTAGGCTCGTGTAAAGGATATAGAAAGAGTGATATTGTGTTTGTTCAACTTTAAAGTCGCGCTGTTATGGAGTAACTAGCGATATTCTTTCAATTGACAGATTTACATTGTTGTTATGAAGTAACTAAGGAGATTCTTTCATGTTTGGCAGTTTAACATTGTTGTTATGGAGTGAAAGTAACTAGGGACTTTGTTTAAGAAACAAATTTGCACTTATATGTATACCATCGATTAATTTTATTGATGATATTAACCCTGAATATTCCATTGTACAATCCCAAGAACAAGGCCAAGCTGAGTGTTTGTCTTTTGAACAGTATATGCTTTATCTTGCCAGGCGACTTGATCAACGAGCCTAAATTTAATAGTAACTTCAATGTTATTTGAACGCCTAAACCTAGCGTAAACATCCGTCCTGTACCCTAAAAAAAGATTATAAAATCACAAACATTCACTTCATGAATCGAAATTTCGGTGTATTACCTCTAAAGTATAATAGAAACAACTAAAGGGATGTCGACAGGTCTCGTGTTTCTCGTACATACGCAAAGTTTGCGCCATTTTCACTACAAAATTGTAAATAAACGACAATCTGTTCGCCCTGTTTCGCCTATTTTCCACTAAATTTCCAGGATTTTCCGCGACAACGCCACCAGAATTCGAATTTTCACCCGACAGTTTCTCCTCGTACGGTCCACATACGAACCTTAAACAAAATATTCACCATTTCGAACTCGAAAACTATCAAAATTTCCCTCACCTCATCACCCTAAACATGGAATCCCCGCGAGAACCACCGGCCTCCTGGGATCCCCGCTTGAAATACGCCGATAGGACGGCCATGCTCGCCCCGAAAATCGCGACGTTGCCGCATCGTATGTTTTGTATCATGCCCCGGGATTTGGCCATGTTCCACAGCGTTTCGGTGGCGACGTTGCTCACGTACAGGGCGAGCAAAATCCGCCTGCCCGGTCGCTCGATCAGTATGGAGAAAACGCTGGATAGAAACGCCGGCATGGCGGATACTGTTAACAGATTGTAGTGACCCATGGTTTTTCTGGAAAAGATGATTGATTTGAAGAGGAAATTTGATGTAAAAGAGTCAGTGGAAAATATACCTCAGTAGGCACAAGAAGAGCGAGTAACCTAAACCGGTACCGCTCAAGAAGGCCGTGGATTGTAATATTCCATAAAAGGTTTTTTTTAAATCTTCTTTAGTGGGTTTCCTGCCTTTCATTAGTAGAGTCAACTAAAAAACATGATGAGAATGCTGATAATTAAAAATGTTCATTACATGAAAAACTAAAATGTAAATAGAATGTGTTAATAATAAAATTGCTAAGATTGTTTCAAATTTTTTTCCGAACTTCGAGAAAGAATTGAAATAATTTAGATGCATTTTAAGTACCAATTTAAAACAAGCAATTTGACCTATAAAATAATCCTGAAACAATCAAAACAAATCAAAAAATCAATACACCTATCATTTAAACTACTAATACTATACAAGGGCGAGCTGAAAAGTTCTCGACTGGCAACGAAAGACCGCGATTTTCAGTTGAACAGTTACATTATTCTTCTTATTAAGTCAAAATCTTTAGTTCTAGACAGTTCCAAATGGTTCTAGAGCGTTCTAAATGGTTTTAGACAGTTTTAAATGATTCTGGAGCGTTCTAGACAGTTCTAAATGATTCAGGCCGAGAACTATTCGCGCTACCCTCGTATGATTTAATAAGATTAAGTATGCTCGTTTGATCCAATCAAAGCATACAAAATAAGTAACCGAGAACAAATTCAAAACGCCCATTTCCGTTAAACAATAACATATTATACAAGCAATCATTTTAATTAATCAAAATATGCAAAACAAACACAAACTTTTTAGCCATTTAATTACATTAATGATCACTTTACTATTTAATAAATAAGGCCATTAAAGCGATAACGAATAGAATTCATGATCATTAAAAATAACTATCAATCCTATCAATATCAAGTTAATTAACTGCCAATAAAAATAATACCTGAATACCCAATGATTAATGGAGTAACCATGGAAACCCCCAATCAAACTACCCCAACAAAACAGCATTTAATAATGATAATAATAATGCATTCGAAATACTTACCAAATAAACGGTGCTGTATACCCTAAAAGAATCGTACACACAGTACAAATAGAGCCCTGCGGAGGCCTGCAGGCAGCTATTCGTCCAAGGATGAACGTAGTCCCTACAGCTCACCCCGATGGGGGACATTTTGCTCAACGTTTGAGGCATTTAATTTGTTATTTATCTAACACTGCTAGCTTGAATTACCTCGCCGAGATCATGCTCGAACTAATAGTAGCAAGTCACAAATTTAAGCGTGACGATTTCACGTCAATGTGTAATTATTATAATTGTTGATATATCGCTGTGGTGGATCGTTCGAACTTTGATTGCCACTCGATTAATTGGAATTAGATGTTTTTTTTTGGTTTATTTACGTTATTTACTTTCTTATGACGTGATTTTTGACTGATAACAGCTGGTCTTGTCTTGACACGACAAACGTCAAATAGTAAAATATTTTGACAATTCTATATAACAGAAGAGTGGGTCTAAACTACTGAAGTTACTCAGTTATTATTCAAATATAAATGAATATGTTTAAAGCAGGACGCGCACTGAATCGACTCAGAACGGTCGGATCGGAACAGAACGTTCGGAACGGAAGCGTATGCCGCGCACCGATTCAGAGACTTCGGAATGCATCGGAATATTTTAATTATTTTATACATTATTGTACATACATTGTATACTCGCTCGCTGACCCACACACTAGGTGGATGCTTTATTTCCATCCCTTATTTCTAAATCGCTATTATCAAAAGGAATATGCACATATTTTCATAAAAAAGTATCTACATTACTCATTAAATAGTTCATTATAAAAAGGTAATACGAATTTATTTAAATTTAATCTGTGAAAAATCAATAGTTTGGGGACGATATTCCAAGTAAATTTAGTATCGACAAAGATAGCATTACATAAAAAAAGATAGACCTTCGGAACGTTCGGAAAAGTTGCCCCTTCGAGAATACTCTGACGATTCCGATCCGATCCGACCGTTCCGATCCGATCGTTCCGATTGAGTGCGCGGTACTGCATTTATTTTCGTATGTACCAAACTCTTCCGAACGCTCTTTTCCGATCCGACCGTTCCGAGTCGATTCAGTGCGCGCCCTGCTTTAAACATCTAATTTACGATACTTTCAAATATATTCTTTGTATAATACAAAAATAATCATCAATGGATATAAAAAAAGGCGTAATTATTTGAATATGTTTGACACTATTGACATTGACAGTTAAAATTTTGACATATTTGACATCTTTCACTCTCGTATCTACAAATTACATTTTAGCATCGGCTTTGCTTTTCGAAATTGTGTATTATTCGTGTTTTTTGTAATATTTGTTAGAATACAAGTGTTTTGTACAAAGCATGCCACCGAAATTTAAATTTTCAGAAGGCGAGAAGGTTTTATGCTTCCATGGACCTCTAATTTACGAAGCAAAATGTTTAAAATCCACCATAACTAAAGAAAAACAAATCAAATATTTCATACATTACGCTGGATGGAACAAAAAGTAAACCTTTCCTAGTGCATCTAGCCTCTAATTTAATTTCGCCGTATATTGTTTCAGCTGGGACGAATGGGTGCCCGAAAGCAGAGTACTGAAGTACAACGAGGCCAATGTAGCTAGACAAAAAGAGGTGCAGAAAGCCCATTCAGCTCAGCAAAGCAAGACCAGAAAAGTCACAAAGAAAACACCGGTAGCTAAAAGCGAAGCGGGCAAAGACAGCGACTCCAGAGCTAGCACGCCCATCGCAGAAGTAGTCACTACTAAAGGTAAGTTTGTTTACTCTACTACTACTACTCAGTCCTCCTCAATGGAGGTTTATATCTCCCATAACAGGGCTCCAAAGATTCGCCTGTGTGGCACAGCCTAATACGGACACTTTAGGTGGACTTGGTCCGATATTTCAACAGCCATTCTGCTATCTTTTTTAACCTACTCCTTGGCATATGATAACATTTTTATACATTTATATGGCAATTATTTTTAAAGCTACCAAGAAGAAAGAGGTTAGCACCCCTTCGAGCGGACAGGATTCCAGTTCCGATGTGCCCAAGAAGAAACGAGGTCGTTTGGATCCATCCGTAGAAGCCGAGGAACAATTTCTCAGTAAGGTCGAAGTCAAAATCAAAATACCCGATGAGTTAAAACCTTGGCTGGTAGACGATTGGGACGTAATCACCCGACAAAGGAAATTGTTCAATCTACCCGCCAAGACCAACGTAGAACAAATATTGGACAACTATTTGAACTACAAGAAGAATACTAAATCGAATAACACGAGTAAAGAATCTGCTACTATAGAAATTATTAAAGGTAAACTGCATCGTTATTTACTTAACTTGTGCTAACTAAATGTAACTCGTTTTCAGGTATAAAAGAATACTTCAACGTAATGCTGGGTACTCAGTTGCTGTACAAATTCGAAAGGCCTCAGTACGCGGAAATTCTCCAATCGCACGCTGATAAACCCATGTCGGAGATATACGGAGCTATACATTTGTTGCGTTTGTTCGTTAAATTGGGGGCCATGTTGGCTTATACGCCGTTAGACGAGCGGAGTATCCAGTTGCTCTCTCAAAACGTGCAGGATTTTTTGAAGTATTTGGTGAAGAATAGCGCGCAATTGTTCAATTTGCAAGACTACGGCAACGCGTCGCCTGAATACCACAGGAAAGCTCTGTGATACAAGGAAGATTTGGATTGGGATAGTTGCGATTAATTGGTTTGTTTAGTAAGATTAGATTCGTTTAGTCCGTTTTTCGCATTGTATGATTTGTTATCTGATAACGTGCCATAAGAGCGGAAGAGTAGGTAACAAATCTTTAGTTTTATATCTGCATTTTTAATGATGATTTTAGGGTGATATCCTGGACGTGTCACGTTCATTAGAAGTTTTAAATTGGACTGAAATTAACTGTACTTCTAATTTGGAGTTTTCATAGATTAACTGAGTATATTAGTCTGGCTGATTGCAGTATTATGGAGTTTAAAGTATAGAAATGTATACTGGAAAATTGGCTAGTAAATTGGTTATTCTAATGATTTTAGAAAGAAATTAATTGCAATTAAATGTAGTAATTAGACAATTGAGCGACCAAAGTACGATTCAAAATTCGAATAGTATTTTTTTATATCTAAATAGGTGAAATCTTTCGAATTTTGAATCATTAATAAATTTTAGTCGGAGGAATAATTCGATCATACACATAGAATGTTTCCTTTAAAAACTGAAACATGTAAGATTAATTTTTTATTAGTATTTTGTTAAGTTATTGCTTAAAAAGTTGAATTTTGTCATGAATTATTTAGTTAGAAAATATGCATAAGGACTGTAATAAAAGTTATTATAAAGTACGCCAGTAGCTTTTTATTCATTAATTTATAATTTGAATTTTCCATTTTATTTTAGTTTACAATTGTGGTCTCATTAATTGTAATATTCGGCCACTATTAACTGTCAAAAATCACAAATTCTTCTTTTTATTTTAATTAATTTTTTTATTATTCAAGTGACGTTTCATTTAAAACTTTCTACTTGTAATCAAGTTTAAAGTTCAATGTACAAGTGATAAAAAATACTCGAGAACGAGTCTATTAAAATCACCGCAGTGGGCTAGTAACAGCTTGTTATAATGGCTGATTTAAAATTCGACGGTCGCGTTGTGGTAGTAACCGGAGCGGGAGCGGGCCTAGGAAGGGCCTACGCCCTTCTATTCGGCTCCAGGGGCGCCAAAGTGGTCGTCAACGACCTGGGAGGCGGCAGACACGGAGACGGGAGCTCCTCGAACGCCGCCGACGCCGTAGTCGATGAAATCGTACGAAACGGAGGAACAGCCGTGGCCGATTACAATTCGGTCGTAGAAGGCGAGAAAATCATACAAACCGCTTTAAATAAATTCGGTAGAGTCGACGTTTTGATTAACAACGCTGGGATTTTAAGAGACAAAAGTTTCGCGAAGATATCCGATCAAGATTGGGGTAAGTCGACCGGTTTGTTTTGGAACTAATCTACACGTACGTTAATATTGTAGATTTGGTACACGCTGTACATTTAAAAGGCAGCTTCAAAACAACCCAAGCCGCTTTTCCCATCTTCAAGAAGCAAAACTACGGAAGGGTTATTATGACAGCTTCTAATTCTGGACTATACGGTATGCAATCGTATTAATCGTATCCTCTACTAGCTATAATTCGTTATATAACTTTAAGGTAATTTCGGACAAGCTAATTATTCAGCCGCTAAACTAGGACTAGTAGGTTTGGCAAACACGGTAGCCATCGAAGGACGTAAATACAACATTTTCTGCAATGTTATTGTACCGACCGCAGCCAGTAGATTAACCGAAGACATTTTACCACCCGATTTATTCGCCGAATTGAAACCGGAACTAATTGCTCCTGTAGTCGTAAGTATCTTCACCCTATTCTTCACGCCCTATTCATCGGAATATAATTGTTTTAGGCGTATCTTTGCCACGAAAGTTGCCAAGAGAACGGCTCTATAATAGAGGCGGCGGCGGGCTGGGCGGGTCGTTGCGCTATCGTTAGATCGAACGGGGCTCTTTTGAGACAGAAACCCGAAGATCAGGTATCCATCGAAGCGGTGAAAGACAATTGGTCTACTATTAGAAACTTATCGAACGCTCAAAAATTAGATACCATCGAAGATGCCACCGGGGCACTCATGGCCTCCTTGGACGCCCTAAGAGGAACCGGGGGCGATAGAAATGCAGAAGACGTGGATAGTTTCGAATTTTGCAACAAGGATACGATTTTATACGCGCTAGGAGGTGGATAAGATTAATTTTTTTAACGTGTAATATTCACAATTTGTTTGTAGTGGGGGCTTCAGTGGCGTCCGAAAAGGAACTCAGATACCTCTACGAAAACGACGAATCTTTCTCCGTTTTACCGACGTTCTACATCATACCGGCTTTGCAATTGCTAATGTCTTCTTCGAACGTTTCGAACGCTGTTCCCGGCAAAGAAGTGAGCCTCGAGCAAATCCTGCACGGCGAACATTACTTGGAAATCGTCGGGGAAGTACCGCAAGAGGGTAAACTGACGTCCAGAGCGAAGGTTTCCGAGGTACTCGACAAAGGATCCGGCGCTGTCATCGTCACAGATGGTACTTATGAACGAAACGAGTCGTATTCAGGGCTCTGTTTTAATCGTTAATCGCTAATCGATACATGTCGCAAGTATCTAGTTACAAATCTAATTAAGAGATCTAAGAAGATTCATTCATTTGACAGTTCTACATTGTAATTATGGAGTAACTATGAACATTGTTTAAGTAAAAGAGACTCGCGATTGAAAATGAGCACTAAATAGGGGTTTTTCGATACATTAATGGTTGTTTTTCCAGTGGAGACTTGCGATCAAAACGGTAACGTGGTGGCTTTGAACCAGTGCATCACGTTCGCAGTAGGCGCTGGTAATTTCGGAGGTCCTCGGGCCGGTACGAAAGCTGTGCCTTGTCAAGCGAAGCCGAGCAGAAGCCCCGATGTGACGGTTTCTCAGAAAACCTCGATCGATCAGGCCGCTTTGTATCGCCTTTCTGGTACGATTGCTACATTTTTTTTTCTATAAATCGTTTTCATTTAACTCGTTTTTCTCAGGCGATACGAACCCTCTTCATATCGATTCGAACGTGGCTGCGATTGCTGGTTATAAGAGGCCCATTTTGCACGGATTGTGCACTCTAGGCTTCTCGGTGAGGCTCGTACTTTCCGCGTTTGCTGATCACGATGCATCCTTATTCAAAGCCGTAAAGGTAATGATTTATAAATATTTTGTACCCGCTAGTTGGTATTAATTTTCTCGCTTTAGGTTCGTTTTGTGAAACCCGTATTGCCGGGAGATACGTTGAAAGTCGACATGTGGCGAGAGGGCAACAGAATTTTCTTCGAAACCACTTCAGTTGATAGCAATCAAGTTGTTATAGGCGGTAAGTTTTATTTGAATTAACCGAATAACCGTAATGTATAGGCTATGCGATCATACATAGAAAGAAGAAGTGACAGGTGGTTGACATTTGACATTACGTATTTAATGGTTGTCATGATCTGGTTATCAGTTATTTAGGCTCATCAATATTTATAATTAGGGTCAAAAATTAGATTTATTACGATTAAATCGATACTGGAGTATTTAGAGATAATTTTCAATACTCTTATCAGCTCGAACAACTTATTATTACAATTGTGAAGTTAATCGTTTCGTGAATTTGTGTGGTTGCTGTTGGTCTAATTGGTAAGATGTGCTTGTTAAACTTATTCGTAAACTATTAAATTGGTCGTTATTAAATTATATCAATCTTTAATTAACTGTTGAAATTGATTTAATTGTTTTTGTTAGTTCGAATAATGTAAGAAGTACTCATATTCGTGAGGTATTATAGTGGCTTAGAATAACGTTGATTGACAAGTTAAAAACCTATTAATAATGTGAATTAGTAGCTTATTATCCATTTAGAACCTAAATTGCAGTTATCCTCACATCAAACTAACACTATTCTACCTCATTTCAAGTGGAAAAACGAGCATGGGTTCGCGGTTCAAAGTACAATTGGTTTTTGATAATTAATTACAATCAGTATAAATTTTGCAACCTTTGTAATAATACTCACTTATCTTTACTAGCTCTACAAATCATTTTAATTCGATAAGAGTTTTTTTATGAATACAAACCTTTTATAAACATAAATTTCTTTTCGTAGGGTCCTACGTCGATTTAAAATCAGTTAAATCCGCAATTAAATCTACACCTACAAACATGTCGAGCCTAAAGAGCGATGCAGTCTTCGAATTCATCGTAGATCAAGTAAAACAAGACCCGGGTAAAGCCAAATCAGTTGGAGGTGTTTTCCTATACAACATCACTAAAGATGGCAAGCAAGTGAAGCAATGGAGTAAGTAATTAATTAATAATTATTCGAGTTAAAATGCTAATTAAAACACGTTATTGCAGCTATGGATTTGAAGAATGCCAAAGTGTTTGAAGGTAAACCAGAAGGAAAACCTAACACGACTCTGACGGTCTCCGACGATGATTTTATGCAGCTAGCTGAAGGAAAATTGAATCCTCAACAGGCTTTCATGAAAGGAAAATTGAAGATCACCGGGAATATTATGTTGGCTCAAAAATTGGCGCCGCTTTTGAAAACCAACGCTGCCAAATTATAATTTTTTATCTATTTCTAGGTGTCATTATTGATTTTTTTACTTTAAAATGGTGTTATATTATGGATAGGTTTTGTTATGTACTATTGATATTGTGATGGTAGTATTTTATATTTACTTTAAATAAAAAAAAAACTATTCACATTATTAGTGTTTTAATTAATTGCCTACACTTGGTAAAAAGAATAGAAACAAGTTTTGTAAGTTGGTTTCGTTTATTTACAATATTATGGCACATAAATGTTTAAAATAAAACTCTTCCTATTTCTAATACTGTTTTAATACCTATATGTGTATAATACATGCGTTAAATTTAGGGATTTTTTGAGTGGATGCCGTGATTAAATGAAAAGTTGAAAATAAACAGAAATGTATAAAATTTTCACGAAAAATAAAACTTCAAAACTCTACACTATCCACGCATTTTATCACAGAATTTCGAAATTAAACGTGTTCATTCAGACCGATCATTGGAAGACAAAAGCTCCAGATTCCAAACAAAAACAATTCTTAAAAAAAATATAAAGATACAAAAAAGTAACCTAGTCGAATTGGACCAAAACAAAATTAATCCTAATAGCCCAGTGTGGAAGTATCAACACTTATAATTGTTTACACAACTTTTTGTGGGATAAAAATGTACTTAACCACTGTACTAATTTCGTGAACAATAAAAATTACCCCCAGAAAATCAGTTATCGGCTTTATTTCCGTTAGATTCGCTAATATTACTCGTGCTGGGCGCCACTGAAATCGTGCACTCGCCTATCTTAGCTATAGCCGTGCTGTTTTCAAACAGGCCGATCTTTTCGAAAAAATTACTATCAGGCTTTCGATCGGGCTCCTCCTCGTCCTCCTCGTCCTCTTCGTTGTTTTTCTCCAGCGCTTCGGTTTTTATCTCCACCAAAGGCTCCATGAGACCTTGCTCGTGCAGATCGGAATCCACTTCCATGTCCGAATTGCCGGGGAAACACTGGCCCGGGCCGCTCTCTTTGTAGAGGTAACCCAGGTCCTCGAAGGAGTCTCTGCACAGGTTTTGGTATCCTTGCAAGTTGTGAAAGCCTGTAGGTGAAAACGGCGAAAATTAATGGAATTGTTTCGTTGTGTGGGAGTAGTTAAAACTGGTTAAATGAACTTACCACTCTGATTTAACCTGGGCCTACCTCTCGGTCGTTTGAAAGGCCGTGCAACTACAAAAGTAATAAAAACCTGGAATTTCTCTCATTCCCATATAAAAATGAATAGCGTAAAATATTACTAGAGAAAGAAATGATGCGTTTCGGTTAAAATTAAGCATGTATGTGTGTTTGGTAAATGTATAGAGAGTATCTTGTAAAAAAATACACTCTTTATACATCCACTGTTATTACTTTTGTTTTTGCGATAAAATAAACGAAAGTTAATCGGAAATTCGACACTATTCGTATTAAATATTTCACTAGGAAATTTCCGAATAACGAATCGTTATTTTCTAATTAGTTGCTCAAATATAACTGTGTTAGAGAAGCCTTAGCAAATGATAAAGTGTGTAATCTATTATACATAGAAGATCAGAGTTTATTACTAGCGTTAATAATGTTAAATTAAATATTAAATGCACTACTCACCAACAGGATTGATCCTCGGTCGTCCTCTGGGTCTTTTAAACAGAGGTTTCGGAACTGGAAAAAAAGACAGATATAATTCACAAGATCATTAAAAATTACTAGACCAAACCAAGGAAGAAGTTATCATTGGTCCTTCCCAACCAAGAGGCCTTCAGCCTCAACAATCGCCTCAAGAACGAGGCACTCAAAGCTCAAAAACAACTGGACTACGTCGTAGCTAGGCCAAAACAAGGAAGAAATCCCATTCTTAAGAATCTCTTTTGGCCTCAAGAATCGCCTCAATTACCTCAAGAACGAGGCATACTCAAACCATAACAGTACCACGTCCAAAATAAAGAGAAACAAGAAGAAGATAAGAAAGTACAAACATTCATACCAGGCGGATATTTCCTCGGCCTCCCTCTGCCTTTCTTCTGAGGCACTTCCTTGAACCCTTCGCTGAACCCCACGCTCGAAACAGCCTCCTCCTTCGGAACGATCGAATTCGAGGACTCCACCATGTTCGTTTCGGGCGTAAGAATATCCACATGGTCGATCGTCTGCAACACAAACCCTCTTTCGAACTCTCCCTAGTGCAAGAAAATGCCACTTACATAGAGCGAATCCGGCCCCAAAGCCTCGTTGAGAGCGTGGAGCGCGGCGTCGTGGAGCTCGTGCGTCTTGTGCACGTGGTGCTTGAGCTTGTCGTGGCGCGAAAACGCTTTGTCGCACTGATCGCAGGCGAACGGCCTTTCGCCGGTGTGCACCAGCTGGTGCCTGCTCAGGTGGGATGCTCTCTTAAAACTGCAACACCGGGAACCGGTAAACTTCCGGATTCTTCTTCGATTAGAAATGTACTTACCTACTAGGACACAAGTCGCATTTGAATTTCCTCTCTTTCCTCGCCCAAACGCTCAAAGGTCCGCTCGGCTCGTAATCATCTCTGGATTTCGCACCGTGCTTGCCGTTTATGTTGCTCGAATCGGTCGTGGGGGAGTTGGATCCTTCGGTTGATTGGTGGATTTGCGTGGATTGGACATTTTCTGCAAAGCGACTTGTTAGAAACGGGTTGAGTTTGGGTACTTCCCCGGAAACTGTACCAGATTCTTTGCCGGGAGAACGGGTAGGTGAAGCGGATTCTGCAGAAGTGCTGGTTCTTCTCTCGGTTTGAGTTGGAGTTTTTGAGCGGGAGGTGGACGGGGATTGAGCATCGTTGATGTCGAAATCGACGGCTACTCGTTTTTGACCCTTGAACCTCGTGTCTCGTCCTATACCGTTGGTTTTCTATGGAAAACGGTTGATTATACATAGTGATTTCGTTTGAATAATTATTAGGTATGTGGTAGAAATTATTCAGGAATATATAATTAAAATTTAAAGCAGTTATTAATTTTAAATCGTTATCTTACGTAATAAATTAATAATATTATCCGAATAGTTTCATTATATCGAATGGAACGAAAAGATAAAAATATTTCGCGATTATTTTTAATTAGCATTTACATACAATAGCAGAAAAACAATTTATTATTATTCTCTATAATTCAATAAATTGCTCTTATCTGGAATAGATGGCGAAAATAAAAATTAAGAGAAAAAAAAGCCACTTTATTATCTTTATTGTTTTAATTCTATTAAGACAATGAAAATTGTTCCATACAGAGTGATGAAAAAATTTTACTACAACATTAACATTTGCTGTTTTAATGAGTGTAGGTACTATGATTATCTTTTAGTGTTTTGTTCATTTTAATGAGTATTTCTAATTGGTGTTGTAGCTATTCCTGTAAATATTTTGGCATTATTTCGAATATTTGTATGTCCAGATTGCACTTCCAATATTTATACTTCTAATTTTATTTTATTGTACTCTTTTAAAATTAAAAGAATTAATTTTTGCGCTAAATTCAAATTGAACATAAAATTATTTCCATTCGAATGTGAGGAATGTGCAATAACTGAAATAGGAAAACACCGAAGAAATGATGTAGAGATAGGGATATAGGAAAGATCCGGCAACGTTGTAAACAGTTTTTGACCTTGATACGACTCTATTATATTTCCTTTACATAAACGTAACATAGAATATTGGATTACAAGCCATTTTATTTCAATTTCGTAAAATCTAAACTCACCAATTCCCTAGTGGCGTCGACGGCCACTCCGTTGACTTTCAATTCCTCCAACAACGAATAAATAGCGTTCAAATTATCGCCGGGCACGTCGATGGATCCCCTGTAGATCAAATCGACGAGATGCTTGAGTTGTACGTAGGAAATGCCGTACATAAAAATAGCATTGTCGTCGGCGTGATCGAGGAAAACCTGCTTGAAATACCTACTGCTCGCGGCCAAAATCACTTTGTGCGCCTTTATGGCACCGTCCTTGCAATACAACACACAATCGGTGAGCAAACAGTCTTTGTACAGGGCCTCGAAGACGTTGCCGATGTTCTCCAGGTGCCTGTCGGTGAAAACGCGCACCATTTTCTGCAATTTCATAGTCCCATCGAAGTGCACCGACTCCCACTGAGCGAATTTTTATTTTAATACGCGATAATTGCGAGCGAAATTTATTTTATTTACGTCGTTTTCGGCGTAATTTTACCTCGGTGTACTCGCCACTGCTGCTCCGCGCCCTTTAGGTTACACACTAAAGGGGGGCTCGACTCGGTATCGATTTATTTCGTGTTGCCCCCTCTTCTAAATCGCAAAATACCCTCTGGAATTAATTATAACTCCCGGCCCGAGCTGGGTTCGAGGACGGACCCAATATAATGTACGGTTATTTTTTTTTTAATAATATTATTTCGGTATTTTTCTCTTTTTACTTGTTCGCTCGCGTTCGCGTCGCCTCGATTATTTATTTTATTATTTATTTAGTTTATCTCCAAGCGTACCGCGCTCGCTGCAATTATTTTTATTTAAATAATACTTTTTAAGGCGTGTTATATCGCTGTACATTTTTTATTTTTCTTTAGATATTTGTAATTTTTTTTAAATTTATATTACTCGATTATTTTTTATAGCATACATACGTAGATATAAAAACAGATCTATTGAAAATAATTTTACTTGCGGGATTAATATTTTTATAAATATTATCGATAAAATCAAATTCATAGTATACCTAATAAAAAAGATATGTACTTCTTATCTCTACATAATTGAATAATTGTATAATCCCTTTCAATTAGTTTTTTATCTAATTTATACATGAGATATTTACTTTTAAAGTTAGTCTAAATATTTCTTCTTCTAGCTTCTATAGAACTACAATGATCAAATCCTTCATTCTACATAAGGAAACAATTTTTACCATCGAATAAAGTACCAATTCCAATGAGCATTTGGGGAGTATTAATTCGAATTTGTACAGATTAAATTTTATTTCAGACAAACGACATATAACAAAAAGTACATAATTATAATAAGTAGGTAATTTCCTAATTAATTTGCTCTTCTCTCTAGCTTTCAGTGTCCTCCATTTTCCATCTTCAGTTTCTTCGATTTGGGTGGTTCAGTGCACGTTGAGTTAGTCATCAAAAATGGCAATTTGTGTTCTAACGACATGTTATTCTCGGGCGGTAAACCTGCGAAATTATCGAATTTAATAACGCCATTATCATTCGATGTATTACTTACCTATGCACGCTTTCATTACATTCTCTATGCAAGCCCTTTGCCGGTTCAAAGCGTTGATAACCGGCGCTCCGTTGGGCACCATGGGAGCCTTACAAAGGTAACTTAGAATCGACAGCACCGGATGAAGACCGGTGTATTCCTCATCGCTCCAATCCGCCCTTTTCACTTTCACTCTGGAGAAGAGCTCCGCCAGAAGCACCAAGTCCAGTATGATGGGAGTAGCCAGAAGGGAATCCTCGCACGTGTTGTATATCACAATCGTATTCAAACCTCCCATTAAAATTTCTGAAGTGTATTCGTCCATTGCTCGTTTCGAATCGCCTGCAAATTTACCAGCCATCAATGTTTAATATAATTATTAGATAGTTATTAAAATTACCAACGTACGGTGCGTATTTGATTACCACGACGTGATCTGGCTTTTCTCCGGGACTGTAGAGCACCTCGTTGGAATTCACCATGTCATCTACCACGTTACTTTTGGATATCTGGAAATAAATGTATGGTTACTGGAATTGTAAAGGTAATAGTTGGGGATTTCGAGGAATTCAGGCTGGTTAAAAAGCTCGTTAGTGCAGAGATTAAAATATATTGAAGAAACTGGAAAGACTCTTTACACCTCATTGTGTCTGAATAATTTGTTAGTAAAACAGTAAAGGCAATAGTGGAATAGATACAAGACACAAGAAGCTTAAGTTCTGAACAGTAATCAAACCATTTCAATATGGTTAAAGCTTGTTAGTGAATCGATTAAAATGCGTTGAAGACACATGAAAGTCTCCTCACCTCTTTGGATCTGAATTGCTTGGGAGCAGACAAATTCATCCCGTCGTTGTTACCGAGATGATTGTAACTGACGATGCTGACCGGTTTGATGCCCGCCCCGACCAGGAAATCCACCAAAACGCTCTTGATCTTCGTCTGTCCCGATTTGAAATCGTCGCCGGCGATGAAGACGCCCTGCTTCTCCGCGAAATCTACAATTCCCGGCACGAAGGTGTTCTGCGGGGCGCCGTTGATGTAAGTGCACCCGGCGGATATGCAGCCGTAAGCGAATAGAGTCGAAGGGGATATTTCGCTGTGATTAGAAGCTATAGCGGTTTTGATGTTTTCAGCGGTGTCGTTAATACCTTCGATAACGTTGCTGTAGCATTCCGTGTTCGCTGTCCACACCACGACGACTTTATCCAGGTCATTGGTCTTTTGGAAATCCTGGATGTCCGCTTTGATGCGCTCCAGTTGATCTTGCTTCGTGCCGGAGATTAAATTGTCAGCGCGAGTCATCTGTGAACCGATTTGAGTAGTAGATTTGTATCGTTTGAGTGCGTTTGGTTTACCTGATTGGCCGCTATAAATTCCGGTTGGTATACAGAAGGTCTGGGCTTCAAATTCTCCATGTGTGGTTTGAGTTGCTGTTGTAGCGTCACGTCCAAGACCTGCGCTCTTTCCATGGAGTCCGCTAGGTTGCTGGAGTTGATGTCCCAACCGTCGATGAAGATGTTGTTTGGATCCACCATGGGAAGGAGGTGGGAAAACGGCACGAAAACATCATCGCCCAAGGAAACTGTGGCGGCTTGTGTCAGGGAACCTGCAACAATATTTCTAGATGTAGAATGAGAATTGCTTCGATGGGGAAATGTTTGGGGTGAGGAAATGAATGACCGGCGAAACATCTAAAACCGCTGGGTGTACGGCGACATTATCATTAGAATAACTTACCGTACCAATTGGCTTTTTGTATTCTTTTTTTGGTGGGCCACGATAAACCAAGTTTATTGGCCAAAAGGGCCGCCGTAAAGGTGGATCCGTTATTGCCGCCCCATCCTACCAGCATAACTCCCAATTTCGGTAATTTCCTCGACGTTTTTATGACTAGTTTTTCCGATAACGGCGTTACCTAAAGAAAAACCAGATGTTTAACTATTTTTTTCCTTATCCTCCTACGCTGGGCTGCAGGTTTTCGACCGGAAAAAAACGCCCTTTAATCGCGCCGGTGATATTCCAAGGTGCCTACGCAGCAACGAATTCACGGAGAAATAATCAAATTATGCACTAATAAAACACAAGCAAGAATAATCCGTGCCAAAAAAAATTTAAAAAGCAAATATAGTACTTGCATAGAAAAATCTCTTGCGAGTTGTACAAGAATAACAATTGTATTTTACTACAATAACAACTATTTGATTATTTCAATCCTTCACCTGTAAATTTTACTAGAAACTGTTTATGTTATTGTACATACCCGAACGGCATTGCCGATTTTCTCCGCTTTAGTGTATCGATAAACGTAATTGGTCTCGATGAAATTGTCGGTGTATTTCACGTCTTCACTATTCACAATCACGCTCATTTTGGACTCGATATTCTCGGTAATTTCGGCAAATGGAATACTCTAATGCTCTCTAGTGGAAACGAATGCGTTGGGTCTATTTTTATATGAATGCGAAGGACCTGGAGTGTATACAAAGGCATGCGCACCGAGTTGTTGAATCGTTTCTAGAATATTCCACTGCAAGTCGATAGAGGGTGAGGGTGGTAAAGGGATGATTACTACTTTTTTTAACCCTTGAATAGTAAGCGTAAATGATGAGAGTATAGGCTGTTTCAGATACAACGAGAGATTTGGAGGACAATACTTGAGGGGTTGTAAATATGAAATACTCTGTATAAATTTGAGTATACTCCTTCTTTTTGGGATAAATTATTTAAGTACAAACCTGTGGCTTCGAAAGGCATTTATAGGCAGTACCGTATTTAGGAATATTTGGTCCGTCCAACGGTTCTAAAGGGAAATACAATTGTATAGAAAAACATATGGGGCAATTATAAATACATATTTGGTTCCTATAAAATTTGATATGCTGTTTATTTATTTATTTCAAAAAATAACAGCTATACATAATAATAAAGAAAAAATAAGAAACAAACCCTGTCTAATGCACCAAAAAAACTATAAAAATAATTAAAAAACATTAACATAATAGGTAAAAATCTTACATTTACTCCATTTTTACATTTACCCCAGTCTACATTATATTTAACAACAGAATCGCGTCCTGGAAAATTCAACTGCACTTCATGAAAAACCTCTACACTTCCATACTTAGAAGGCTCGAAAAGCTTATCGACTATTTTACAAAACCACCCCATTAAGTCTCGTCTAAATCATTCCACCCTACACCTACCCAATTTCCACCATTTCCACAAAATCTAGAACCTCGCGTTAATAGTACCACCTTCATCGGCAGTAATACTGCTTGCCTACCTTCGCGGGTACCACCTCGGAGAAGGTGCACCGTCGTAACCTTCGACGGGGTTCGTTTGACTCGACTTTTACACACATACCTGGCTTACGGCGGTTCTTAGGTCAGGTACCGAGAGAACCCAGCGCAGTACCAGCGCGCGTATCGCGAGTGTATCGTAGGAAGAGGTTTTTGTATTGTAAAAAAAAATCGGCGACAGGTGGTTGTGGGTATAGGACAACCGTGTGGGTATTATAAGGTGGATTTTGTTCTCCTTGCTGTGATAGAATTCGGGGGGTTAAAATGCGATGTTTGTGGACTTGGGTGATGTGAGTTTCGTTGGTTGAATGTGCGGTTAATTGTTTATTTGTGCATCCCTTAATAAGGATATATTTGATTGTGGCTTGCTTCGAGTAAAGGTGATTATTTTTTACATGTAATTAGATTTAAGGCGAACATAATTATCTGTTTTTGGTACCTAATTAGTCAATAGGTAATTCGAATTCAACGATAACAAACTTTTCAGCTCTACATATATTAATTTTTATTGTTTATAGTAAACAGGCGTGCATATTTTTTTTCATTATATCACAGTTTAAAAGGTGGTAGATTAATCTTGTACGTATAAAACTTCCCATAATTATGCAAGAATTTCGTGAAAGTAATTTTTACTCGTGGCATTTAGCGCAATGTTAAATGCATTATAATTTAAAACTAATCTCCACATACAATTTTAACATATTGTTCGAAATAAAAAAAAGTAGCTTCTTAATCAAAAATTTACTAAACTTTTTATGTACCCTTATTTTCCCTATACGAATTCCTACAAATTGCCTGTGAATTCCCAACTTTCCCTATGACATAATAACAGATATCGATAGTTAACAATTACACGAAAAAGAAATACCGCATTGTTAGTATAGAGTTCGGTTCACGACGAGACAAAGAAAGTAGGTAAATACGACTGTACATTAACCGGAAAATGAGGTTGTGCGAGAGACGTGGATGCTGAAAAGGAGTTCAATTCTCGACGATGAACCAAACCCGCGAACGAATGATTCACGCTTCGTTTTCTGTTACGAAATTGCGAGAATTAACGGGGATTTTGCACTCGATTTACTGTCGATAGATTTTCAATAATTCACCGATGGAATCAGATCAAGATCTTGTAGATAAATGCACAAAATTCGCGAAGATTCAAGCAAATAAATTCTTAGTTGTAGGGGTGATGAATTCTAATTCACTGACTGATGAGATCCTGGATTGTTTTTGGATATTTCACTCAATTTTCGCTAGTTTTCTTGAAATTCTAAAGAAAATTTTGATTGCTTCAAAATACCACATCCCATCAGATAATTCGTTGAGAAAACTTACGTGAAAAATAAATTTTCAATTGCACTTTTGATGTTTACAAACTTTATTAATAGTTTTGTCTACCAAAGGGCGTTTTTTCCATTCTTCAAAGTGATAACCGGAGCATATAAATGCAGTAAAAATCAATCCCCGATAATTATTTGGCGGGCATGCAAGAGGAAATGTCAAGAAAATTGTAAACCTACTTCTACAGGCTCGACACCTGCATACTAGTTCAGAATACATTAGCAATCATTACGAACTAACGGCACGTTTAAACTAATCGTCGGCCATAACATTTACAGATGTAAATAGGGAATACGATCGGAATGAAAAGTTCAAAACGATGTTTTAAAGGAGTACGTCACGTATTGTAAATTTGTTGTAGGTTGATTTTAACGGAGGAATTAATCGGTAATGTTAGGGTGTTTGGTAAAATCCATTTTTATTGATTAAAAACGAGTTTGAATTTATATCTGCTCGACGCCAAGTTCATACTGGCAGGTTAAAGACCTAATAAAACGATCGCAATTAGTTTCGTATGTAATTTTTCGCGTGAGATTTATCTCTTTTAATAACATTATTTTCGTTTTCTAATCGCACCGCTTTCGTGTAATTAGTCCCTCGTCTAACGTATGTTCTTTCATTTTTTTCATTCACCATTACATCGAAACGTCTGATTTTCTTCTGCGCTATATAATTTAAGTATAGCAGTACTTACATATCCTTTGAATAAGATATTACGTACCTACTTAGCCATTATTAATATCATAATATCACAGAAATTTGTACATTAATAGCTTATTTGAATATTCATTAGGTACATCACAGAAATATTTCAGTAGATTGAGTAATAACAGGAAATTTTACAGTACCAACCCAAGTAATAATTGCGAATTTATATATTTGTAAGTACAAATAATGGTTACTTATAAATAAAATCTTCGTAATCATTTTAATGTCTATTAATAGCCCGCGGGCGGTTTGTTTCTATTGCATAAAAACCGCTCGAAATCGATTATTACGTGACGGAAAGCGGAAATTTAAAAATTATAAAATTTAAATAGCTTCGACTTCGATTGCTCATTTTCTAGCCTAGAGACCGAAGAGGATCGAAAGGGTCAGGAATGCAGAGAATGTCCGCGTTAATAGCGCAGGTATGGAGAGAATTATTTCTTCAACCCAAGGTCGTGTTATTACTGTTTTATTGAGCAATAGTTGAGACATTTTTTCGATGGAATTATTTATTTGATCGATCAGATTTATTGCGTAAACGTGCAGAATTGATTTGAGATGCTACTGAATATACAAATATTTATGATAGTACTGAATATACGGCAAAAACTGAGGATATTATTGAATAATCTTATAATAATACAGAATATATGGCAAATGCTGAGTATATTATTGAATATTCTTATGATAATAATGAATATACAACCAAATATTTGTAATAATACTAAATACCAACTCCTATACTACTTATTATCTAAATATTCAGACCAATTAGAAACTGGTATTACTAATAATACAAAAAAAAAACTTGAAAGAACTATTTATGTATTAACACACCTAGAGAACTTTTCCCAGGAACAAAAAAATAATACAAATTCATGGCCACAACAGAAACTCTTTAATGGCATTTAAGAGGTAATTTGAACTCGACTGTTATGTTAATTATATTTCCACATTTACCAGATGACTCTCCTAACGAAATCTTGACAATACGAAGAGATCGAAGGAAATGTGCAACGTTTTTAGTTTAATTGAAAATGTATCTAATTCCTTTTTGATTGTAATTTAAATAGTAGCTAATTAACAAACGATTTTCGGCGGTATAAACAAATTAGATTTGCCCATACTAATTGTAGATTTACTCGACGAAACCATGAAAATGTAATTTACCACACACAAAGGCCAATTAGTGTGTAGTAAGTTTAGTTGTAAATTCGAGGAAGTGTACAATTTTAGGCTTGTTTGTCAACGCATTTATTTTTTTACTACAACTTTAACCGTTTAAAAAAGCCTATTTTTCAGCATAATTCACTCAAGACAATTTGGCATAAGAGTGCTAATTAAAACTAGTAATTTTTTTCCAAGGAATCCTTGTATTATTCTTCGTTTTCTTCATCGGGAATATTCGAAAAAAACCCGATTGAAGGCAAATAAAATTAAAATCTAGCGGCATCGTTGACCTAGAAGGAACAGAAGTCTTTTATAGACTAACGGTAAAAGACCGCAAACGCAAGCTCGAGCATAAACTAATAACGTACGTTGACAAATTTTTATTTTACTCCTCAATTTAACGCTAGTTCTTGCATGATTGGGAAAAGAATACAAGTTTGAATAGCCGAAGAAAGTGTACACTTTTCCATTTGCGCACAATCGGTAACGAATACAAAAAGTAAAACCTTAATTAACGTTTTGGTATCATATAATTCAATTTACCGGTCGATATACAAAAGGAAAAAGATGTATTATTAGGTGGTTTACATTCGTTTTATTATAGTGTTGCACAAAATATTGAATAACTATTATCCTCTACTGCAAACTTTCATAAATCCATTGCATAAAATGTGCAGCTCATTTGAAACATCCCTTTTTTGTTAACCATAGTTGATAAAATATCGTATGCTACTCGTGCGTGAAAAATTTTGAATCCGTGTAATCGCTTAAATTTGGAAATATATTTTTTATTACAGTACGAAAAACTAATCGGATTTATACGGTGTGTTGCAGATAATCGATTACAAGATTGCCCAACGATTAATAAATTCCCATCGCAATCTCTGAATTTTTCTTATATTGAGTAACATATCGATAACTAATATATTCGTTTAAGAAAGTTTTAATCATTTATAATTTATACAAGTTACCTTTCTAAATAAAATTTTGCAATAGCAGTAAAACAGTACCTAGAAACAATAAATTACTAGTACACTAATTACTTTGTTATACATTATTCAATATTTCTACCATTAATGCGATGGTAAAAATAGGAATATCGCAAAATCTGGAACACTTAGAAACATTATTTAAGCTGGTAAATTGCTACAAAACAGCTACAAAACGATACAAAATATCTTCCCTTACCAATCTATCAACAGCTATTTTTTTTCTCTTATTTTATCGATTGCACAATGCAAAATCAGTTTATATGCAAATAGCTTTAAATCTTGTAGTAATCTTCATCGAATATCTAATTTTATATCATGCAAGTTCCAGTTGAGGAGGTACTACTAGAACAACGCATCTTTTCTATCGAGATTCGAGATGTTTTGTACGTTGCACGTTGGGATCCGATTAAAATGAGGCGTGTTTAATATAATTAATCCATCGCGGTGGAAAATACGACTAAAAAACCGTTCCCTATCCCGTACTAAATCTGCAATTTGTTGTTTCAGATCCTTCGGATGGCGTCCGTTTTCAGGATAACATTCTCGATTATTCTTCTGCTGTACTTGCCAAAGATCCAAGCTCAAGGTTAGACATTTTATATTTCCAGTAAGATAACTTGCATGGAATATTCAAATGTTGTGATACGTTCAAAATAATTTAAGTGCAATTTAAAACAACCGTTAGTTAATTTATTTACACTCTACCTTAACCTTGTTAATAATGTTTATTTTCGTTTATAAAAATATCGAAACGATTTGTTAATGGGTGAAAAATCATCACGTTCCTTTTTTAATTGTTGCTATTTATTTTCGTTTCGTGCACTCGTCGAAATTACTTACCTTGATTGGTGTTTTGGGCTTTCAAGGATGCTTTATAAATAGCAACTATAAATTTTAATTGTTTTTTACTTCATACTTGCATACATGTTTAAATTAATACGATGAAGGATTGTCTAGGAAATCTAGCAGGACTGAAATTAGTCATGAAATTTTCATTTTCAGGACTATGTGAGGTAGAGAATGGAGCGTCTAATATAATCCTAGATATAGAAGAAAGCAGGGGAACTTGTAAGTATATTTTATATCGAGTTGTTAATTGTAATTATTTATAGATATTGAAATAAAAACAAACAAACTAGTAATTAGTTCGGAAAAGTAGGTCATCGGAACACGCATGCTTATTTATTTATCGGTTCCAATGAATGGTATATTGTTTTACCAAGAATGCAGTCAATACCTGGATATTTACATGAAACGATTAAAGTAGTAGAATATTAAAAAAAAATAGGAGCAATTAACTATCAAATTAGACAACCTAGATGTATTTTTTTATCGTTTTACGAACACTCCCACACACAATGGCCTTACAGTGAAAGTTACCGATAAAAATAAGTGTTTTTTTTTATGAATTAAATGCGCCGGTCTCGTTGTGAGAATCGCCTATCGTATAGCATTGAAAATTGAAATGGTTTGCTGAAACCAGAAGCCTTGCGTATGGGTTTCGTGTGTTCGTAATTTTATAGGACTTCGTTCTTATTCAGTAACCGCGCCTTTTTCTATAAAATTTCTACCGAAACTTCGCTTCATAATTAGCCGCCCATTATACGGGTGAAATAGTGTGGGAAAAATCGAAGAATAGCAGCGCTTTCTAAATCTATCTTATCTTGTAGCAATTAGTCAAGAAACGAATCCTCCAGAGTTACCAATTACAGGAGAGCCTAATGTAGATGTATTTTTGGATTTGTCTTTCCCCAAAGGAGTGCCGTTGTTTTTTCTCAATGGTAAAAAGCTCCAGTTGCTGTCTCCTATCGATAGGGATGAGAACAATCTATCGCATATCGTATTTCAGGTAAGATTTCCGGTAAATTTTGATCTCTAACTTGTTAATAAACCATTCGAGATATTGATAACCCACTTAATGCAGTTAGAATACAAACGAGAAATGTATGTAAATTTTATGGCATTTATTAATAATTAGTATAATAGAGATATTAAAAGAGTGCTGCGTTGTTATTGTACCGGCAAAATTCCACCTGAGATGTCTCGTTAATTTATTAAAAAATCATAATGAATTGTAAACTCTTGTTCTACTTTTACTCCATTATATTATATGAAGGATTTTCTTGCCTCGCTATTTTAATTAATCTCGTTTAATTAGCGCTGTTTTTTTTAGTTAATTTGTACTGTTAAATCGTCTCACAAGAAGAAGACTATTCCTGTAATCGTAAGACTGACTGATATTAATGATAATGCACCGCATTTTATTAATACGCCATATGAAACCACCATTTCCGAGGTAAGAAATGCGTTTTTTTTTATTCTACAAACGTTGAAAATTGCTGGAAAATTCATTATATTTTTAGTTGACACCAGTGGGCACCACGATTTTCCAAAATATCATAGCTAAGGACAAGGACACGGGAGTCAACGGACTGATCGAATACTCCATAGTAAAAGGTACCCTCTAATTATTAGTACATTACAAAATAAAAGCCTTTCTATTGTACGCGTAATAGGAATTTTAATCGATTTCCAACATAAGTACTTATTTTACGAGTGATAATTTCAATGTGTACAGGGAAATAAATTATTATAATTTATATTCCAGCTGATCACCTGCCGCCCGACGACGAAGGCATAGGAAATCGACGGATACACAGCGAGGACGGTTTCGGATATTTCGCCATAAATTTACCTCATCAGGGCCAAGTCACCGTGAACAGGACGTTGGATTTCGAAAAAACTCAAAGATATTACGTCACAGTAGTAGCCACTGTAAGTATTTTCCACATTTTCATCAACCCTCGTAGCATTGTCTTAGCGATTGCTGTTCGAAATCTACTCCGAAAGGTCAAAACGTGATCGGTATGTCTCCTTGAAAACAACTCTCATATCGATCACCTGAAATCTGGTACAGTTCGATTTAATAGATTCGTAGAGATTAATTCGAATCGATTTGCAGGACAGGGCGAGAGATCCCTCGCAACGATTATCCTCCACGACTACACTAACAGTGAACATTCGAGACGACGATGACCTACCCCCTTCTTTTATCTACAAAAATTGCATACTATCCGATGGGAGCTGCATCAATCCCGAGTACACAGCATCGGTAATAATTTTATAACTCCACAACTCTCTTTATTTACTTTGTGTGTTTCCCCAACAGGTATCCAGCGGTGTCCTCCAAGGCGTCCTCAACGTCTCGCCGGAGAAGATCCAGGCCGTCGACATGGACACCATAAATTCCCCCATACGATACTCCTTCGTCAGCGGGACGCCCGAGACCTACAGCGATTATTTCAGGATCGACGCCGACGCCGGCCAGGTGCATCAAATCAAGCCCGTCGATACGTCCACCATCAAAAACTTCACTATAATTATCAAAGCTCAAGAAGTCACCGGAGCGAAGCGATCCACCACCGCTAAATTACTGATCACCGTGAAACCCGTCGATGCGAATCCCCCCGAAATCGAGTTATCCTCCAAAGAAGGCTTCGTTAAGGAGAACTCCCCTATGGGACAAATGGTTGTAGACGCCCGAGGGGATCCCATCACTGTCAGCGTAGATGATAAAGATTTCGTAAGTGCAATTATTAAATCTTCAATTGCTATTTAATTAAAGGAAATTTACGTAGGGTCCAGGAGATTCGAAACCTAGCTACACCTTCGAATTGACCACTCCTTACTTCGCTATCGATAAAAACAACCATTTGGTGGTGAATGAGAACCACTTGGACAGGGATCCCCCGAATCCTGGGAAATTCAAGTTCCAAATCGTTGCAAGAGAGAAGCACAGTGTAGCTGCTAGCGCCCCCATGTCTGTTACAGTACATTTGTTAGATGTTAACGATAACGCACCAGTTTTACCCATCATTCCACCTGTAACTATTCCAGCAGGAGATGCTAAAAGAATCGTCACCACCATACAAGCTACTGATAATGATGAAGGTGAGATGAACAATAATCAATTCTCCAATCTTTAATCTATTGATTATATGTCTTTAGGCGTAAACGCTGATATAACCTACTCGATTTACCACGTATCTAACAACGGTAACAACAAATTCACCATAAACCCCAAGACGGGCGTTATAGAAACCGTTGGGAAATTGAACGCCGGTGAGCAATACAGTCTAACCGTTCAAGCGACCGATTCTGGCGGGCTCTACAGCCAGGCTATAGTCGAAGTTAACGTGAGTCCCGGTCCGAACACTCAACCACCCGTATTCGAGCAATCTGTATACGATATAGAGGTCAGCGAAGGTGTAACTATCAATTCCACCATTGCTACTATTGTGGTGAGTGAAATTAATGAAGTAATTTAATATCTTTGGTTGGGGTAGCTTCTGTAGCTTCTGCAAGAGGTCACCAATCAATGGGAACCTTAGGAGTTCTAATATACCCTTGGTGTGTCTAGATCTTTGGGTTCTACAACCATTCTTCTCCAGATTTTGTACCGGCGTATAGATATATTATATTGCTGGACAGTAACACATAATTAGTTCTGTTAATTATTGAATAAATGTTAAGATAATTTTGAAATTTAATTATTTCAGGCAACAGATCCAGAAGGAGATCCAGTCACATACTCCATCGTATCCGGAAACGATTTGAGACAGTTCGCTATCGGCTCGAAAAGCGGAATAATCACGATAATCAGGCAATTGGATAGAGAAGATTTAAACACATATCAATTGGTAATTAATCACTTCTTTTATTCTCTCTTAGCTTAGGATACTTTATTCTTTATAGTACCATCAATCGCCAATATTTTTTAGGTAATAAAAGCGGAAGATGCGGGTAAATTATCGAGCAGAGTAAGAGTGAACATCAAAGTGACGGACGTCAACGATAAAAACCCGGAATTCGTCGGCGATCCGTACCATTTTACGGTCAAAGAAGGTGTTAACAGAACCAGCGTGGGTTTCGTGAAAGCTGTAGATGCCGATGAAGGCGTTAACGCCAAAGTGACATATTCTATACCGGGCGATTTGCCCTTCGATATCGATACAACGACGGGGGAAATTAGCACTAACAGGCCGTTGGATTACGAGAAACAACAGGTACAGATTTCGTAGATGTTATTGATGATGTGGCTTAGTAAATGAGTTATTTTTGTAGGAATACCATTTCGTAGTAACAGCTAAAGACGGAGCATCCGATGCTAGAATAGCAACTGCAACAGTTTCCGTCGAAGTGTTAGACATCGAAGACGAACTACCGGTGTTTCTGGAACCTCTATACAAAGCTACAGTACCTGAAAATATACCGGATTATTTCGTAGTTAAAGTAGAGGTAATCGAAACTTTAAAATCTATTTTCTTCGCGATATTTACACCCAACATTCCAGGCTAGCGATCCGGATTCGGTGAAGAAGATTACCTACGTGATACACCAAGGTCCCACCGATTTGTTCCGGATTGAAGAAACAACCGGATCGATTTACACCACGAGAGGGCTCGATTACGAAAAGGAAAATCAACACGTTCTCATCATCGGTACTTTAGAAAACATGTCCAACAAAAACGGCAGTACCACGAAAGTTATAGTAAACGTTGAGGTCCGTTTCCAGTCAATTTAGAATCTAATATAGGTGCTAATTTTGTTTAATTTTAGGATAGGAACGATATCCCGCCTGTTTTTACGATAATTCCACATCCTATTACTTTAGAAGACGACGTTGCCATCGGTACTGTAGTCACCACATTGGTAGCTACCGATTCGGATGGTACTGCTCCCGGTAACAAGGTAATAATAATAAATATATTGCATAAATATGTACCTAAAATGTTTCATTGCATTATTCAGGTTAGATACGAAATAGTGGGCAGAGGCAAAGCGGTAAAATACTTCCAAATCGATCCGGATACCGGAGTGTTGCGCGTTACAAACGATTTGAAAAAGGAAATAGACACCGAGTACCAGGTAACACCACTACTAAATTGTCCAAAATATACTCACTAATTCAAATAATAGAGGAATATTCGAGCATCTCTTCTTCATCACTAACATATCTTGTGGATATTCTTATTGTTAAATGGTTGGTCCTTCTTAACTGTTACTAGACCTTGATGAGTCTACACGAACTAGTACCTATTCGATTAGTAGTCATTTATCCCTTTAAATAGCGTCCAATAATTCAAATAATAGGGAATAATGGAGCACCTCTTCTTCCTCACTGCCACCTATCACATTTCTTGTAAATATCCTCCTTCTTTACTTGCAACTGTTACTAGACTTTGAGGAGTCTACACGAACTAGTACCTATTCAATTAGTAGTCATTTATCCCTTTAAATAGCGTCCAATAATTCAAATAATAGGGAATATTGGAGCACCTCTTCTTCCTCACTGCCACCTATCACATCTCTTGTGAATATCCTCCTTCTTTACTTATAACTGTTACTAGACTTTGAGGAGTCTACACGAACTAGTACCTATTCAATTAGTAGTCATTTATCCCTTTAAATAGCGTCCAATAATTCAAATAATAGGGAATATTGGATCATTTCTTCCTTCTGAAGTGAATATCCTCCTTCTTTACTTGTAACTGTTACTAGACTTTGAGGAGTCTACATGGAACTACTACCTATACAATTATTATACATATAACGGTTTGTCCGTTTAAGGTGGACGTTCGAGCCTTCGATATGGGAGATCCTCAGCTATCATCGGTGATAACAGTAGACGTTTACATACAACACGTGGCGACTGTAGCGCCAGAAGTGGGCCTGAGATTCGCGGACACCTCGTACAACGTGCACGTGCCGGAGAACGCGACGATCGGTCACAAAATCAAAACATTGACCATCGTCAACAGCCAAACTCACGGCACGAACATCCCGTTGAAGTGCCAAATCGTGTCCGGCAATCAGGAGAAGAAATTCCTGGCGAACGTGACGGAGGACAGGAACTGCGCGCTGTACTTGAACGACACCTTGGACTTCGAGACGCAGGATTCCTATCGCTTCGAGGTGGAGATCATGTCGCTGAAGGGTTTCATCAACAAGGAATTCTCCGTCGCTCAGGTGGTCGTTAACGTGATCGACGTTAACGATAACAGACCGTTCTTCATCTACACGTCGAGCGAATACGAGAAATACTATTCGGCCATCGCTGATTCCTCGCCCATTTCCACTACCGTTATACAGGTCAGGGCGGATGATAAAGATAGCGGGAAATACGGGAAAATCGTGTATGCTTTAACCGGAAATTTAAGCGAGGAGTTCTTCAGCATCGACTCCTTCACCGGGATCATCAAAACTAAGAAATCTCTCGAAGACGTCGACGAAACTATTCTTCCTTTTAGGTGATTAATTGTTCTGTTTATACAGATATAAGCGCAAATTAACATGGAGAAAGTTGCAATTTCACAGTATCACTCTTTCGTTTTCCTTTAGACACCTTCAGACACCTTTAGACACCTTCATTCACTTTTAGACACCTTCATACATCTTTAGACAATTTTAAACACCTTCATACACCTTTAGAAACCTTCATACACCTTTAGACATCTTTAGAAACCTTCAATACACCTTTAGACATCTTTAGAAACCTTCATACACCTTTAGACACATGTAGAAACCTTCAATACACCTTTAGACATCTTTAGAAACCTTCAATACACCTTTAGACATCTTTAGAAACCTTTTATACACCTTTAGACACCATCTTTAGACTTCTTTAGACACCTTTAGACACTTCCATACACCATTAGACATTTTTAGACACAACAATGCGTACAAATTTGGATTAATCTGTATAAATGGTGCATTGGTAAATTTCGTTTTGCAGAATCGAAGCGGTAGCGCGCGACAATCCGAATTCCACCGATGATTTCTTCGAAATAAAAACCCCCGTGATAGTGAATTTGATATCGCAAGTTAATAGACTGGTGCTGGTCATCGGAGATGCGAAGCCGGACGTTGTTCAAACGAAGCTCGACGATATCAGGAGGATCATGGAGGAACAGTCCGGATTGATAGTGGGAGTGGAGAAATTGACTTCGAGGGAATATATCGGGGGGAATAATACTTTGGAAATCGATCCTGCGGCTACGGATGTTTGGTTCTACGTGATCGATCCCGAAACTGACGAGATTTTGAGCAGGAACAGTTCGTTAGTTCAAAGGTAATTACTATTATATAAATGCTCTGAGTTTCTTAAACCCTCATACTCTTTACACTGGTTTGTTCCTGAAGAACCAAATTGTTTCTTCGGTAAAAGGAAAGTAACTTTACAGTGAATAATTTTAGTTTAGGCATTTAGGAATTAGTTGAGAAACATTTTAAACTCTCGATAGAATTCGAATTACGATGGTTTCTTCACGATGTTGCATTACAAGCGTGATGTACAAACAGGAAATATTCCACAAATCACTGTCACAAATGCACTGCAAATTTTCGAAAACTTTGAATTATTTCAAACGCTTATATGGACTGGTACTTACACCTAAAGTGTGGAACACACGAGTTGCATTTAAACCAGTTAAATAACTAATAGTTAGCACAATTATATATATCCTCTAGATAACATCTAAACTTTCTCATTCTTAAATATTAATACTTGTAGGTAAACTATACTCTTAAATTATTATTAAAGTAGATAGATAAATTAAGTGTTGTTCTGGCCTAACACATTAAACTTATCCGTATAACGACTTGTTTCTTATTAGTATGCTGATTGCGCGAGACATAACAGTAAGATTTTATCAACGCATGAATTTTAACTAATCAACAGACAATAGTAATTTACTTTGTATGAAATGCGATTCTTACGCTACTATCTAAATGTTTATAATTAACTTCATTTCAGATCAATTATAGACAAATCGGCGATGACTAACATTACGTTCGATATTACTAGTCAAATCAAACAAACGGCTATCGATATACACCAGCCTTTGGATATAAAAAAACCGAAGAAAACCGCCATAGCAGCTTTCAACACGGATTTGTTCCCTTACGGACTGATAGCGCTCGGTGCATTAGTCGGTATATTAGGTTTACTCGGAATTGTGTATTTGTGCGTCTTGTGGTCTAGGTAAGAACCTTTTATTTGCATAAAAAAGTGATTTGAAAACGACATTTCGACAGGTACAAGTCGTTTAAGGAGCAAATCCAGCGACCATACACGATACCATCGAGTCCGAGTAGATACGATACGGTGTACGTTGAGCCGAATCTCAAAGAGTACGAGACCCAGGTACTGCAAATGTGCGTACCGCTCGACGATCAGGAGGATTTCAACGATTTGCATCTGGATTTTAGCAATAAAAATCACACGTTTACTTTGGATAACGTGAGCTACATTGGGAAGGAAAACAATCACAAAAAATACAGTGAGTGCGAATTTATGAGCAATATTTTTGTTGTTAAAAGCGCTCAAAAAGGATCTAAATGGTGCTCTAAACAATCTTGATAAAGGTTGTCAAAAAACAACCTTGCAGAAACCTTATTATAAACTTGTCATGTAAAGCTTGTAATGACAACCTTATAACAAGCTAACGTGGTATCTGAGAATGATTTATTATAGTTTCTTGAATGTTTTATAGGTCAGCAAAGTCCGGTCAGTAGTGAGTCCGCTACAACAGCTAGGGCGTCTAGCGTAGGGGATTCCCACGTGATGTCTAAAAACGATCATTCCAGAAAGGACCATTTCTACAGGTAACTTATTGCATAATTGAAGGTATCTTTTAATGTATTTTGATTGATTAAAGGTCGTCTGATGAAGATGAAATGAACGCCAGTCCGACCAACGACAATGTTATGTTCAAAGAAAAGAAAGACTACCTGAATTTGGGTTTTACGTACGATCATTCGCCCGTTGAAACGACAACCGAGCTGTAAATACGTACTTAAAAGAAAAACATGTATAGTCATAAAATAATTTATATTGTGTGTTAAATCAATCATTAGATTAATGTTTTTATTATACGAATTTTATAATAGTTTTAATTTCTTTAAACGAATGGCGAGTTTTATTTCTATGGTATATTTCGATGTAAAATAAGATATTATGAAACAGCAGAATACATAAATATACAAAACTTTTTAATTTACAAAAAATAAAATTGCTGCTTTATTATTTAGTAAAAGTCCACAGTCCACAAGTAGACGAAAAAAGAAATGTCAAGTCAACTGTCAAATTTCTACACGTTGATTTGACGTTGACGTATCGGTACAATATTTAAATGTAAGGTTATCTATCAAAGATTTTATACTTTTATATAGTATATTTATGATATAAACTAATAATTTAGCTGGTTTATTTCGAATTGACATGGCTCAATTGGCGGAAAGCATTTTGAATTACGTATCCCAGAACGGGGATGTGAATACCATAAAGTTAGCTAAACATTTCAACGAAGATCACCAGAAGGTGATAGGGGCCTTAAAGAGTATCCAAGCACACGGTGATTTATTGTTAGCAGAGCCGGTTAGTGAGAAAAAAGTCGAACTTACCGATGAAGGGAGACTAGTAGCAGAAAATGGCAAGTAAACGTTTTTATTAGCGATTTAAATTTAGTGTTATTTTTGTTTTTAGGAAGCCACGAAGCTAATATTTTTAAAGCTGTACCTCAAGATGGCATCCCTCAAGCGGATTTAATGAAAATACCAAACGCTAAAGTCGGTTTTAGCAAAGCAATGTCCGCCGGATGGATAGTAGTGGATAAATCAATAACCCCACCGTTAGTTAAAAGAAAAGTTCCCGAAATCGAAGATTTAGTTCAGAATCACCTGAAGGTAATAGAAACAGGCGGCACCTCGAACATATCGGAAAAAGACAAGCAGGATTACAAAAAACGAAAACTAATTCAGGAGGTCATTATAAAAAGCTACGATTTGAAAAAAGGTCCAGAATTCAGCACGAGTCTGACGAAACTAGAAACCGATCTAACCGGCGAAATGTTAACAACAGGCTCGTGGAAAAACCTAAAATTCAAAGACTACAACTTCGACGCTTTGGGCGCTCCTTTAGAATCAGGATATCTGCACCCGCTGCTCAAAGTACGATCAGAATTCAGGCAAATCTTCCTGGAAATGGGCTTCTCCGAAATGCCTACAAACAATTACGTGGAGAATTCATTCTGGAACTTCGACGCGCTCTTCCAGCCCCAACAGCACCCCGCCAGGGACGCCCACGACACCTTCTTCATCTCCGATCCACCCGTGAGCACCAAATTCCCCCAAGACTACTTGGAGCGAGTCAAGAAGGTCCACAGCAAAGGTGGCTACGGTTCCCAAGGGTAAGAGCCTCCTATTTTTCCCCAAATCCTACCGAATAAAACCGAATTACTTCAGTTACGGCTACGATTGGAAGATAGAAGAAGCCCAAAAGAACGTGCTCAGAACTCATACAACGGCTGTGAGTGCTCGGATGTTGTACAAAGCGGCTCAACAGAAAGAATTCAAACCGATCAAGCTGTTCAGTATCGATAAAACCTTCAGAAACGAAACTTTGGACGCCACTCATTTGGCCGAATTCCATCAAGTCGAAGGCGTGATAGCCGATTACGGTTTAACGCTCGGCGATTTGATCGGCGTATTCGCGGAATTTTTCAAAAAATTAGGTATTTATTACGTAAAATTATAGATTTTTCAATGAATTATAATCGTTTACACGTACAGGCATCGATCAATTGGAGTTCAAGCCCGCTTACAATCCGTACACGGAGCCCAGTATGGAGATATTCTGTTTCCATCCAGGGTTAGGGAAATGGATCGAAACTGGAAACTCGGGCATATTCCGGCCGGAAATGTTGTTACCAATGGGCTTGCCCGAGGACGTTTGCGTAATAGCCTGGGGACTGTCTTTGGAACGGCCCACTATGATCAAGTACGGGTTCAACAACATCAGGGACTTGGTGGGGCCCAAGGTCGATTTGGAAATGGTGCAGAGGAGTCCGATTTGTAGATTGAACAAATAACTCGACGGGCTTAAATTCGGGTAAAGAAAGTAAATGATATATATTTAAATCTTAACAATAAATAGTAATTTGTAATACCGAACGAATAGTGTTGTTCATCGTGGACGCTTCAGAAAGCTTCTTCGTTCTATCCGGCGAATGTCTTTCTATTTCGAATCAATTTCTATCACATTTGCGACACATTCGCCTCGTTTCAACAGAAACCATCTCGTTGGATGATCATTCGAAACCCATCACGTGCTTCGACCATTTCCGATATCTACCCAGCTGCATCGAATTGGAATTCTTCGCCGCGAAATTCCTCTCGCACGTAGACAATATCTCGTACAGGACGTAATCGTCCTGTTTGACGGACATTTTGAGTTTGTTATCCGAGGGATCCGGCTTCGTGCTTCGATCCGGCGCTCCGGAATCGGTCACGTTCCTGCCGTCGGCGAGTTGGAGAATTTCGCTGTTGAATTTCGATTTGAATTCGGATCCGTGATAGTCGTGGGGCGCCTTGAGGAGATGGTGGATTAGGAATTTCCTGTGGCTGTAGAGCGCCTCGTGTTCCGGGTATATCTCGTTTATTTGATCGATTAGGATGAATAAATCGTAGAGTAGAATGGAGATGTAGTTTACGTACGAGCAGGTTTCTTCCAATAATCTGGAAAGGGGATATAATTATTGTTACCGTTAATTGAATATTTTTATGTTAATTAACCTAGTTCGGTTTGGTTTTCCTAGCAGGTAATCCAATAGGTTTCTCCAGTCGCCGTCGTTGGAGGTTTTTAGTAGAGATTTTACGACGAAATTGTAGAACGACTCGTAAATCGATACGATTCTTTTGTGTTCCTTGACCAATTTGATTAAATACTGCCTGTAATGGTAGCCGGTGTGCTCCGACACGTGTTCGTTGATCCATTCTTGGCTGTAATTCAGCTCGGAATAGACGATTTGGCTGATGTTGTGATTGTAGGTCAGTATGTTTTCCATACACCTAAAAAAATTATTTACTGCATTTTTTTAAGATAAGCGAATGCCAATTGTACGATACCATATGCGGTGATTCCAACTGTGGTAATTATTTTGGCACTTGGTCGAAGCCATGTGGACTACCTGGAATTCCGCTTGCAAAAAATGCGTCGGAAATGCCATGTGATTTGCGGCCATTTTATTTAAAATTCTCGATAACAACCATCGCCTGTAGGCGAACGCTTCGTTCGATTTGCTCTTGTGACTCAGCACTATTTTACTGGAAAATTAGGAAAATTTAACAATCGTTTGCGATGTGATCAATTCTACAAGTTGAACAAAGATAGCAACAAAAATACCGGCGGTTCGAGAGAGATAATTGCTGTGTACCCACAATATCATATAATTTAGAATGCATTAGTTCATTTTTGCATCTACCTGTATACCTGAAATATAACTCGTCGTCGGTATTTAACACGTCCTTTTCCACCAGCTCCCTTTTCATGTTCCAAAACGTTCCGACCTCGGGGTTAATTAGAATGGCGACTATTAAAATTCGATTTAACTTTTCCAATTCCGAATGGGGCGTTCGAGACAACTGTTTTCTTTGCGAAAAAAGTACGGAACAAGCATATTCGTAGACGTGTTTGATACACCAGGATTCTAGACCTAAGTTGTGTTCTTCGTAGAGTACAGGCGATTTGTTTCTCGTGTTATCTTCCGTAGGAATGATGGTAAATTCTTGTCTAAAATGTTTAGTAAATTGTAATTGGGTGGATGATGAATTAATTGTACTTACAGTTCGTGATCGTTTTTAATAATATCATTGATTATTTTTATGATTCTAATGGACATCGCATTACCTTCCGACATTCTGAAACGACGATATTTTGGATGTTTAACTTACAAAAATTAAAAATTAGGAATTAGTGCTCAAAAACATGTTGAAATGACAACTTTTTGACACAAATACAATTTGACAGCTGTCTACAGTAGTTCTTGGTTTAAGATAGCTAATTTCCTTGTACGACAAAGGCCAGTAGTATGAAAAATTTGACAACTGACACTGAGATTTAACTTAACCTCATTTATTTAATGGAAATTGGCTAAATTGTGATGGTTAAAAATGTTTTTAACTAATATTTTATTTAAAAGAGTAAAAAGCAAGTAAGTGCGATAATGGAATTATAACGAGAAGATCACAAAGTAATGTATTTTCATTTCAGACATATTATGGTTCAAATGGAAAGTATGGTTAGTGGCCACACATTTAATAAAATAAGAGAACGATTAGCAGATAAACTCGAAATAATTAGATTTGATCCTTACAGTAAGTAAAATCTTCAATGTTAAATTAGTCTAATTTTTAAAGCGACTGTAACTTTATTTCAGTTCAACAGGAATGCTTGTACAAAGAAAAGAAAAGGATCCGAAGTATGCCATTTTAAATGTATTGTAGTTAGTAGAAGTGTTTACGAAAATGCTTTATTTAGAATCGTTTATGAATAAATTGATTTTTTAGGTTCTACAACCTGTTTATAGCTATGAGTAGTTACATAATGTTTATTAAATAAATACAAAAAAAATAACAAGATTGTCAACAAATTAGAAAACAACATAATGTCATCCAGTCAAATTTTACTTAATTATTATTTGAATTTATGGAAATATAAATGTACAAGTGAAGTCAGGATAATGCCAACATTTTTAATGCGAAATCAAGTCCAATAAAAATACCAACAAATTGTGAATTATTATTAACGCTAGATAAACTTATTATGTACAGTAGCGCAACTTGTCTAAAAATGTACAAAGATAGGATCACCCACAAAGGCGTTATAAATATTTACAGTACCATTTTTACATAAATCGACTCAACATTTATTAAAAGCTTTCTCTCATTTAAAATGATACAATTTTTAACTCTGTATCCGGTAAACTTTAAGATGATTTATGTAAAATTATTTATGCTTACTAAGAAACAACCTTAAAATTCAAAACTACTATAAATATGAGGTTTTTTTTAATGAATCCATTCAAATAAATAAAATATTTTTAGAAGTGAATGTTGGAAAAATATCATATGCTTTACTGGGTTAGATTTATTACGGATAGAATTTGTAAATAAGCCATTGAAACTACTTAATATATAATTAGTTTTTCCCAATTCTCAATTTATATTTTAAAAATACTAACATTCACAACACAATATTAAAACTTTAATAACTATTCAGTCCTTTCAAGGCATTACTTTTAGTTTTTTTTGTTTGGCATATCTGAGTTTTACTTTTTTCAAAAAATAATAAATAATTTCATAACGGATTTAACTCTATTAGCATGTCAAATTGTACGAAATCTAGATCGCTAAATGCCCTACTTGTTTACGAATTCCGATTCACATGCATACACTGAAATGTCCAATAAATATCAATGATAAAAAAAAAGAAAACAAGTTATACATAAAATCAACGATTCGACCGCGATAACAAATCCACAAAAAAAAAGATAACCATTAACCGAAATAAAAATCGAACGCCCTTCGCACTAGTTACTATGAAATGGTCGAAAAAAAGTTCTGCAATTGCCTGACGGTCGATTTATCCAACAAACACAAATCGAAATCGAACGTATGCGCCGATATTTCGTATTGGCCCGTTTCGGCTATCAATTGGACGATCTTCTGCAGATCGGCGGTGTCTTTGAGGCTCATTATTTTGTGTTGGAGATCACGCAGCATGTCCATATCACACTGCAAAGTAACGACAATATTTCAATCGATTGCTAATATCATTTTTTAAAACACTTTTGGCCTGAGTTCATCGCTCCCTTTTTAACGCTAATCAATCGTTTAGGTATCTTTATCGTAAACAATATCCTTGGTTACTCTATAACAACCAATGTAAAGCTGTCAAAAGTGAAAGAATCTCCTTAGTTACTCCATAACAACAATGTAAAACTGTCAAGTTAAGGGCTCCGTATCGATAAATGTGTCTAACGATAAGATTTGTCTGTAGATTTGACTCTTCAAACGATTGATTGGCGTTAAAAAGACTACCTTTTGAAAGGATATCTGCCCAAAATAAATTACAATTACCTCGCTTTTTGGTTGCGCTATATTCGCGGCATCTTCCGTACTGGAAACTTTGCTTTCCTCGTCAGATTCGTTCTCATCGTCGATTTTCACGGTTTTTTCCGCCGGTTCGACATCCACCGTGGTAGAATCGCTTTTCCTCTTCCGCCTCTTCTCGTAATCCTTATCAAATTTCTTCTCCTATAATAAATATTACGTGTATTAACTGTTTATTTTAAGTAATTACGTACATACTTTTTTCTTTTCCTTCTTGTCCTTTTTCTTCAGCGACGGGTCCTTCTTCTTGTCCGGCTCGGGCCTTTTGATTGGATCGGCGGCGGGCGGGGGCGGCGGCGGAGGTTGCGGGGAGGGCGATTTAGATTGCATCTTCGGCGCAGGCGCCGGTGAGGCCTCCCTGCTGCTGATTTTGACGCTGTCATTCGAACTGTCATCGTCCCTGTCGATTTTATTAGATTTTATAAGATTAATCGATTAATCCAATACTAATACTAACCTCGTAAATAGGGAATTGTTTTCGATTTTGGCGTTTAAAGATGACAGTTTGGGAGTCGGAGGGGAACTGTTCTTGGGGCTGCCAAAGAGATTGGTTTTATCGGCGTCTCGGTTTGTTATAGGCGGCGCTGGAACGGGTTCTTTCGTGTTGTTTAGCTGCTTTTCGATCTTTTTCTCTTCCTTCTTCGAATGTTTCTCTTCTTTCTTCTCCTTTCTGTCTTTCTTTTTGTGCTTGTGCTTGTTCTGGCGGTCTTTGTCCTTGTCTTCGGATCCTTGGCGGGGCTTCTCCGATTTTTCTTTCTCTATCCTCTCCAGTTTTTCCTCTTTCGGTTGTTGCTCTCTAACTTGCTCCTTTTCCTTAGGTTTTTTATCAGTCTGTAACGCATTTATGTTAAAAAACGGTAAAAATAAATAGAAAATAAATGACCTTGTTAGAATTTTGAGAACTGTTAGGTACGATAGCCAGTGGACTGGTCTCTTTTAATTTACTACCACCAGTCGAGTCTCTCTCTTTCGAGGATTTACTTTTGTGTTCCTTGTGCTCTTTGTCTTTTTCTTTATCTTTGTGCTTGCCTTCTTTGTGGTCGCGCTTCTCTTTCTTCGCTTTTTTATCCTCCTTTTTGTCTTTGTCCCTGTCTCTCCTCTCGTCTTTCTCTTTGGTACCGGTACTACCGTTGCTGCTGGTGATCTTCTGCATCGGAGGAACGCTCGGTTCCCTTTTAGGCGATCTACAATGGATTATTTCCAGTAAAAAAATAATTAAAAATGTAATTTTGTATTTACCGTTTGGGCGACACACTCCTAGGTCTCGTTTGAGGCGATTTCTCCCTGTCTTTATCCTTCCTCGAGCTCTTCTCTTTGGACCTGTCTTTGTTCTTCTCATCCTTAGATTTCTTCTTGTCCTCTTTGTTCTTGATGGAATTATCGGAGGATTTTTCTTTAGATTTCTCTTTATCTTTGTGCACGCTTTTATTCGATTTCGTCTTATCTTTGTCAGAGGCTGAAATTCGAATTTGGAAATCATTGTGTTGTAATAAAATGAGGTACATAGTGGTAGAAAAGAGTAGGAGGAGGTAAGTAGGGTTAGAGGAGGGTAGGAGAATGTAGATAGGAGTAGTATTGTACTTGTTTTAGATCAAGAATGAAATATATTTACATTTATCCGAATTTTGCTGTTTGATGGGCGGCGGTTCTTTGGGCTTGGGAGGTTCGGGAATTTTGCTATTTTTCTTTATGGGCGGCCCGAATAGGTTCTCGAAATCCGTGTTTTTGGGTTCGTCGAATTTCATTTTGTGTTTTTTAACAGCTTCCAATCCGCCTAGTTTAGGTTTGCTTGTCATTTGATAATTTCTCTCGTCCGAGATTTTGTTGATGGAGTTCTCGTCTTTACCGCTCCCTTCCTGCATATTCAAAACGAATGAATATAATTTATTAAGTACGATAATAACCATAAACTTGTATATATTCGATTATTTTAATGATGAAATTGAGCATTAAAAATATAATAGTGTCCTGTAGATTTTATATTTTCAATGAGCATTACTCCGTTTTATTATATTAATATACAAGGGTAAGGTGAAATGTTCTCGGCCAAATGAAAGACCGCGAAAGTCGAAATCTTTAGTTCGAGACAGTTCTAAACGATTCTGGGGCGTTCTAGATAGTTCTATAACATGATTCTGGAGGGTTCTAAATGGTTCTAGACATTTCTAAATGATTCTGGAGCGTTCAAGATGGTTCTGAAGGGTTCTAAAGTTTTAGACAGTTCTAAATTATTCTGAAGCGTATTAAATGGTTCTAGACATTTCTAATTGATTCTGGACCTATCTAAACAGTTCTAATTGATTCTGGAGCATTCTAAATGACTATGTAGCGTTTTAAATGGTTCTAGAACAGTTCTAAATGATTCAGGCCTAGAACTCTTCACGCTACCCACGTATCTAAGTCTAAAATTAACATCCCACCAAGGAGGCTGGTCTTTTACTTGTAAGCTTCCATGTAACATTACACGAACGTTAATTGTACTCACCACAGCTCCACCTTTAAGTAATTTAACACGAAATTCCTCCGATGGGTTGAAAAACGTGTACTTTTCCTTCTGCGCTATGTGAATAGCCGGGCCGTTGGGTTGCAAATAGAGCTCATAGTTAAACTTAATCCTCTTGGGTTCTTGGTTGTTTTTCAAATATATCTCGATCGGTAACTTAAAACCTGCATAACCCGAGGTCCTCAGGGAAAACGGCGGTTGTTTTACAACTAAAATTGTAGAAAATACGTATAAATAGACGTTCGAAATGTTTCGAATTGGATCACCTCTTTTTGGATTAGGAAACGTTTCGTGTAAATTGAAGATGACTTTATCCACATAATAGTGAATGTCTGCGTTGTTTTGCCCTCTGACGAATACTTCCCAGTCGTGCGTGAACCCTTCAGGAGATATCTTGGATTTCAGTGAGGCATCGTGCCCGATTTCCAGCAAAATAGTTAAGGACATGTTTTGATTAAACACCCCGCGATTTCTCCATGGTACACATGCCTCGCGGGATGAATCTTCATTAATATATGTCAGCCTAATTATAGATCTTCGATAGTTCGCGATAATACATGCGGTGGAAACGTTGGAATAATTTAATGGTTTCCCCTTTTTAACATCGACACCGGCCGAGTTCCGCTCATGTCGTCGAAATGATAGTGCGAACTTTCGTGTGTATTTCACTTTTTCGATGCCTCCGCTGTGATTTTTTTATGATTTTTTCTAGGCTATGCTGTGGCAAAAAGGTTTGTTTGTGTATCAATTTCATTAACAATTGACAGTGACAGTTATGTATTTATGTCATAATGTCATAGTTTTTGACATTTGGTAGTTATGCAACACACATTTCAGTTAATAATTGATCATTTTGAATAAAAAAACTAGGAAATATTACTATTGCAATCTTTTACATTACATTTAATTACTCTTACATCATCCTCAAATATGATTTGAAAAATAATTACATAAAAATTATGTATTTGTTAGCCGCAAAGTAAGAGGCATTTTGATTATGATTTGACAAGAAGAATTTTTAATTTTAAAGGGATTTCACCCGTATAATTGCGACTCTAATTGCCCCTCTAAATCAATTTTCAGAAGGCCTAAGCGCCTAAATTGATAAAATCATCCTGTACATGAATTTATTAGTTTATTATGCACGATCTCCCGCTCCGTTGAATTCTCCCTCAGTTAGGGTAAGTATAGTCCTTTTCAAGATATAGTAGAAAAGAGGCGTGAGAGCTTAGGGATTATAGCAATAAAGTAATGACTTTCCTAATACCGATACAATGGAACGTTGAAGCACTTCGGTCGGGTCGGGTGGTAAACAGTATTTACATTTCCAGGTAAGAACTTAAGAAATGTTATTTAATGAGTATTTTGCATTGCCGCTTAGCCGCAGCGAACGTACCAAACTTAAAATTCGGTTCTGCGTCCTTCGACCGGCGAGTACGGCGTGTACCCTAAACAGCACCGGGTAGTCATAAACTCATCAGCTTATAAAGTCATTTTCTACTATATCTTGAAAAGGACTATACTTTTCTTTTTCCTATAACTTCGCTAAAAATTTAGTTAAGGCCATGCGGTTCGGGGAAATTATTAGTAACAAATTAAAGAATATTTAAGGAAATTTTCAAAAAAATCGCAACCGAAAATTGCGAGAAAATCCCTAAAAATTTGGCACAAAAAATCCGGTTTTTTACCAAGAAGGAAACTTTTTTAAAGAATGATCTCGGTTATAGTTACCTCACGAGGACATTTTAAATTGTTTGGAGAAAATGTTTATAAAATTTAAGTTTACAATAGATTTATTAGAAAAAAAAATAAAATACAAACTTATCTAAATATCAGACAGCACTTTTGCTCAATTTTACAGGAATACATTTGCACGATTTCACGTGCGCTTCAATGCGATTAGGAAAAAACTTTCTTTGGCATTTTTGACACTGAATTAATTCGGCTAAATGATTATCCCAAATCCTGTGAAACGTTCCCTTAAAATCAACATCACCGCTAGCTAAAAACAAAACAAATTTCTTAAAAAATTACCAATAAAGAATTCACAAACAGTCGATTAAATAAAACTCCCAGTTCAACTCCCAACTCATTTTATTGCATTTATCACCTTGCATGCGTTTTTTGACAAAATTATACACCTATTTCTACAGAACAATTTACGCTCCCCTACAGCTCCTTTCGTGTATTTCAACCCTGTCAGGATTAAAGGTCCTCTTACAGCGTTTACAAGGCACGAGTTGGCTAAGGTGGCTCTGCCAATTGGCTTCCTCCATCTCCTCAAAATTTATTTTACCTTCCTCTGCAACAATAACTACCTTCAAACGTTTGCTCAAAATTAAATCGAGTGCGCTAAAAAGTGAATCAAAAAGTGCATCAATAAAACAACATATTACATCGAACACATGCAAGGTGATAAGAATAAGACGAGTTTTTCGTGCGCTCAACTGATGATGATTATGCAGAAGAAAATAAAATAATTTGTGGAGCAAGAGAGCTGATATAAAGTTTTAAAATGTATACAGGGTGTTCTCAAACTTATAGCACTAAATTTTAGGGACGGTAGTTTGCATAATTTGAGACCGATTCGCAGATTTCATTATTCTAACAAATTTATAATAAACCAAATAGAGCCATTAGAAATAAATGCAAAGAGCGAATACAATCCTGGCTTGAATAAACAGCTGATCGGAATTTTAACTAAAAAAACAGATTCGGTGTATTTTATCAGCAAGCGCAAATTTCCCTCTCCGCCCTCCAGCTTTAGAAAAACGTTATCGATGTAGGACGAATTGTATTGTTTTGGTTATAACATCGGGGTTAAATAGATTTTTGTGATTAGACTTTAGTAATTTATTTAATTGTTTTTGTTCTTATTGTTCATAGTTTAGTTAGTTCTTATTCGTTATAGTGATGTTCTGGAACAATTAAGCAGCTTTCAACAACAAAATAGGTGAGCTAATATTCCTTTCGAGTTTAAAGTTTATTTTCTTCTATTATTTGAAAAAAACCGGTTTACTTTTATAATTTATTCTAAAAAATTAGAGGTGTCGAGGGGTGTCAACCGATGTACAGGACCGCATTTCTTTGAAATATTTTCAATATTTCTAATTTTGTTTACTATAATTTTTTTAGAAAAATGTAATCTGCGAATCGGTCTCAAATTAAACACCCCTAGAATTTAGTGCCATAAATTCGACAACACCCTGTATAGTAATGAAAATAGTTGCATTATTGATATGTGTGTTACTAAGGGAGGAAGGTCATCGACGCGGCCGGTTTATCGACCTTTAATTACACCAAAACACGATCCATTCCACCACACCGCCCCTATTATAAAATGTCATACAAACTGGGGGGCTTACCGGTGAATTTGATGTCGGGCTTTTGGGGCACCTGTCGCCTCTTGCCGGGGGGCAGCTTGTCGTTCTCGACGTGCCACTTTTTCAAGCACTGCGGCTCGTGAATGTAGATGGAATTCACGCCGAACAGTTTCCCGCAAAGGTAGCACGGAAATAGGGGCGGTTTCTTGGGGGAGACCGGTCTCTCCGGTTTTATTTGCTCCCTATTCTCCGCCGAATATACGATTCTTTTCGGTTGGGGTTTTTCTGGAAAATAAAACGTAACGTATGTCTATGATAAACTAGTTTTATCGTACCTTTTTTTAGTGAAGGGCCCGCTTCTGTTTGGTTCTCCATTTGCCAATGCTTCAGGCAGGTTTTCTCGTGTTCTCTGATGGTGTTGCCGGAGAATTTCTTCTTGCAGATGTAACACTGCCAAGTTTGGAACGGCAAATGCCCGTTGACTGTGGGCTGGTTTAAAACGGGATCCGCTCGGATTTCGGCCGTTGCTTGTATGGAATAATTGATGATATCGTCTACAGAAGGCTGTGGAAAATTTCGATAAATTCGAGTACTCAAGGCGAATGAAAAGTACCTTTTTGGGTTTGACTTTGCAGCCTCTCTGATGCACGACCAGCCTGTCCGGGTAAAATGTCCTTCCGCAGTTCGGGCACGGTACTAAATTGCTCTGCAAATAAAATAAATATCGAGACTAAAAATAAGGAAGTGATCGCATCTAATTGTGCACGTGTGTGGGCTTGCCCATGCTACATAATTTCGATTCGGTACGATTTCGAATGCAAATTGAGAGAGGTACTAATTGGGGAGCCTGTCATTTAACCATTTATTTCGATATACGAGGGTAGGGTGAAAAGTTCTCGGCCCGTATCATTTAGAACTGTCTAGAACAATTGAGCACGCTCTAGAATCATTTAGAAATGTCTAGAGCCATTTAGAATGCTTCAGAACCATTTAGAACGCTCCAGAATCATTTAAAACTGACCAGAACAATTTAGAACGCTCCATATATAGTCATTTAGAACTGTATACAATCGGGTAGAACGACCGAGAAGCATTTATAACTGTCAAAAGTCATTTTATAACGCTCCGGAATCTTTTAGAACGATTCAGAACCTTTTAGAACGCCCCAGAGAATCATTTAGAACCGTCTTGAATTAAAAATGTCGGCTAAATAAGAAGACTAATGTAATTTTTCCACTGAAGATCGCAATCTTTCGTTGTCAGGCCGAGAACCCTTATACAGAGTGGTTAATATATAACCGTCTGGTTTGCGTCCGGAATATTTATGAAATAAAATAAATTGCGTCTTAATCTTTTATTAAATCTTCGAAATTATCGGCCCCTGGAAGCCGCAGAAACCTGGGCTCTCTAGGAGGCATTTCCATAACTTTTTTATAGAATTATAACCAATCGGTTATACATTGATCACCCTGTATATGTAAGACTTGACATGTAATATTCGGTGAAAGAAAGTGTATAATTTTCCCGTCGCCATACGATTATTGATTTTTTTCGTAAAAAAGACCCTCAGGGTTGTTGTGTTTGTTCATTCGATAAATGTACTGGAATATTTTGTACTCGGTCATGATATTGTACAATTACGTTTCACTTTTGCGGTTGATTATTCTAAATGATAAAAACGAATTAAATTATTTATTTGTAGATTCTAATAATGCGGAATTGGTTGAAGTGGAATTGTCAGTAAATTTTTATACTGTTTCAACATATTAAATTTATTTAATCGCTTGTCAAAAATTTATTTGACAGTTCAAGCGGTTAATTTCAATTAATTGTGCTGGTTGAAATTATATTTATCTGTACGATTTGGGAATTTTAACTTCAACCTTCGATAGCTCAGTTGGTAGAGCGGTGGACTGTAGAGGAATTTCGCAAAATGTAGTAATCCATAGGTCGCTGGTTCAAATCCGGCTCGAAGGAGTGTTTTTTTTTTCATTTTTTTGAATCAATAAAAATTTGTTTAAGTATAAAATCAATACATAACAACGTAGTGAACGATGGAATTGTTGGCCAAGTTAAAAAAATCGATACGCATTAAAATGCAATTAGGCTCCAATATATTTCTACTCCATTGTACTCATATTTCACGGCCACCTATTTTTTGAATTATGAATACTTCATAAATTATATGGGGCAAAGGTCAAGTAATAATTACATTGACAAACCACCCCTTATCAATCTATTCTCATAAAATAAAAAAAAATCTCAATGGATATCCTTCAAAGATATTAAAACCGTGACTTTTTTAATATGGAATTAATTCACGAAGCAATTCACTGTATTAAAAAAAGTGTGTAAACTATGTGTACCTACAGGACTTCTGATTTTAAATAACAAAATTTCTAAGTACATAACAATTTTTTTCATCGAGTAATAAATACTTTTAATAACTTACTTGGGCCGCTTCCCAAGCGGCTAAATTCCATTCTTCTGTATTTCTGGAATCTACAGTGGGTTTTTTAGGAGGTTTCAGTTGCAAATGCTTCGGCAACAGGGCGTTCTCCCTCTCCCATTTCTAAAGAAAAATCCGCAACAATTACATTCAAACAAATTAATTCCCAATTCAAAATTCGCTGAGGAGATTAACGCTCGACGAAAAATCGGGTCAATCGTATGCAAAACTGATTACCCTTCCACAACCTATGAACTTCAGTTCCTCGCCTTCTGTTCGGGCACTTACAAAAACCCAAACGGGCCATTAATCTTTTCTGTATAACCAGCGAATTAAATTTCGCATTCAACCACGACCTATATTTGTCGAAAACCTTTCTATATTTAGCACAAAATTAGTTACTTGATGTAATTTAAACACGTCACTACCAATTACAATTATCACAGGTTGTTAATAACATGGAAAAAAATCATTAGGGATAATATAAAAAAAAAGTGTCCAATCTTACCTCGAGGCATTTGGGTTCGTGCAAGGGCAAAGATTGCGTCCCATATTCCCTTCCGCATATGTAACAGGTTAAGGTGATTTTTCGGGAACCGGCTTTGCATTCTCGATTAACGTTACTTACTTTCTGTTTGTATTTCGCACGACAATCGTCCAACTTCGACATGGCGATATCTTCGGCGATATTCTCCGATTTGTTCGCTTTCGATTTGTATTTGATGGCGATCGGCTTTTGCACCGAGCTTTTCACTGGAAGAACGAATCGACTTCATTCACTCCTAATTATATATTTTTTATTTGTAATGTACCTTTTAATTTGGGCGATTTGTCGTTACCGCTCGGCGTGGCTGGATGGCTGTGGAGCCTCTCCGGTTGATCGGGCCTTCCGCAGGTATTGCAAGGTTGCGGTAGTTTGGTCGATGGCGATTTCGCGTCGCTAGGCGTCCCGATAATACCTGATGGTTGTTTGTGAGGCGTTCTGCAACAGTGCACTGATTCTCAATTTTACCACTAATACCCTGATGGTTCCAAAATAACTGGCAACGTGGTAAATTGGTGCAATTGAGGTGTTCTCCCATAGTGCACACCTTAAGTTATGTCGCTATATCTAATTCACACAGCTAGCTAAATTGCATGGTGCAATGGAGACTCCTCAAGAGGTTCTCAAGATCTCTAGTATTATAGAAATAAATGAGTGAAGTTGAAGTGGAGGTATGGAGTAAGTCTGTAATATTCTGAAGGGGTACTACTACTAGGTAATACTACCTAGATGATCTATTATGTATAAAGAAGATGTGGAAGAATAATGGAGTACAGCTAACAAGCTTTTTTCTTACTAAAAGAAGCATAAAAGGGACTCCTAAATGATGGAGTACTGTTTGGTGGAAAAACTCAGATGAAGCTACATGTATTAGAAGATTTGTGGAATAATGGAGCATCTAAGGAAGTTTCTTCTTCCTAGAAGAACCATAAGAAGGGACTCTTACTGGACCACTATTGAATCTTAATGAATCAATAAGATGAATATTTGGAACAATAATTAATGAATAATAAAACACTACTAAGGAAGTTTCTTCTTCCAAGAAGAGACATAAAGACTCCTTAATGGAGCTCGACTATTGAAAAAAACTCCTAAATTAATATTAAGAACTTTTTGAATAATAAATGAATAAAGGAGCACTGCTAAGAAACTTTCTTCTTCCTAGAAGAACCATAACAAGGAACTCTAACTGGAGCACTATTGAACCTTAATGAATCAATAAGAAGATGAATTTCTGGAATAATAAATGATGAATAATCGAGCACTGCTAAAGAAATTTCTTCTTCATAGAAGTGGCCTAAAGACTCGTAAATGGAGCCTTCCTTAATCAATTTCTTGTAAATTTTTGTTGAAGAAAGCGACTTTCACGAATAAATAAGAAGATGTATTGTTTGTGTTGAATACAACTCACCTAATATGTTTGCTTTGATTATTGTTATTATCACAGCCGTTGGGGGTTTTTATTTCATTCTTTCCCAGCTTCGAAGCATTCCGGCCCGTCACTTTGACATTTCTAGCGCAATGATTGCTTTCGTCATTCGCGAGAATCTTCTTTTTCTCCATGGCGGCCGGCGGAAGACTGAGGGGCCTGCTCAAGGTGATGTTTTTCAGTTTCGATATAGTGAGAGGTAACCGGCACAAATTCGATATATTCAGGAATTCCTTGCGTATCTTACTCATGTCTATTTTTCCGATTAATCGGACGTTCAGCACGACCGGCTTGTCGAGTGTGGCTGTTAAAGGCCGGTTGTTTTCGACCGGCTTTTTCGAGGATTTGGCGAACAAGCGCAATCCGGGGCGTTTCGTCGGCATTTCGAATATTTCCGGGGAGAACCTCGCCGGTAGTTCGCTTTGCGATAGAGGCAGTACCAGAAATGGTTTCGGTTTCGATCTTCCCGTCATCAATTTTGTAGGAAACCTACATTTAGAATGAAATAATCGCTCACTGAACCAATCACTTTGTAATTAATTTTTAATCTAAAATTAAATTGTTTTTTTTAATAAACTATTTGCTACACAAACACGGTGTTTTAGTGTTCGAAGATAAGGATTATTTGTTTACTTTTTACTGATAAGTTTCGATCGCATTATTGTTGATTTTTTTCATTAAAACAAAAGGACTAAACCCGTGTAATAAAGTAGGGATAATTTTACACCTATAGGCGAATCAATTTTTAATCGAGCGAATTAAATTCTTTTAAACGACGGTGACAAGAGCCGGCGTGAGACTGAAAACAGAAGGGGAAGTCCAGTATCCAGTCGATTGTCCAGTCTGGGCAAGCCCACGCGCAACAGAGCCCATTTTATATTCCCTCAAATATCCACATTCACGTCATACAGCACAAAAAATAATCCATTTTTAAATACGCAATTTTATTGCCAGTAATTTACGACTAATATTAATATTAACCTAATATGATAAAATGTAATATCACAGATACATGCTTTTGAGTATTGCTATTTGCGCCTAAAACTTTTACCGGCAAAATTATTTAATTTTTACGAATAAAATAGAGATGTATGTCAATGATTAGATTAAAATTAATACAAATTTCTGCCTACAATGATTAGTTTTGAAGCAAAATTTAAACAATCATATCAACTACACTAAATCAAATCTTACGAAACTAATTATTAGTTCTAATTGTTAGTATTAAAAATACACGTGTAAAGTGAGTTCCTCTATCGGTTAAAAATGTTATCTAATTTCTTCGAAGTGCTTAAAAAATGAGGAAATTAGTACATTCGATTTTGTAAATTGCACGAAACAATAAATTATAAACAATCAATAATATTTTCCAATGCAAAAAATATAACGCGTTAAAATTAATTAATTGCTGCAATATTTATTTGTACTCGATCTAGATTTGATAGAGGAACAATTTATTTACAAGAAGATAAAATTTGTAGACATTCTTGATTTGATCTGATGCGTTTTCAAAATCTATTTTAAAAATAACATCTTATTTTAGCTGATATTAGTGTTGTAAGGGGCGGGCTTTTTGTATTCTTCCTTTTCATACCAATAAGTTTGGAGTATTTCCAAATCCTTGATTACCACGAAATCACTGTGCACTTCTACGTTTTTCAAAGAATAATCTTAAAACCAAAATTGGGAAATAAAAGAACAATTCTGTAACATTTTACTTGTTAATTTTCTTACCGAAGTTAGGCGGAAGAGCCGTGAAAGGTACCAAATAGGCGGGTTTCCCCTGACTTTTGTACATCGGTTCTCTTGGAAAGGAAATCGTGGAAATCGAAAAATTCTTCTGGTTTTTCGTAATAATTTTTATTTTTTTGCGGTTCTGGTTTTTTGGTTTTTTATTCGCGATTACGTTAAGGGCGCCTTCTTGCGCCGATTGGGGTAAATTACGCTGGTTGTCGCTGGTTACAACAAACACCGAGGTCACTAATATTTTTTTCGTGCGAATCCTTCCTGTAATGCAGAATTACATGACTACATAATTCTTTTTTCTTGTAATATATGAAATGAATGAATTTATTTTCTAGAAAATCACCTAGGACAATTTTTTTATTAACTCCCAGTAAAAGACCTACCACCCCTAGTTTTTTTTTAATTAGAAGGGTAGGCTTGTAACACCTCGTTTGAAAGGTCTCTATATATTTAGAAATATTATTTTTTTATTATGTTGTCTAGCTACGAATATAGGCATTAAAAATTTAACATGAATTATTTATTTTTGTTAGATTTAGTAAATTACATAATAATAAACCCGTGAATAAGTTTACAGTAAATATTCAAACTGTACACTAGGCAACAGAACAAATTTTAGTGTTTATTCTAATTTAATTTACTAATTCTGTTATCAAAAACAAATAATTCAAGCTGAATACCTATTGTCATTATACGGTTATTAGGCAATAAAATAAAAAAAAATTAGCAATACCGAATAGAGATAAAAAATGCCTTTCAATTGAGGTGTCACAAGCCTGCCCTTTTAATTCGGAAATTTAGCGGTGGCCTCGTATTGATGGGGTTTCAGTTAGAGGCGAAAATTTGAAAATGAATGAAAAAACGAATCTGTATATTAAATTTACGTACTTCTAACTCTCCAAACAGCGACAATTAATACGAAACACACGCATACTGGAACGAACGTTGAATAAATGTACACACTATTGTGGTTTTTATTTGGCATTACAGGAACTTTCGGGTCCAAAGTGGTAAACATTGCACAATTTTTTACAAAAAAAATAATCACTAGAGGGTTCCTGTATCCGATACGATTTATCGATCGAGCAGGCTACACCTACATCACTGTTTTCAGGTAACAATTCCGAGTAGGTGTTTTATAATTTTCTAAAAAAATTTACCTATCACAAAAGCGATAAATCACGGAGAACAATTGAGCAGTGATAACGATTTTTTTGAATGTACTCTCCATTGTCAATATTGATATATTAGTTTACAGTCGGGATTAAATCAATTCAACTAGAATTTTGATAAATATCTCTTAGAAGTCTATGATTCAGCAAAATTCAAATTATCTATGAAAGTGAGCAATCTCCATTTAATCATTTTTTTGGAGTATTTTCATAGGTAGACTGAGAGGAGGGTGGAAGTAGAACAGGGTAAAAGGGGGTAGGTAAAGGTAGGTTAAAAAACAGCATTTGGTTGACAATTTTATTCATATCCTTTACAATACAGTCTTACATACATATAAAATATATCTTTTTTAAGTAGTAATTAGCAAAACAATTTGAACCTTATTATCATAATTAAAAACTGGTTTATGTACACTTAACGTAGGTATTCTTAAGCATATTTTATCACATTGAAGAAGCATAACATAAATAATGAATTTGTAAGAAAATTTAAAATCGCCGCTTTTTATCAGAAATAAGTACGAAATTTCTTTCAATAAAAAAACATTCCATTTCCTATCGATTTATTAGAGGAATGTTACACTTACAAAAGGGAATGTTACCAACGTGTAATTCCAAATGAAATTGTTTCAAAAGCGACGATTTTTAAAACCAAAACCATTCGATATTTAATATTCATTCAATGCGCATCCGATCTATAAAATCATCTATCAAATCGTTTCCGCTAATATTCAGAGATATTTGCGATAAGATTCTTAAGTTAAGATGTACAAATTTACCCGACATGATGGATTGGGATTACCACGCCAGGAAATTGAATTTCATGAGGTATTATCTGTTGCGCATTAAAAAATAAATTATTGTTCGGGTTTACACAGAACACCAAAAAAAAACATAGAAAATATCCATTTTAAGTGTTCTTCACGGTTAAGAGCCAATATCGCACGGATTACCTTGATTACAGAAGGTTTAAGATTTATTATTGCCGAGTTAATTACATAAAACTGTCCGTTTACGGATGATTAGTTTGCAAATTTGGCTTCGTTTCCACTCTAATACGAACTGTTTATTATAAAAATACAATTTATTATTTGTTTAAATGCGTATCATCGACTAAACAACATTAAAACGAGTATCAAAAACGATCTCGACAAGGCGATCATTCAATACCTTCGCGCCCTTTCGAGCCGAATTCTCAAAAATCAACCACCTCATCGATCAAAATAGTATCTAAACATTTAAGAATATTTAACATTATTGAAGCTCGCACAGCCGTCGAAGGCGCCATTTCGCGTAATTTCTCTTACACATAACAATACGAACAATATTTATATAACTATATAGAAGAACTACCAGAAATGCAAGCGAAGACTTTAGAGATTTCATGGATAGAGTAGAAGATAGTAGGGATGGATAGGAAGATGTAGAGAGGGGTAGAGGAGACTAGAAGGTTGGGAGGAAAGTAGAAGTAAAAGAATGTAGAATGAGGTAAGGAGTGGTAGATGAGGCTAGAATGAGGTAGGTTGAGGTAGAGAAGGGTAAAAGTAGGTATGAGTAGAGGAGGGTTAACCAGTTATTAACCCACCGGTTACTTTCTACCTGAAATGGTCCCGATTACACGAATTCATTGTACCAAAATAGATGCAATTTAACAATAATCTTCCATCTAGCTGGGTACTTTGCTAACCTATCTAAGAAATCTACAAAATCTTCATTTATACTTCCGGTATTTCTACATACAAAACATCCTCTTCAATAATATTAAACGCCGTGTTTCCCGTACATCGATATAAGAACACAAAAAATATAATAAAAAAAAATCGAATAACAGTTCGAGTTCTAGTTGTACGAAGGATTGTACGGGGCCTGTTTGCCGTAACCGTCCTTGGCGGGCGGTGGCTGGATAGGCGGTTGGGCGACGGCCACATCGTATGGCGGCGGATTGGCACTGTAGTCGTTCGATTGGTAGGGAGCCGGAGGGTAGGGCGTCTGCCCCGTCACGGGATAAGACCCTTGACCTACAAGTAAACGTAACGGTTTCATCCAAGAAAGTTGGTCGAAAAGTATACGAGGGATGTTTCCAAAGTGTATTGGAGCAGCTATCCAGTGCAACATTCTTCGGTACTTTTGGATAGCTTCACCAAATTCCTCTGGATTGTTGCACTTGTCTGTCGCCATATAATTTAATTAGAACTTTCGAAACATCCCTCGTATATCAAAAGTTTATTTTTACACCGGTCCGACGATAGCTAATTAATATTTATAAGACTAAACTAAATCCTTCCGTAGAATAACTACGATCAAAAATTCGGTCTCATTCGTACACTGCTCGATCAAAAAAAAAAAATAATCAACGACTTGTTGTAATCGGTTTATCGATTAGTAACCTACGTGCATTAATTTAAGTGTGTTAGTTACAAATTTATAACAGAATAGCACTCGCACAAACCGACTAACCATTATAATTAGTTCGAAATGCCGGTGCGGAAATCGACGTAGGTCTGGAATGAGGGTACCAACTAGTACCGTAGTGATATATTTGTCGAGGATAATGACCTAAGATAAAGTAAACGATTAACTGATTTTTTCAAAGTGAAACCATGCGATTGTGTTATACTTTCGTTATTATAAAAAAAATCATGCTGTTAGATAGCGAACTCCTATAGAGAGTGCATTAAAATGTGAAGAAGAAGAAAAATAAACCTAACAGTTTCCACGTGCAAAATCAATAGTGTTAGTTAATGTTATACGAAATATCTGACTAACCCTCGATGTATGATATACCTCCTCTAACACCAATCGGAGGCGGTGCGAAACCGTAGCTCGGTGTTACTAAGAACATCACAGAGAGAAATGAGTAAAGTTAGTAAAAAGAATTCCCATCTGTACATATTACTATTAAATGAACGATGAACGTTAACTACCTATGCAGGAGATTAATAATGAGCCCTTTTGTTGACAAAAGTATGGAAAATTTGATGCGTGAGGCAGCACTAATGCTCTCTACCTTTAGATAATAGTCCCTACTCTTAGAAAATGTTCTCTACTCTTAGTTAATGTCCCATACCCTTGGATAATGGTTCCTACTCTTAGATAATGTTCTCCACCCTTATATAATGGTCCCTACTCTTGGATAATGGTCCCTACTCTTAGATAATGGTCCCTGCTTTTTTATAATGTTCTCTACTTTTAGGTAATGAAGCCTACTCTTACATAATGTTCTCTACTCTTAGAAAATATTCTTTACTCTTAGTCAATGTCTTATACCCTTGGATAATGGTTCCTACTCTTAGATAATGTTCTCCACCCTTATATAATGGTCCCTGTTCTTTTATAATGTTCTCTACCCTTAGATAATGGTCCCAACTCTTAGATAATGTTCTCCACCCTTAGATAATGGCCCCTACTTTTAGATAATAGTCTCTACTCTTAGATAATGTTTGTCGCTGCCGAACTACTAGCGCCGCTAGTAAGAAATTTACCGGGCTCGGAGAAAAAGGCTCGTCGGATTTGGATTTTGAGGTACAATTAGACTTACCTTGGGGGAAAGGCATGTTGGGGGTGTGCGTCGGATAGGGCGGTTGATGCGTATTAAATCCGGTCATCGGGGCGTGGGGCGCCGGCGTGGGATGTCGGGCATCTATCGGATAGGGCGGTATCACCTGTGGACTGGGCGCATGGTGTTGGGTTATTGTTGTTTGTACAGTGGGTCCGTCTGAAACGAAAATAAACGGTTCGATTTTCGATTAATTTGGGTCCCCCTTCACCACCTAGTGCCAGTTGAAGTGTTCAAGATGGACGTCGAACGTGCTGTGAAAATCTATAGTTTGTCTCGACATCTTTAGGAAAAACGATTTCCGAGGGTCTAAGTAATCAATTGCAAGCAACATAAAATTCCCATCAAATGGAAAAGGCTGTAAACCTATATACTAGATAGTGTTTGCTACCTTGCTTAAAAGCATCCATTATTAAGGTCCATTGTATTAGAAAATGTTTATGTACTTAGCCAATTTTTTCCTAAACGATTGAGACAAACTATACACATTCAACTAGCTCGATGATTAGCTATGGCAGATTAGGTGCGTACTTTAACCTAGATAATGCAATGTGGATAAAAGGGTTGGACTTTATACTCTATATACCATTATTTAATACTCAAATAAATATACCAACCAGATCTGTATGTACTATATATTTAAAGTAGAATGAAATATTGAATAGTTTCAAAAACGACTTACATCTGCTATACCTCCATTTTCTAGCGATACTTCTGCGATATACTTCGCAACAAAAACAGACTATCACCACAGTAAATGTTATAAAAAATCCCATAAATCCCATAAATACATTATAATACGACATTATAATACGCTATAGGAAAGAATGAAAATATTTCATTTAGTTCAAACAACGTGCACAATTCAAATGACGTTGTAGAAAAATATTCTATTACGATTCTCGTTTTATTGCAATTATGCACTTTTTGCGTATTCTTAGAAAATCATCATCAGCTTTGTAGGTTTATAAAACACAGTTTGAGGATGCAATTAACGTTCTATTCAAACAAATTCACCTAATTAAAACAAGTTGACCCTATTAAATTGCTTAAATTGATCCAGATTTTATAATTATAGAAATAGCGCAGTTAACACGTTATAAGTTATTAATCATACTGCAAGTTACATAATTAAATAAAACACTGCAAACACAAAACAACGCCAATGGATTTCCATAACACGGGAATTTTGCCGCACCTTTTTTGAACCAAATCAAAAATTTCCTAATACAAACATTTCACTGCTAAACTCGCACCGGCCACGGTTGTAACTTATAAGTCTTATAACCAATAAAAAGTATCGTGACAATTTCCAATGAAAACCGTCTAGCAAAGCAAACACACACACACCGGTCTCGACCTTGTTTCTCGCCTCCTATCTGTTGCTGAATCGGTTGAATACAAAAAAAATAATTCAAGGTCGCCTTTGTGACGCCCGTGCATATTCACAGAGCAACCGAAATTGCTCTGTGCTAATAATGTTCCGTATGCGATCCAACGCGAAAGCAAACGCACAAAGTGAAATCACCCGGAGATAGCGAGCGCACTATCGCCTAAATATCCCATTACAACGTTCTCCATATCAACTTTCGGATTTATCAACAAGTGTTCTGCAAACTAGACAAGGTCCTTTCGCGAGCGCAAAAAACGATGGTTTATCGCATTTTATATAACTTACTGAGGTAACGTTTCAATCTCTTCTTGTGTCTCCTCGTCAATTCGCATATAATGAGAATGATCGTCGCACAAATGCACACGACTACCACGTAAATGGCGGTGTTGCTGTTACGGCCGAGGTGTCTTTCACCGATCATTTTTCTGCAGGAATTTAATCGGAAAAAATATCGCACGAAATCGATTGGAGAGGCGACGCGAACGCGACAGAGCTATTCAGTTTCTAAACTCCCGTTCTTCTCGCACAAACGCCGGGGGTTTATTTCGGTCGACGCCCATTAATCGATGCCGAAAATAAAGTTTGTACGTAGTGGAATAGTACAATTCGCACCTAGATGCGAAATAATAAATCCACCAGGAACCAGGATTGAATTATAGGGTATTGTGAAGATTGCTGATGAATATAGGATATCTTGTACTTGTACCAGGCGTATACAAGTTCAAATTTGTTTACAATATAGCCAATTCTACGAGTTGAACAAAGATTATTAAAATAGCAGAGGTTATAGTGAGAAAATTGCAAGCACACAAAATAACTTTTTCCTTTATACGAGAACAATGTAAGTTAACTTTTGTTGCACCTGATTGCAAACAATTTTGCATCTACCTGTATAGAAGACCAAATTGGGATGATAAAAAAATAGATTTGCATCCTAATTAGTATTTTTTCTTCAAAAATTGTGAAGTTGTAACGAAAATATCAACAGTTCGAAAAGGTTATCTCGAAAAGAAATAAATAAAATAGTGTACATGTAGAAAGAAACTTACTTTTCTTAATTTTTTTTCGAACGAATGAGCCGTAACACTTGACGATACAAATCGAAATTAACATGAAAATAACGAAATTGTTAAAGTAGTCATATGGATTTTGGTCGTCCTGAGGCCAAGAATCCTCCACAACTCCATCACTATGCTTAACTGGATCTTTTTGCAACATGTTTCATGACTTAATAAACGTTACATAAAGAAAATGGTCTAACAGTTATCGGCCTATCACGGAAACCGATAAATCGAATTGATATCGGAAAAAAAAATTCCTAATAAGGTATAACTATCAAGAAATTTACTATATCGATCCAAATTTTTTTAAACAAAATACATGAATGAGGGATTGAAACAAAATGAATTAAACCCCCTCTGCATCATTTCAAACTGGACTTTTTAAGGGCAATAATAACCCGAAAATGGAGTAACTAGAATGCATCACAAACTCCCTAGATTTACTGAACCTCCTCTGATGTAAAGAAATTTGTACTGGAGAAGAGAAATTTAACTTACTCTTTTTCTTGCACATCTTCTGAAATTTCCTCCGCGTACATGGCAAGAAACAGAACACGATAAAAATGAGGATAAACACAACAACGGCGATAATAACGATGTAGTAAATATTCATGTTTACGCCAAAATCATCATCGTCGTCATCATCATCGTGGTGATTATAATGGTGTTCGTGGTTTTTACCCCAATTATCACCGTTAAAAAAATGTTTAGGGTGCCAACTATCTCCATCGTCGTCGTCACTATCGTTATCAACGCGCCACGGATCCTTCCCGAACATGATTCTAACAAAACTAAACTACTTATTCTTCGTGAACTGGCCACTCAATGATTTTTACCCACAATTAACAAACGATTATTAATATCTACAATTCTGACGGCATGAGCAAGCGTTTCAGTTCCCAATCGAGGAAAACCCAACTATTCCCACACGTTTACTTCACCGCAGAAGAATTCTTAAAAAACTGAAGCATAATTTTAATAATCCTCCGAAAAAAAAGATAAAAGGATACGTTTCAACGCATTCAAACATTTCGCAACTTTTATACACCGATTTAATCCCGACGTGAGTCACGTACTTAAACCCATAAAACCAATAGCGAAAACAAGTTGACACAAGAATTAAGCTATAATAATCGACGCGTTAATTAATTCTATAACATCACTTACGAATATATCTCCTTCGCATGCTCCTTCTTCTTTTCTTCGTCCTTAACAGTTCGCAAAAAACGCAAAACGTTAACACCACGATACCCACACCGATTACATACACGCCCCAATAGGTACTGAAAGGCTTCATTTCGAAACTAAATTCATTCTCACCTTAGTCGGAAACGTGTTAGTTCCCTGTTGGAATGTAAACAGACACCAAAAAGAATCTAGTGATACTCCAACCACGGTATCGCATGGTACTAAACAGAAATGTTTTTTTTGGATGCACGCATGCCCCATGCTCGTCACGAAACCTCGATTCGATTCAATGAAATAACGACAAGATCAAAAATGTTAAAACCGTTATGCAAAGCAGCGGAGCGCGGACATTTCATTCAGTATAGGGGGCGATTTGCAGGGCAGGTGTAATTGTTAGCAGGAAGTTAACGCGATAAAGGTCTGAGTCAATGCAGTAGTGAATGTATAGCTGTATTAAGCTTTGATAGTTCCGGCATAATATAATATGGTTATACCACATTATAACACACAGTATACCACATTATAACCACAGTGTGACTGTGGTTCCGGTATTTTGTATGAATATTTTATTGCGTATATTAAGCGCCTGCGTTATAAGTTAGGTATTGCTGGGGTTTGATTGGATTTCTATTAATTTCAGGCATTTTTTAAGTGAACCATTTGGAACTGTCTACGATAAACTAGGGTAGTTCAGAACCGTCTAGAACTGTCTAGAATCATTTAGAAACGATCCAGAATCATTTAGAAACTATCCAGAACCTTTTAGAACTGTTCAGGATAGACTAGGGAAGTTCAGAACCATTTATAAGACTGTCTAGAAGTTTTATATTAGTTTTGAAATAAGTTTATTCAAGATAATTTGGGAATGAGGCATGATTTGAGTGCGCTATTAATCTCTGTAAAGTGTTACTCGATATATTTCCTAAATTTTTGATAAAATTGAAAAAATACCCCAAAAATAAAGAAAATTTAACTCATTTGTAACACTAATCGATTAAAACAAGAAACTAAAAATATGATATCATAAATCAAATTCCCTAGGTACTTCACAGGTACTTTAACTGAGCTGTCAATTGGACAAATGTCTATATTTTTACTCTATTTTTTGCATTTCCTGTTAAAATAATAATAACAAATAAATGGTGCAATAGTGTACTTACTATTTCGTTTCCTCGCTTTGAAGCACCATTTGCAGAGCAAAAATAAAAATGCGAGGCACAAACAAATCAGAACAATCACAGATGACCATGTTTGACTACTGTTCAAGTGATGAGACATTGTTCAATAGAAACACCTTTTATTGTTGCCAAAATACCCGTAATAAATTGTTGAACAAGAAGTTCGTCATGTGGACATTTTTGTGCAATAACGCATTGGAATTTTCATTATTTATAACGAACGAGGACCCCGTTAAAAGTCCGATCGATATTCGAATTTGGAGGAGAATCTAGATAGTGACAAATGACAGGAACTGTCAACTGTTTGCTGTCAAACATCACCTTAACAACAAATTGTAAAGTGACGTTGTAAAGTGAGCATTCCTTTTCATTAATAATAGAATTAATTCCCAGTAATAAACGATCTTTATCCAAACATTAGCAAATTAGGCAAACAGAAACTTATCAGTAATTAGCTTTAGGGATTTAGGCATGCAAAAACAAACTGGCGATTAAAATGTAATTAAATAATATAGAAATTTGCATTAAGGTTTGTCTGCAATCTACTTAAGGAACATGTAATTACTAACTTAACTACTGGCAATAAAACAATAGTATAAGGAATATAATACTTACATCCCGTTACTGTTCCTTCTTGCTTTTTCTTACAACACCAACCGCATATTGTAAACAAAATTATAAAAATAACACACAAAGCTAAAGGCATGAAGATATCCATGATGTTGTTGTTATACTGTAAAAAGTTAACAAATTACTGCACAAAAAAGAAATCAAAGAGTGCAAATTAATGAATAAACATTTGTAGTTTTACCACAAAATAAATTTAATTATATGACTCGACTTAGTTGAAATTAATTGCGCAATATTCAACAACTTTTTGATATTTCTTACCTAACTAAACTAAAATAAATGAAAATAACAATCTACTACTCTTCTCTTGGGTTCGGTTCGCTTCTTCTGATTGCTTGTTTTACCTGTCATAAGTCATTGTCACTCTGTTGGGTCTAACTAGCAAAAAACATTCCGACGTTGCCGGTTTTCGTACCTTCTTCTAGTTTTCTCGAATATGGCCTCGTACGAAGAAGTTCTTCGTAATAATCGTAACTGACATGACTACCATTGTGTTCAACAGTCATTCGTAACATCCAAATCCAAAAACATACATCAAATAGGGATTCACTACAACATAAATTTTTATACCATGCTCGTATAAATGCATGTCTACATGATAATGGATGTTATTTTTTTCAAAAATCTAAACACATATGTTTCATTCCCATGAAAATTACTCACGCCCCGAACGATTTCTGTAACTGTAACTTTTTTGACTGGACCTCCTAATAGAAGGAGTTCTACTGCTCCCTGTAACATATTACATCTAATTTTAACGCATTGGTTGCTGCATTTTTATATGGGTACGTTAAATACATCCATGCAGTGCTTTTAATGGACATCAAACACCTAAAGAAGTAATTCGCCTACTTACTTCTCGGTTTCACACAGACAGAATTATCTTCTGATGTTTTGCAACACCAACCGCGCATGAAAAATCCTACTATCAAAAGCAAGCAAATCAATATGGTGATTATTATCTCCATTTCCATAGTTAATTAGTGTAAAATATCGATTTTATTCAAACAATATGTTCCTTACTCTGGTCCTCGACGTTTCAAAACGTAAATTATGTTATTAATTATTTATTGGTCAATGTATTTAGAACTAAAAATCTTTTATTAATTACGCTTAAATTGCACAAATGACAGTTCGTGATAATTGACAGCTGATCACCTGAGGGTTGTTAATAAATTTGGCAACAGTATGGAATGGATTCATTCTTCCAATTAGATTGACAAGCGAACAAACATGACATTGACATTGTCATATTATTGTCAATAATTGTAAACTTTGGCATGAATATGTCAAACACATGTATTTATTGTTGTATAATTGTTGCGAAGATTACTATTGCTTTATTACTTTTATATTTTGGTTGCATTTATACATTTTTTTTCTTACTGCTTCTGTCGATTTATAATTAATTCTACAATAATCGCACAATTCTCGCCGGCCATTTAAGTCTTAGTAAAATGAACAATTCTGTAAACATTAACTTAACAGATTGCTGTAGAACTTGCTTAAGAATAGATTGTAGTCTCACTTCTACGGATATTCAAGATTCTGATTCTATTACACTGTTAGATAAGTTGTTAGCTTGTGTAGCAGAAATTGTAAGTATACAATTATAGCCTATATCGCAAACAATTTTACATCTACCTGTACAATTTAATTTTTAATGTTCCAGTCTTGGTTGAAAGAAGGTTTGCCCACCTTAATATGTGCTCTCTGCATCGAACATCTACGAGTGGCCTACGACTTTAGATTAACCTGTATACAGTCTGATGAAACGTTGAACAGGTACATACGTGTACAAGAAGAGAGCAAACAACACCCTTTATGTATTACTACAACAAAATTTGAATATACAACCAGTAATTCTAGCGGAAATACCGCTCAAATAAATATATTAAGCGAAGAGACCGCTGAGAACACCGACGAATATTTACATTTGAAACATTTCTTGGATAACGACGAAGAATTGGCCAAACAGGGTGAAACATTAGAGGATGACGATGATGATAAAAATTGCCATTCGGACGATGCACAAATCAGTAAACAATTTTTTTACAGTTTTATCAATTAAATCTCTCGAATCTTCCGGCAGGTTTCATCAACGAAAGTCCACACGAAGTGCTAACTCTGCAGCAAGAGGTGCCTACTCTGTTGCAGCAAGACAGCCAACATGTCGATCAGGCTCAACAGGTGTCGACTTGCGATGAAAACGAAACTTACGTACGATTAATCGTTTTTGAAAATGTAGATTTTTACTCGTGGTTTATTTTTTTAGGAATTACAAGCAAACGATGAGAAATCAACGGAAGCGAAACAATATGAGACAACTTTTATGATACAACAAGCTAAATACGAGACTGTAGATTATGTTACAGTACCTTTTAAGCCGGTTATTAAAAGAACAACGGGTAAATTAAATGGGGATTTTAGATGAATGTTTATTAAAATATTTGTTAAATTTTTTAGGTGTGCAAGTACGTCCAGATGAGAGGCCGCTTAAAGAATTCACTTGCATCGAATGCGGCAAATCGTACAAGAAAAAATCGAATCTGCGGATACACATTCGCACTCACACGGGCGAGAAACCGTTCGAATGCAAATACTGCGAAAAAAGGTGCAATTCAAACGCAAAAAACTCATTATTTTCGGATTTTTAAACGATTCTAATTTAAGATTTTACCATTCGTCCCATCTGAGAGAGCACATCCGACGACACACGGGCGAGAAACCTTTCCAATGCGCCGTATGCAGCAAACGTTTCACCATAAAAGGGGAGCTTACGATGCACATGAAGTCCCATACGGGCGAGAAACCTTACGCTTGTAATTGCTGCGACAGGAGATGCCTCACATCCGCCGATTTAAAGGTATTTTGATCTAAATAGGAATCGTTTTTTAATGAGAATTTTTTGACATCGGGCTGAGATTTACTCAATTAACTCATTTGAGTATAAAATTGTTATACGATCCAGAACATTTTAGAATTGTCCAGGATATACTAGGGAAGAAAGAAGGCATTTAGAACTGCCTAGAGTCATTTAGAAACGATACAGAACATCTTAGAACTGTCCAGGATAAACTAGGGAAGTTCAGAACCATTTATTGAACTGTCTAGAATTTTTTGAACACTAATCGATTAAAACGAGAAACTAAAAATATCATCAATATCATGATTTGAGCACAAAATTGTTAGTCCTTATTGAAAAACCCTTTAGATTTAGATCGTAGGGTAATTGCTCGACGTGATCTAAAACCACACGGACTCGTTTCAGGTGCATATGAGGACCCACACCGGCGAAAAACCGTACGAATGTACAGTATGCGGCAAGAAATTCGCGAGTACTTACATTTTAAATTCTCACACGAAAACCCACACGGGCGAGCGACCTTATTCCTGTTCGGTGTGCCACAAAACCTTCACCCAATCGTCCCATTTGAACGTTCACCTGCGAAAGCACACCGGAGAAAAATTCACGTGCAAGGTAATGCGAGTCTATTTCGTACTAAAATAACACTATACTATGAATAATAAAAGTATATGGGTAAGTGCAAATTTGTTTGCAATAAGGTCTGTTCTATGCATGCAATATCACTCTTACTTTTTCCTTTACAAGGGACTAATGGAAGATCTCTTTGTTGCATTCACAGCTACTCTCTGTTCTCTGCTCTTTGCTCTTAAATTTCTACTCTTTGATCTCTATTCTGTGTGCTCTGTTGTTCTCTATTCTGTGAATGTTGCATTCACAGCTACTCTCTGCTCTTTGCTCTCTATTCTCTACTTTCTACTCTCTGTTCATTGCTCTCTACTCTCTGTTATAATCTCTTTACTCCCTACTTTATATTCTCTACTCCATGCTCTCTATTCCTTTCTCTCTGCTTCGACTATCTGCTCTCTAATCTTTGCTCTCAACTCCCTACTTTCTAATCTCTGTTCTCTGTTATTCACCCTCCATTATCTGCTCTCTACTCTATTCTCTCTTCCTAGCTCATTTACTCTTTACTCCCCACTTTCTATTCTCTACTCTCTGCTATCTAATACAAACAAATTACCATTTACCCATTAGAGGCGCGAGGAATTGTAAACACGCAAAATTTTCGCAAATTTTCCTACAAAACCTCAACGAAAAGTAATCCATTTCAATCCCATATAGGTTTGCGAGGCGAAATTCACCCATTCCTCTCAACTGACGGTGCACATGCGCGAGCACACCGGCCGACAGCCGTACAAATGCACGGTGTGCGACAAAGTCTGCAACTACGCCTCCGAATTGCAATCGCACATGATGCGACACACCGGCGAGAAGTTCTCGTGCTCGTCGTGCGACAAGAAATTCACGTCGGCCGCGTATTTGGCCGAACACACACGAACGCACACCGGCGAGAACCTGTCGACTTGTCATTTGTGCAAAAGACAGTTCACCAGGTACTTTAACTCTTCATAAAAGTATAGTAGTTGAAAGTAGGAAGGTAGTAGAGAATGTAGAGAAGGTAGTAAACTCATCGATTTAAGGGGGGTGGAAGGGAGCAGGGAGTGGTAGAAAAGGGGAGGAAGGGAACATGGAGAGGTAGAGGATGGTAGATCAAATCTAGGAAGAAATTAGTCGAATCTAGTGAGAAATAAGTCGAATCTACTAAGAAATTAGTCGAATTTGGTGAGAAATTGATCAAATCCAGTGAGAAATGAGTCGAATCTAGTAAAAAATTAGTCGAATCTAGTAAGAAATTAGTCGAATCTAGGGAGAAATAGGTCGAATCTAGTAAGAAATTAGTCGAATCTAGTGAGAAATTATTCGAATCTGGTAAGAAATTAGTCGAATCTAGTGAGAGATTGATCAACTCTAGTGAACATATTCGAACGCATACCAGCGAGAACCTGTCGACTTGTCATTTGTGCAAAAGACAGTTCACCAGGTACTTTTCCTCTCCATAAAAGTATAGTAGTAGTAAGTAATTGGGTAGTAGAGGAAGTATTCGTAAACTCATCGACCTAAGGGGAGTAGAAGGGAGCAGGGAGGGGTAGAAAAGTGGAAGAAGGGGACATGGAGAGGTAGAGCAGGAATGGGTTGAAAAGGGACAGAGTGAAACAGAGCGGATAGAGGAGGGTAAAAGCGAGCAGGGATGGTGGTAGAAGGTAGCAGTGAGATGTAGAGGAGTGTAGAAGGAACCAGGATGGGATAGAAGGTGACAGGGATGCGTAGAAATGAACAGGGAGGGGTAGAGAATGGTTGAAAAGGGGTAGAAACTGTTAAATGGGTCTTACCATCAATTTTTTTTTGTAGATCTCAGTATTTGGAGAAGCACATGCGTACGCACACCGGGGAAAAACCGTTCGTTTGCTTCGTTTGCGGTAAGAAATTCACGCAGTCGTCCAGCTTGAAGGTGCACATACGAATTCATACGGGAGAGAAACCTTACTCGTGCGAATTGTGCTCGAAGAAGTTCACAACTTCGTCGGATTTGTCGGTGCATAATAAGAAGCATAAAGAATACGTCGATTTGTAGATTTTTTTCTATTTGTAATTTTCGGAAATTTGTCTTACTGTGATATTTGAAATTGTACTAGATTACTGTAGGTTTGTTCTTTAACTCTGTGGATTGGTGCTATATGACTTGATGAGTTGAATTTGCTTTGTATATTTTATAGGAGAGCTGTTTTAAGTTTGGATTACTGTTAAAATTGGTACCCTCGTACCAAAATTAAGCAAAATTGAATAAAATATTTAAAAGAAATAAGTCTCCAATTCGTTGGTATATAAATGTTGAAACTTTTATTGTTATAGTCTACAATCTTGTAGACCTCAATGAGACGAATTTAGAAAAAATCGACTTTTCAAGTTATGAAAACAATCCGCAGAATCATCATTGTAACAATTCTATTCCAGTGTGGTGTTTAAATGGTCAAATTGTTATTAGCTGTTTTGTTTCTCGTTAAATTTATTCCTACAAAAATGTGATATAATTTTTTAACTTTAATCGAGATATTTTATCATTTTCTTTAATTTATCAACTTCATGTACTGTATTTAAGATAAGCCTTTTTTTGTCTTTGATTTAAATAAGCTATATATTTACATATTTTTTACATTACTTTATTCGAAGCTAAATGTAATGTATATTTTACAAAAAACAAATTACTTGAATAAACTATTTATCCGAAAAGGGGTTTTACTCTTCTCCCTGCTTTCTACTCCCTACTCTTTATAACTCCTTATTTTTGTTCTCTGCTCTCTACTATATTCTCTCTTTCTACCACCATCTACTATCTCCTCCCTACTTTCTACTCTCTGCTCTTTGCTTTCTACTTACTGCTCTCTACTTTATTCACTCTTCCAACTACCATCTACTCTCTACTTTCTACTCTTTGCCCTCTATTCATTGCTCTCTACTCTCTGCTCTTAATTGCCAACAAATTTGCATTTACCAATTATTGGTAATGTATTATAATTTTACTTACCCTCCCACTATTTTTTTTCAAAATTGCGCTCATACAATTATGAGCCCAGTTAGAAACCTTTTAATCACGAAATGAAACATCCTGTTTAAGACGATAAAACGAAATCGATTAGAATTCCTCATCGTCCTCATCGTAATACACAAAAGAGACGAGACTCTTTTATAGCATAATAAGTAAAGTCCTGAAAATTAATAAAACTGTAATGTGAGGGCCGAACGACTCGTAGCGATAATATAATAAGGGCTGTTTCCTTTTTTTTATCCCTACGAAAGGGCGGCGCGCGCTCCTTTGTAACGCAATAACGCGGCCTTTCGGACAGGCTGCGAAAAAGCATTCCGCAACAGGAAATATGAGCAAATTAAATATGTCTTGATGAAACCCAGAGAGGAGTCTGTAAGGAAAACACGACCGTCTGTTATGCAAGCGTTTTTAATTAATCCGAAACGAACAAAAAATTACTGCACCTCGCTATTTATCTTAAAGTGGTGCTATACAGGGTGTTTCATTTGCGAAAGGTGCAATTTACCACGTGTGGGGATCACCCGGGAAATCACAAAACATTTAGTTGAGGGTATTCTGATTCAAAAGTTATCAGCGTTTTGTAATTCCCCTGTGTAGTGTTAATTATCCTTTATTAATAAAACTCCCTGTATAATAAAATTTCTCCCTTTTTTTTTGGCTCGATTCGATGTTCTCATTGCAGTAATATTTGAGTTTTCCTCATCACCCTGTGTTTCAATTAGACAGCGAACGATCCTCGTGGAATACTTTATGAAAAGTTTAGAGGAAATTAGTGGAAATTTTCGATGAAATTAAATTCAATCGGTGATATGTAATAGACGAATCGATCGTCTTCCATCGATTCCTCCGCGGAAAACATTCCGATTCGAGCGATAATAACGGCTTATTATCATCTAAACTATCTCGAGAATTTTCTCCGGCGACGTTTGAGTAGGAATTCGGAAAAATTCCGGCGGGTTTTTTTATTTATCCGGGCGAGAATTTCCCGTTCGGACTGAAACGAATCGGCCTAATTTCGCGGGATCTTCGAATGTTCGAGGGTATTTAAATCCGGTCGATTTTGGACGGTTTTCTCTAATTTAATTTTCGCTCCTTCGCTGGATTTTTTCGATAAGAAGTTCTATCTAATTTTCTATTATTAGCCTAAGCGATTTTCACACTTTCTTCGCCGATTTTTCTTCGCCGATTTTTCAAATCGAATTTCGAACTCTCATTGCTTCCGAGCGTTGGCAAAAATCCTTAAAAATCCCAAGTACGCGAGAATTACTTTGATGTACCGACAATAATAGTAACTTAAGATACTTATTGTTGCTAGTTCTTCGATTAGATGCTCGAATTCGAAAAATTGTCGGGGTTATATTGAATTATTACCGATTTTAATAGAGACAGATGGGTGACATAATTGAGTCACGATTGAGGGATTTCTCTGGAGGGTCTTCGTAAAAAATTCGCCCTCTCTCACCATGAAAATCCAATTACATCATAGGCGTTACAGAATCGAAAGTTCCCCAATTTCAACTCGAATTTCTCATATTATTCGTCACCATTTAAACATCTTTTACCTAACTTTCATGCGAAAAATGCTTTAGTATATAAATTTTAGTATTGCGTACATAAATCGAGGATTTTTTTGGTATTTTTTTCCAAATTCCCTACGCCTTTTCGGTCGAAATTTAAAATCCAATTATCCGGCGATCACTTCTGCGTCGACGGTGAATTTAAATTCGCCAAATTAAGTACGTATAAGTGGCCAATCAATAACTAATTTAATAGCGCTGGTTGACATTCTGTCTGAGAATCGAAGAGTTCTAAGAGCTGTCGGGCCGCAAAGGCACGGGCCATCGGTCTCTATCGCTCCATTAGAGAGACCGATCGAGCTTTCGGTTTTATTTCCCTCTGCTTCCAGATCGTTGAACTACCCACCTACATTTCCTCGCCCCGAAAATAAACTTTTAAAGCTAAAGGTTAGCAGCTTTCATCGAGCACCAGCAACAGTACGATTCGAATGACAGGTGTGGAGTAAATAAAATTTTCGCAGCGCATACAAAAAAAAAGAAGACCGTTCTAACGAGAATCATCCCCCCCGACGTTCGAGCGCGGTGGAATTTAAATGAAAATGGGACAAAACGCGAGGTTGTTAGTGTGGCAAATGGTTTTTTCTTGCGCTCCGGAAAAGTGTGTTACGTGGAGAAATGGGAGCGGCGCGACGTCGGCGGGTAGAATGGAAGAACCCGGAAAAGAAAATCCAACATGCACAATAAACGACAAGCAAAATTTTTCAAGTGGAAACAGGAGAGCCGAGCGCTGTTCATTTCACTTTGAAAAATCGTCTCGGGGTGGAGAACAAGACGTATGATGGCTGGACGGGGAGCGCAGAAATGCGGAAGTTTCAACAATTTCCTGCGAATTACGAGATACCAATTACGGCAGGGTTGTTATACGAGTTGTAGAAGAATTCGAATGTTAATTGTGGTTAAATAGGTTTTTTGGATAAACTTATTATTGAAGCTTGAAATGTAAATAATTTTGACAAAATATAGGGTGTTTTCGAATTTATTGCACTAAATTCTAGGGTTGGTAGTTTGTATAATTTGAGATCGATTCGCAGGTTTCATTTTTCTAAAAAAATATAATAAACAAAATAGAGCCATTAGAAATAAATCAAAAGAGCGAATACAACCCTGTCCTGAATAGTCAGCTGATCGGAATTTTAACGCAAAAAACAGATTCGGTGTATTTTATCAGCAAGCGAAAATTTCCCCCTCCTCCTTCCAGCTTTAGAAAAACGTTATCGATACCGATCGTTTTCAAGGACGAATTGTATTGTTTTGATTATAATCGGGGTTAAAGAGATATTTGTAATTAGACTTTAGTGATTTATTTGATTGTTTTTGTTCTTAGTTTAGTTAGTTCTTGGTTGTTATAGTGATGTTCTGGAACAATTAAGCAGCTATCGACAACAAAATAGGTGAGCTAATATTCCTTTTGAGTTTGAAGTTTATTTTCGTCTATTGTTTGAAAAAACCGGTTTACTTTTATAATTGCGCATGATTCTAAACATTTAGAGACCAAATCGAATAAATATGTATGTAAGTAATAAACAAGTTTGAATAAGATTTATAGGACCGCATTTCTTTGAAATATCTTTAATATTTCCAATTTTGTTTTTTATAATTTTTGTAGAAAAATGAAATCTTGGTATTAGTCTCAAATTACGTAAACTGTAAACCCCTAGAATTTAGTGCCATAAGTTCGAGGACACCCTGTATATGCGCAAGATATTTACTGGTACATTCTGTAAATAAGCAATAATGTATTATAAAAAGGTGTATGTAATATTGTAAAGTGTAAAAACATGTTTAGATTTTCACTCTCAATTTTCGCGATTTTTAAGAAATTTGCATCAGATGTACAGGTACAGTTTGCTCATTTTTTATGAAGTTTTCACATTTTTCAATGTCATTTTTTATCTCAATTGTTATTAAATTTGCATCAGAAATTTCAAAATTCACAACTCAAAATTCAAATTTCACATTTTCATTCTCATTTTTATCGCAATTTTTATGAAATTTGTATCAAAATCCTTCGCTTATTTTTTCTCGAAAATTTCACATCTCTCATCTTATTTTTTGTCGCAATTTTGCGAAAGTTGCATCAGAAGGTTTGTTAATTTTTTTAAGATTCGCAATTCATAATTTGCAATTTATATGAAATTTGCATCAAATACCCTCGCTCATTTTTTCATTAATATTTCTTATTTTTGAATCCCTTTTTTTCGCAATTTTTATGAAATTTGTATCGAACCCCTTTGCTCATTTTTTCATCAATATTTCACATTATTAATCTCATTTTTTATCACAATTTGCATATAATCCATGCTCCACTGACAACTACAATAACTGAAGAAAAACAATTTTCTAGTATTACTTTTATTCTTTCATAAACATTGACACTTCGAAAACTGCTATTTACAAAAATCATTTATGCACAGATTTAGGTTCATCGGAATTGTCTTCTTCGTCTTCAGTCATAACCGCGTTACTTTTCCCATCACTAGTACCTTCTTTAACAACCCCCTGTTGCCTATTACTCCCTTTTCCTCCAACTTTCACGGATTTATCTCTATTCGCCTTTCCCTTCGAAAATATCCTCTTATCCAAATTCCTGTAAAACGAGCGTTTCTTCATATTCTCGCTGCGCTTCTGCCGGTTCCTCTCCATATCGCTCATCGGCACCCCGCTAAAATCATTCGCCACCTCCGTGGGGGTTTTGAATTTGTACTTGCTCAACGTCTGCTCGATCTGCTCTTCGGGCGTCACCGATTTCTTCACCGGCTGCGCGGGCGCTTTGAATCGCTCCTGCTCGCTCTTCTTCAGCTCGTCTTTGAGCATGAACAGAATGACGTTGCGCCGGCGCTTGCGCACGCGAGACTTGCGCTTGCGCCGGATCTCTTCCTTGCGTTTCTTGTTGGTCTGGCGGTTGTCGAGTTTCCTCCTGCGATTTTTCTTCGTGTACACAACCGTTAGGGTCGGTCGGGATTTCTTCGGTTGTTGTTCTTTGACTATTATCGAGCCCCTGCGCTTTATCAGTTTCGGTATTAACCTGTCGGATTTCTTCTCTTTGTGGAACGATTCGGGTTTGTTGAAGAATTTGTTGCGTTTGTTTTTGTTGTCTTTTTTGTTGTTTTTGTTCGATTTATCATCGTCTTTTTTACTGCACATAACTACTTGATTACTAATACCATCTTCGTTTAACAAACAAGAATTATTGATCTTCTTGATGCCAACAGTTTCTTCTACTAGAGAATCGGGTTGTTCACAAGTTATTATAGAGTTATCGTGTAATTTATTTCCAGCTAAATCGGAATACTTTTTAACCGGGTTCGTTTTCTTCTGACCCTGATCTTTGATATTCAACGAGCCTTTCAATTGGTTAGGGTTGCTCCAATTTTTCTTCGGGTCCGGTTTCGTCGATGTCGGTGAATTATTATCCGGCGTAGAAATTGTTTTGTGTATTTTAAAAACTCCTTCTAGCTGATAAGAACTCGCTAAGTTGCCTCTTGTAGGTGTTACAACGGCTTTAATACTCCCTTCCATGGTTTCCATTTTCGGGGGATTCTTGGATAAAAAGTCATCTTTCTCTTTGTTCTTCACTTTATCCATTTCTTCGGCTATTTTGATGAGATTTTTATCGGAGCCGTCTTTGTATTGGATTTCCAGTTCTTCAATGGCATCGATGTTAATATTGTTTAGAATGTTCTTCTTATCCGGCGATTTGGGATCACCTTTGGGCAACAGGAGCACGGTGTTCTTGTGTTCTACTTTTTGAAATTCGAAAGCTTCCCCTGCCTTTGCTTCATCCATTTCTTTGATAATATTTTCATTGCCTTTCTGTAGCGCTCTTTTAATTCCATCCCCACTAGTTTCTTCCTGTGGCTTATCCACATCTTTGGCTTGCTTCATTAAGTCTTTATCGGATTCTTCTACGGGGAGTTTGCTCCTCATTCTGCTTTCCAATTTGGGGTTATCGTGAGTATTCCTTGGGGGAAGTATCATGCTGTTTTTGGGTGCTGCAGGTGGAGCTTTCCTCTTTCTTTCATCTTCTTTTTTCGGTGGAGGATTCGGTTGAGGCGTGATAGAAGGCCTCTCGAGCTTGTCTTCTATATTATCCTCGCTCCCTTGCATTTTCATGAGTCGTTCGGCCGGGTTTTGTTCGTATCGGAGATCGTTTAACATGTCCTGCTTCATTTTGACCACATCGAGTTTATCCACGATCATGCGGCGGGCATTTAACTTCTGCAACAACGACAAATCATCCTCTTTCTTGTTGTTTTTGGCCACTTCGCCGCTGAATATCTTCTTGGATACCAGCCAATTGGTGGGTGTGCTCGACGATTTCTTCTTCTGCATTTCGTCCAATGTTCGGTCTAAGTAATCCGGGTTTTCTTCAACCGATTGAGACAGATGGTCTTTTAGTTTTTTGGAAAGAGTTTGTGGCTCCATTGCATCATCTTTTAATGTTTTGATATCATCTGGCATTTTAGTTTCGTTTGAAATTGCGTTAATAGTAGGTTTGTTGCGGGTTTCATTTTCAGGTTTGCTCGAGACTTCTGGTGTATCGCCATCTATAGACAAACCTTCGCTGGTAATCGAAGACTTGTTTGTAATCTTCGATGCGTATTTATTGCAAATTTCTTTGTCCAAATCATCGCGAATGCCATCCAATTTCACTTCAGTGTTAATTTTGGATTGTTTTGTTTTTGACGCAGATTTCTTCACATCTGTAGCAGCTTTCCTGTTGTTCTCAGGCTTGAGCCTTTGTAGAATATCATTGTTCAATTCGTCGATGATACCTTTCATGCTCGTTGCCTTGTAGTCTATTACGGATGATTTAGATTCATTACTGGCTTGGATTTCTTTGTTGATTTGCTCGAGTAGATCTTTCTGTTCTATGTCGGTTTTGGGCTTTTCTTCTCCTTGTTGAGTTCTCGGATCTTGCTTGAAGCTGTTTAAGGTTAGAATAGATTTGGTTCTCTCGGGAACGCCTGGTTTGTCATCCGGATTGCCTTTCTTCTGGCATCTGCAAGCGGATTCAACGTTTTCTGAGCGTTTGTACTGGTCGTCAGCATCCTCTTGGTAGAAACTTTTTATAGTCAAAGTGGATTTCGTTTCTTCTGGTATGAGAGAATCCTTATCAAATGGTGGCTTCAAATTTTGGTTTTGAGTCGACTGGTTGTTGTCGATTTCTGGTGTCTTGGCGGTTTGTATTGCTGTATCAGATTTTGCGGATTTTTCTATTGGAGACTTTTGTCCTGTTGATGTTTCTGATTTTATAGTATCTGGCTCTTTTTGGGGGGTTTCCGCTGACTTTGTGCTTTTTAAAGTTACATTAGACTTGCTTTTTTCGCCGAGATTAGATTCGTTTTTTGTCATATTGAAGCCGAAGTGGTTTTTCAAATTGTACATGCGGTTTTCATTCGGTTCGCGTTTTTTAATGTCTTGCTTCATACTCCTTAATGTAATGAGACATTTGTGTTTCGTGGTTACTTCGTCGAAACCTTTCAAATCCTTCTTTGATTTGGCGGTTTTTTTGGCGTCTTCTATCATTTCCGATTTCTTTTTAAACGTGTTTCCGAAGGTTTCCCGGTAATTAGATTCAATGGCGGTTTTTAGATCGGTTCTGATTTTTTCTATGTGAGGCTTTTCGTTCAATTGTTGGGTGTTTTTCTTGGTTCCTTCGTCTTTGTTTTGTTCTTCTTTGACAACATCTTCTGTGGCACCGTCTTCTTTTTTCATTTGCATTACATTGTCTTTTTTGAGTTCATCGGTTTCTTCTAAATCTTCATTTCGTTGGAATATTTTTGCTTGTATTTTTTTTATTTGCCTCTTGATATCTCTTATTTTATTCTCACCGATTTTTTTAATCAAATCGAACGCGATTCTAATGGTTGTTAATATATCGTTCAACTTTTGGGGTGCTACATTTCTGTTGGTGATTGGGTTATTTTGTAATTTAATCGGCTTCATTTTGGGTTTTTTAATTTGTTTTTCCGTCGATATGAATTTATATTTAGAAATAACGAATTTCGGTGGTTTTTCTCTGTGCAAATCGGGCTGGGCGATTCGATTTATTTTCGTCGAAAAGTATTTTCTCGCTTTAGCTTTCCGTTTCGCGCTTTCCTGCGCAAGAATCTTCTTCTCCTGGTTCGAATGATCGGTTACTTTTCTATTTTTCTTAGCACACATTTGCGCAGGAATCTTCTTTTCATTGTTACCTTCTAACTTTTTCGGTTTGTTATCCTCCTTCCTCGAGGAAGAACAATTCAACACCGAATCATCGATGGCTGTGAGCGCTTCTTCTACAGCGATTTGTTCGTTAAAAAACGAAAAAATTTGCTCCTGGAGATATGTTATCGATTTTTTGAAGTAGGCGATTTCGTTTTCTAGCATTAGCTCTTTGTTAACATCGATGAGCTTGCTGGAATTCCAGTAAAACTCTAAAAACAATAAAAGGGTCTTGCGAATCTGGGAAATGTTGTGTAAATCTATCGAATTTAATGCAAGTTTGCTTACTTTGATATTGAGTGCAGAATGAACATTTGCAAACAGGCTGCTTCGTAGTCAAGACTTTTCCACGTGCGCCTGGAAAATTTCCTTTTGCAATAGTATTGATGAATCTCTTTTGGTTGATAGGCGAAAATAAATGTAGATTTTTTCTTAAAGAAGTCGATAACATCAAAATCTTTACTGGTGTAGTCGGTTGCAGTATGTATTTTATATCCTTAAAAACCCAAAAGAGAGATGTTTACATCACTTTTTCTACTACTCTAATAGATAGTTGTTACCTGATTGTTGGTGGATTTCGTACGATAGGAAATGGATTTTTTTAAACGAGTGTTTCTGCCCTTGATGCTCCTGATCATCCTGTTGAATTCTCCGATTTTGCAAGAAAATTCTGTTATGATTAGTTTATACATTTTCAACGAATGGTAGTGTAGCAGTTTTCAAGATCATTGGGTATGTCGAACAATAGCCATTAGGTTTATAAAACTTTAGAATAATAATGGATGAATTTTACACGAAAATTTGACACAAATTTTAATGAAACTAGAAGTTGACAATTTAGATGATAATTTTTTAAATCGAGTCGTTGAGTGTTAGGCAGAAATAGTGTGTTGTTATTACTGATTTAGTCCTTTACCGGGAATTTGTCTACTAATTATGGAATTAGAAATGTATAGAATATAAAAATAATATTCCTACTTTTGAGAAAACAATCTTGTTTATATTAGATAAATTTTTGGTACTAGTTTTGTTCAACTTGTGCGAATAAAATTTGGTAAAACTTTGATAAAATCGACACCAACATAATGTAAATAAACACTTTAACATTGAAGTGTGATTGTGCAGATCGATTAGAGGAGGGATTTCAATCCTCAAAACATCAAATACCACTCGTATAATTGTACGAGTGTATCCAAAAACAATTAAACATAGGAATACAACAAAAGGTCGCGCTACCGGCAATATCACACGAGCAATTTTGCCAACATACGTTCGTGTTTACAATTAAAATTCGTAATTATTTCGGCGGGCAAATTAGCGCTAACGGTAATTTTCATTTTATGTCATTTGTATAACACGCCCGCCCTCGTTAATATCAATTATAGATATTCGTTAGTTTTATTTTATCGACACGTCAACCAAAATTGGAGCTCCCGCTTTTAATTATTTCGTATATTGTTAATTGCCCTCGGTTTGATAAACTCACGCGGGAGCCATAATGATTCATTTCGCACGATATTACTATACTTTGAAAATCGATTTGACAACGTTGCAAATAAATACCGCATAATTCCGCTCTTTTATTAGCTTCTTATTTTACTTTTGTAAGTTGTAAAGCTCCGAAATAAAAGCGAAAATACAGAGGCAGTTTTAGAGATTAATTTTTTTGTCTCGAGAGTCTCTTAAATACCTTTTTATTGATTTTCAACATAGGCGTGCTTGTTTTTTAATCGAAAAAAATCGATTTGCTTCTTAAATAAACTTTCCTACAATTCGCCCATCAGTATTTCAAGAATCTCCATGCCCTTTCCGTATTCCAGTCTCGACGTTTCGCCTTAATCAGCCGGGAAATTTTACAATACACACCGGCACGTTGTTAAATATGGTCTTTGGACGCGAGAATGGCCCCGGAATCATTTACATTCGGAATCGAATTCGCTGAAAAGACACGTCCCGAATTCTACCAATCAGAATCAGAAAAATCCATATTGAATATTGAATCAGAAGCTACTGCGTTATTGTTTTCGGTGCATCCTTCGAGAAATATCAAATATGCACTTTTCGCACAATGGCGTACCGAAATTTCACCAAAATAACTCCTTTACTTGCGACAAAAAGACTACACTAATACGAAGAAATTATGTAAAGAAGAGTATTCAAAAAAAATATGGGATATATCAAGAGATAAAATTATTATCAATTTTTTTTATAAACAACTCGAAAGATAAATCTGGTGGTATGCGAAACAAATTTTGTAAATTATTCGAGCGGGACACCAATGAGGCGAGAGAAAGCTTTCACGATTCCGGCATATTTTATACCCAATATCTGAAAGTTCAATACAAATAAACAGTATATTATTGTTTTCCGAGATATTCCGTAAGAATACGTCGAATTCCCGAGGGGATTTTCGCGAGAAAATTCTACTTTATTCGCTTGTTCGGTTCGGCGCGAAATAAACGCGTGGAATATGCAAAAAAAAAAAATTGTTAGTTCCTTACCTCGTATAATACGTGCGTATAGGAAGGTGAAACGGAACAGCTTCCCAATCGCATTTTCATTGTACTGCTCGGAAAAGCGCGTAAACCTCGCCCTACTGCTAGATTTATGTCCAAATTGGCCCATTACAGAAGCCACTAAAGCGTACGTAAAGTCGCCCTTAACGCTCCCCCTTATTCCCCAAAAACACCCTTCGGCCTTTAAAGCATGTACTAACGTGTAGAAGTGTAGTAATCTCGACGAAACGTTATTTCTGTTTGTATTATCAACAAAGACTTGATTCGACGCGGTACGGGAATAAATGAGCTCTCCCTGCACCCTTATCGCTCCACCTAAGGAAGGATCATTAATTCAGAATCAGGGTGGTTTTATTTTTATTTTTTTTGTTTAGAAGTTTATAGAAGAAGTCTTAAAATATAAAAATATTGTAAATTTTAAGATTGGATATCGTTTAGGTGTAATCGGGTAAAATTAAAATGTCGTTATACTAATAATATTATTTTAATTCTATTAGGGGTCCGTAACGGCTCGAAATCCAATTCAATTTGGCGTAAATTATTTAAATTTCAACATGGAAATTAGTATGTATTGAATTTGTATTGCGGCTTGCCGGGGATTTACCCTTTTCAATTTCGATATTTATTCTAGGGATTTTCCGACTATTGAAAACCGATTTATTTCGCGAACACTCCCGACACGTCCGGACCGATTTTATTCATAAATGCTATCAAATGCTATTTTATTTATCGCGCATAGTTTGTTTTTACAAAGCATTAGCGATCAATTTACTCGAGTAAAGTACGGATATGCTCCAGAAGCGGAAGCGAAACTTTCGTTTCAGCGAATTTCACGGAAAATATAGACCTGTTGAAAACCTATTTTCTTCGTATACGAAAAGTGGAAGCTAAAAATAAGTGTATGTAGTTAGAAAATGCGACGTATTATCATCGACATAGTCTCGCATATACAATGGAAAATATGCGATATCCACGTTACTCACACGCTAACCACAATTCCGTAATATACTGCACATTTAACGCAAGATTATTATTAAGGTTAAGCGAATGTAGTTAAGGTGATTTTATTCGAGGAAATGGCTTTAAAATTATCGATTAACCTACAACTAAATAGAGCGTTTAATAAAGTTTATGAAATAGTTTTTTACATCATATAGTTTTACGATTCCTATAATTAATTTCTAAAGAAATTTGCATCATAAATTAGTACTGTTAATAAAGTTATTTATAACGTGTTAAAGTGGTTAATAAATGTTTGAGTATATGTAAGGTAGGTGTATCTATCCTCTTAAAAGAGCTTATAACAGGCGAGGTTCGCGTGCGTTTGTAAATATTATACAGATTGAAATCGAGCATCTGTAAAAAAACGCAATAAAATTTTAACGAGGAGCCGTTGCAAGCAAAAATTACAATTTTCCACTACACCCAACCTCTAAAAACCAATTAATCGCCATTAAAACCCCAAAAATAAATGATTTCAACAGTAACACAACTTCAAAAAAGCCATTTCCCCGGTGCATATACGCCAGTCATAAATCCTCGGGTGTTCTCTCATTCCCGCTATGCTAATCTTATCCTACAAACAGGTCTTAGCCCATAACCCTAAATCTATTCCAGAGCTCCAACGACGCGATTTCGGAGACTTCGCTCGATTACCGTCGACTATCGAATATCGACTATCGAACGAGAAGGAATTTATACGAATCGTCGAACGGAAAAAGGCGCTTTAAACCGTCCCGACGATTCAATCGGGGGGGCAACTTCTCGAATGCACTGAAGATGAAAATTCCGTCAGAAACGCGCCTTATCATAACGACTTCGCCGAAATTCCACTGTCGCATGTAATTCGAACGATTTAATCCGTGCGGTGTGTATTTAAACCGTTAGAGGTGAACGTCGGGATCTTTCGAACGTTCGGCAATTTCACGAACTTAACTTCTATCCGATTCGGAACTTCTTAAGGGAGTATTGAATGAGTTTTCGGACCGCAATGGATCGGGGTGGATTCGATTCCGGCGCTCCGGCGACAATAGTTTTTGGGAGATTTATCGTATTTGGGGAGAGTCTTTGTACATACCGGAGTCGTTTCGAGGATAATGCGAAGGAAAATGCACCGTCGAATTGACGATGCTCGAAAGAGAAACGTTCCGTAATCTATTAGACGATGTTCCTGTTAACCATATAAATTCTCTTTTATACAGGGTGTTCCTAAACATCGTGTACATCCGAAAGGGGGTGATTAATTGGCTTATTTTATGACTAAAAGTTCATATAAACATAAGTCCGCAAGCGCTTCGTTACCGATCTACAGGGTGTTGAAATTTCAAGGTTTTTTTTTGTTTCTTTTTTAAAGCTCCTGATGCAGTTTTTGAGATATTTAGCTCAAATTAGGTGTAGGATATAGGGTATAGAGTATAATTTAAGTAGGAGAGGGTCACTTTCAACATTTATTATAATGTTCTTTAATAATTATTATTTAGGGTTTTTGTTTTGTAAAATAAATCATTTGTACAGAAAATCATTTTTATTTTTTTTTCTCGATTTTAGAACTCCTGCAGTTTGTGAGATATTTTGCTCAAATTTTGAATCTAAATTGCTTTATAGGGCACACATTATTGGGTATATCAGATGGCTGTTGAATTCTACAGGGTGATATTTTTTCAGGGGTCATGTACCCTTTTTTTCCCCCGAACTTTTTTGCTGTGCGCCGCTGGTAGATTCTAAAATACAAAATTAATTGTCTGTTTCGTTAAGAAACTTTTTTTATTGTTAAACTTTTTTCGTTTCTGTGACCGTTATCGAGAAAAAAATTAAAAACGATTTTCTGTACAAATGATTTATTTTACAAAACAACAACCCTAAACAATAATCATTAAATTACATTATAATAAATGTTTAAAGTGACTCCCTCCTACCCAAATTATACTCTATACCCTATATCCTATACCTAATTTGAGCAAAATATCTCACAAACTGCAGGAGCTCTAAAAAAGAAACAGAAAAAAAATCTTGAAATTTCAACACCCTGTAGATCGGTAACGAAGCGTTTGCGGACCTATGTTTATATGAACTTTTAGTAAACTATGAACTTTCGAATGTACAATTCGAATGTACCTGTATATACAGGGTGTAACAAAAAGGTGGCCTAAGAGAAATTTGACTACCTTTTCTTACACCCAATATTATAACGAGTAAACTGTGTGTATTAAATTGCAACAATTTAACTAGTTTTTCCAAACGAATATCGGCGTATCGGCTAATGCCGAGCCGATTAGGCGGCACCGGGGCGGTTTTTAAACCTGTTTTA